CAACTTGTTACTAATATAAAAACAAAACCTGTTATCGTCGCGGATGTGGCTTATAACCTAATATCTTATCAAATTTCGAAACTAAAATTAATAGTTATAAGTTTGTTTGATTTTAATGAAAACTAATAGTCAAGTAGTCAGTATCAAGTATTTATTAATTATTATGTTTTCTAGAGCTATTCAGAAATTGCTCTTTTCTTAGATCAACAATGTCTGTCGCCTCGTTTTCTACATATCTTCATCTCTTTCTCTTTTATCTCTTTAAAGTTTTCCTTCACTTCTTTGTCTCGATATATGACAAAAAAAATATTTTCGACATAAACGTAACGTATTATATTTATTTATTTATAACAGCTTTATTATTTATAATATTTACCACACAAACTACAAAGATAAAAAAAACTTACGTACTAACCTATAGATAAAGGCGGCCTTAACGTTAAGCAGCGATCTCTTCCAGGCAACCTGAAGTACAGGAGAAAAGATATATAAAAAAGGGTTTATTACGGGGTAGGTGTAAGGAAAATTAAACAAAAAGTAAACGTAAGTACTTCGTAAAAGTATACACAGCTAGTAAGAGAGAACCTAAATTAAGGAGTTGGAATGATAATATTTATAAAGCATAGTCTTCAAAGAACGGAGAGATTGAGCTTTTCTCATATTAGTAGCGAGAAAGTTCCTAAGGCGGCTAGTTTTAACGGTGACAAAATCATTAAAGAAAGAGGTTTTATGTTTACGAATAAATAAGAGAAGATTATAAATATAACGGAGATTTAACTGGTGAGAATTCAAAAGGACGAAATTCTCCTTTAAGTAAGGAGTTTTGGGATCGAAAAGGACACGGTAGAGGAGGTGAAGCTGGTGGGAATTTCGGATTTAGGGAGTGTGAAGCGCCATAAAGATACCAGCACAGATCACGAATATTATGTTCATTTTCATTTCATGTTCATTCCAAACTGGGTTTTTAGTTATAAATGTTTGTACATACGAGCAATACTTAGAAGATTTATCACCATCAATCACGTGCGAATCGCAAAAAAAAAATAAGTTTTCAGACGAGCAGAGCCCAGTATTCTAATCAGCTACTTGTCTGTGCATAAATTTGATTAATGAAATTAATGAAACAGCCATGTAGGTATCTACCCCGTGGCCCACTTGGGGGGGCAACATTTGGCACTTGCCCATTATTTTATTTGACGCAGGTATCTAGGTATATACGGATATCTGAAAATAATAGCTGCGGTATAATTCTAATAAAAAAATTCCAAGCCGTATGTACTCTTACCGTTATTATTTTATTATCAATGTATTTCTGGCGCTTATTGTTATCTGCCGCGCTCCGTGGCTATCTGTAATGTCAAATGCGTGGGCGTGAGAGTATTTTGTACATTATGGTCACACAAAATTCACTACCGGTTCGTAGACGGAGAACACTATAATAATTGTCCTGCAATTAAGCAATAATTATTTTTTTTTTTTTACAGACTTTTGGGAAGACAGACATACGCATGCGCATCAAAATGCGCTTTGGATCTATGTTGACTTTGGATATTCTGAAATCCACAGACTGAAACTGAAACGCGATTAAACATTACGGCTTTTTTATCTGTGGAAGGTGGTTTGTGAACCAGGACGGAATTTCAATAATCCTACCACCAATTGAATATCCAGATTTCTAGACCACGACCAACATGTTTCATAAAAGTTACAAATTGATTAGAAAAATGTTAGTCCCGGTGAGGATCGAATCCGCGACCCGTTGATTATTAGTTTTACATTGCTACCGTTATACCAACGAAGTGGTCGCAGTTTATTATGTATGGTATCCTACTTCTTCTTTACTTATTATTTTATGATCCTTCCTATTGATCTAATAACAGAAAATCGCCAACTGCACAAACATATTTTATCAGAAAAGTTCTTGAAGGAACAATTTTCAAAGGGATAGAAATTACTACGTTTCGTAGCGTGTTACATCACCACCATCTTAATTCCATTTTAAATATTTAATACTTCATACGAGTTTCCCTTCGTTTTCATGCGGGGTCCCGAAAGGCACCTTTAATCTGTATTATGTGTACGCGAATAATATATTTTGTGTGGCATTTAATCTATTTAAGTTCGTAAGTTTTCTTAAATAATTGACTATGTTAACTGTACCAATGTTTCGATCATTTGACATTTTCATAAAGTAGTTTGAGTTGTCTAAACGCCAATCAACACCATCATTACCCTCCCCGATTCAGCGTAGTCGGGTAAATAATTGTTGGAAAGTGAAATTGTTATTTTTCTATATCAAGCAACCTTTTCAGTTTAACACATCTTACTTTTAAAGTCAAAAACGTGATGTATGGATAATTATTGCAGTTATATGCGGGTGGGAGAGAGGAAAGTCCCCTCTTGAAGCAAATCTCAATAAAAACGTCGCCCCATGTGCTGCTTAAAGATCAAACGTTGTTCAGGCCACGTGCCTTTCATTTTAATAACTAGACAAATTCTAGATAGAAAATGTTGATAATCGTGTTTTATTAGTTTTATCACGATTTTTGCTTACTTTTACTTGTAATAAGAATCAGCGAGAAATGTAATAAGAGTTTACGATTCCCGAATATTAATAAACATATTTACCGTTTTTCATTGTTCAATAAATATTTCTTCTACCTAGCTCAATTCACAAACGCAATGATGTACACATTGCGAAAAGTGCCTTTTAACAATTAGGTACAGTAAATCATTTCGGTCGGGCAGAGCACAGAAATAACAGAAAAGAATCAGTGAAATAGTACAGAATTGTTATGCTGCGGAAGTAACGAGATTTCGGATTCTTTAAGTTCCATTCTGAAATTTTTATGTGTATGTAAACGTCTTCGTATAATTGTAACGCACTAATACCATATCCTTAAAACAACCTCGACGTAATCCACACCACTAGACGCTAAATAAGTAACCTGCTGAAGAACTAGTTTTAGAAAACCTTTCCTTAGCACTGTTATCTATACTAATATATAAAGCTGAAGAGTTTGTTTGTTTGAACGCGCTAATCTCAATAACTACTGGTTCGAATTGAAAAAGTTCTTTTTGTGTTAATTAGAGCATTTATCGAGAAAGGTAGGCTATAAAACATTGCACTGTGACTAAAAGGAGCGTAGAAACAGCGGGTCATGTGGAAAAAACTGGGAAAATTATTCATCTCCGTATGTGTATGTATCAGATGCGTACGCTGCGAAACGGTTTAAGACACCCAAAGAATGTGTACGAAAGAATGAAAGTAGATTTAAATAAAACATTTTAACGGTTTAAAACGCGATATATTAGTTAAACTTATTTGAAAATGATTTTTAACTTCGGCCCGACGTTTCGGATGCTTTGCAGCAGCCGTGGTCACGGGAAGATCACGACTGCTGCAAAGTGCTTAAAGTGTTTTATATAAATGTGTTCTACTCGCGTAAACTATAGACAGTATTTAATGAAAAGGAGGTTTGAAAAAACAAATTTGGATGCCCAAAATAACTATTCTACGCGGACGAAGTCGCTGACGCAGCTAGTCTTGAATAAATTATCAACAAAAGAGCACTCGACTGTGCATAACACTTAGTTTCACTTCTGAATATGGAGTGTCTACAGTAATGTACCGTCGGTGCCTTTGAGTAGCAGTTTAAATACAAAATATAGCAACAAAAGCGACACTTAGCGAAGGCGTTATCGACGATCTATCGATCATGATACCTTTATTTGAACATTTGATACATTTCCTAACACTCGTCGCCGCCTTTTGTGTTAAGAATTGCAGAAGCTTTTAAAGCGTATCTTAATCAAAATTCAGTATGTTTTTATGGTGAATGAACAGCATTCAAATTGAAAAACCTGGTACGACACAAGCTGAAGATTATAATGCAATGATTAAAGACATTGCCTAGAATTGCGTTTATTTATAGTTGTGAGAGGTCTGGTCTTTCGGTCCGGCATGTGACAAAAATCTAATCTCCTTCCTTGAGAACTAAAAAAGTAACGATCACAGAAATATTGTCTTGTGTGTTGAACAGTTCCTTGTCTGTAAGGGGATTTTACAAAAATATAAGAGACAGTAAGTATACAGGATCAAAAAAGTTAAACTGTAGGTAGTAGATATGAATTTAAGTTATTAAATTAAGACTAATCAACTTTTTCAATTTAGTTAGAGTCGTTGAATAACTAAGTGTATTAAGTACGTCCCTACAAGTATAGTTTGATAAAAAAAGATTTTATATTATCAAGTAGGTACTGTTTTAAAATCGACTTATTTACTTACGTAACGATCCTGAAAGTTAACACTTCTTTTTCAAATACCACTGAATAAAGGACACAACTATCTTCCTTGTAAAAAAAACAAATAGGTAGATAAGACTCGGATTTAGTTAATGCTGTACTTAGTCAACAAGACGACAAACATAAAAGGACATATACCTAACGTTTTATTATTAGCCGGAGTTCCTACTTATTACGTACATGTCAGTTTAGTGAAGCTTAAAATATCGAGTTTCATCGTGTCCTGGGATCATGCTCCCCCTATTGAAAGGCAATACATAGGCTATATTTATCTTGTTACAATGGAACAAAAAGCATGATACAGTACATAAAACACTCGAAACGACGAGGCATAATGCCCATCATTATAAATTCATATGCTTTGATGCTTACAGTATTTATTTTATAACGTTTCGAGGGGAGAAAGCCCTCTTTTCGCATGAAAGCTCCCGAAAATACACAAAGGAGGCGGCGGACGATGTGGGACGGTGTGCAGCTTCGTGTCATTGGTCGGGGTCTTGCCCCACCAACGGGAGACTCCGCCCCGATGGAGACTCAGCACTTACCGTCGTACGGCAATCATTCAGTAACCGAACGCTGATGTGTTAAGTTGTGACGGGAATTCCAATTCGCTATTGATTCATCATTGGACTTGTTGTCAGTTTTAAATGCTCAGTGTTTTTGTGAATGCCAATTAAGTTAATGTTATGCACGCGATGAGTGATCCCGCTTCGCTGGCAGGCATGTTACCCTTTGACTCCATTGGACTCTACGAGCAGCCAAAGCCGCGGTTTATATTTAAAATGCCGCGAGTCGTACCCGATCAGAAGGCCAAATTTGAATCCGACGATCTTTTCAAAAGACTGAGCAGAGAGAGTGAGGTAAGTTGAGTTGAAGTTTAATAATATTGAATGACTTAGGTATAATTAATTCGGCAATTTTTAATTAGTAGTTCTTTATTAAGTTTAGTTTTATTAAGCTACTTATTACGCAGTTTTTAGGAAGCTATTCCATTTTCGTACCTATTGATAAATTGGCGTTCGTTATTGCGTATGTTATCTACTTATTTAATTAAGTTAAATATTTAGGGTTTTTTCTCCTAAATTCATTGTTTTTGTTGGTTATACCTACTGTATTTTATTATTAGGTTATCGTTAAAACTTCTAATGTCATACCGAAAGATAAAGAGATGGGTATAGTAAATACAGATTGAGAGTACATCCTGAAGATTTCCTAACATATCTTTAGTAAATTTAAGGATTTCCCAACAAGTTCGTTTAGGTCAATTTTGACACCTGTCACAATTAAGTGTGAAATTTTACATCGGGTTGAAAATTAAAAATAAGTTCATGTAGATAAACAAAAATAAAAGATTTTTTTCTTAGGAAAAATTATATAATTAAGATAAATGATACGTGCTTACATATAAATTACCTACGAATATACAAAAATTTACTATAATTTCTACATGGTCATCTTGTTCCTAGGTCAGATACACAGGATACCGCGATCGTCCCCCAGAAGAGAGACAAATGCGTTTTACCAGCGGTTGCCGTGAGGGCCACACAGAAATCGCCTTTACAGCGACCGGTACAAATCTTCAACTCGTATTCGACCATTCCCCGTATAACAATCGCGGGTGTGACTTTCAGAAGGAAAATGGAAAAGTAAGTAACACTATCTCTTCTTCATTTCAATGAAAAACCGTAAAAATAATAACGTCTCTATCAAAATTAAGAAGGGCAAATTACCTTTAACGTAAACAAATGCCTATTATCAACTTAATTAATAATATATTTTTACCTAAAATGTATGTACACAAGCTTTTAAGTGGTATAAAGGATTTTTCAGGGTTTTCAACAGTCGACGATTAAAAATTGAAATCTTCATTACGTGATAATTAAACTATACGAATATATTTATCTCAAAAACTTTAAAATCAGCCAAAATATTTTGATTCAATTTGACAAATTGATGATATGTTTTTTAATTCGTAAAGTAATAAAGATATGTAAAGTAATAAGTAAATAAAGATATGTTTTTTCCGTAAGCCAACTTACCTCACTTAACGGTTCTAAACCCTTTTTAAAAAAGTAATATTAATTGTCTGTAATAATATATTTCTTTTTTATCTCATCTACATGTTGACACGTTTTATAGTAGGAATAAGTTCATTAAGTAAGATTCTAGGAGTCTATAACATAAAATATTTTTGCCTAATTTTTCCCCGACATACAAGTCAGTAAGTACCTACACGATAATGTCGACGTTTTTGGAATGGCTATTTCGTAATATGTTATTAAGTTACAATTACAAATTTCATTAGCTGCCTAACGAGGTAAATAATAATTAAACTTCCTCATTCAATACGTATTAAATAAATTCATTTGTTCGTATCCTGTTACGTTATCAAATATTTAAAATTTCAAATTATTCGGCATTTTATTGATTTCCATATATTTTTAGAATATTTGAGAAGAATAGATAGGTAGTCGTAGAGTCGGTAGGTTATAAATCAGTTAATTAAGTGTATACTGAGCGGTAAAACTCACAGATACGACGCTGTTCTTATTAGTAACGGATATTGTATCTATATTAATTACGTAACACCGATTCTGTTTTAATATAAATAAGTTTTTAAGGCTTCCTTCGTCGCACCAGGAACTTAATAATTATTGATTTTCGTTTAAATTAAATTTACGGGTTCCGTAACTTAGTTACGCCGTCTTCGCCATTAGTCTTTGGCCATATTTTACATTTTCTAATCTTTTTAAAAATCGAAAATAAATTGAAAAAATTTTCGACTCGGGCAAGACTTGAACCGGCATCATCAGCGTTCCGTGCTGTTGCTCTACCAATTGAGTTACCGAGTCCTACACCTCATCGTCGAATTTTTTCAACTTATTGATACCTCTCGCGCAATGAGTTTAAGAAATCTTTGAAAATGAAATTACAAAGTTATAACGTTTGAAAACTTTAATATTTTTTTACACGTTAACATGCAAAAAAATATTAATGTTTTTAAACATTTTCTAATCTTCTTTAAATACATATTTGCAAAAATTCATATTTTCATTTCATAAAAGTTGTCACGTGCATTATAGTATGTAAAAGTTTAAATACATAAAAAACTACCACTGTCAATACTACCGTAATAATATTTTGCAAGTCAAATGCATTATTAATGTGATTCCTGTTATTGTATTGACGCTGGCTCTGACGTAAAGCATTGTGGATATCACCAATGAGTCACTACTACTTACGCACAGCCTGCCAAGGCTTTCAAACGACTACCTGTTAAATATAGGATTTTGAGGAGGTGTGAAAGTTCATACTAATACTTCTTTTTATTGCACTAATCTATGCTAATATATAAAGCTGAAGAATTTGTTTGTTCGTTTGAAAGCGCTAATCTCATGAACTATTCGATTCGAATTAAAACAATATTTTGGTTAGAGCATATATCGGGCAAGGCTATATAACATCACGATTTAACATACAGGAGCGAAGCAACAGCGGAAAATGTAAAAAAAAGGGGAACTTTATCCAACCTTATCCAAAATATATATTCGAAATAATGATTCCTCTTAAAATTATCTAAAAGAATGTCCGCGACACTATCTTTTAACATTAACTTTCAAGAAGGACGGGACGCGGCCGACGTCGTGGGCAATAGCTTAAATCTATAGAGATGAAGTGGCTTATAATAACTTTTCTACGCGGACAAAGTCGCTGATACAGCTAGTAATTAATAATATCGTACACAACATTTATTGCGATGCGAACAGTAAGAAAATCTAATATTAACTATACAAATGCACAAACTTATTATCATACGTAAGACAAAGTATAGTTACCTGTTGAAATTTCATTTCTCATCAACTCGCATTAGTATCGAGCAACATTAGAGAATTAAGACATAAATAACTTTGATACAAATAAAATATTAAGTCGTAACACCGTACATAAAGCGCCGGTCACGCTCTGTAGTTAATTCACGTTGAATGAATGACATCTTTTCTACTCCGTTGATTATTCCGGTTGGCTTAATGCATGTGTACGCGCACAAGAAGCATGTTAGTGCATTAATAAATAATTTGGTTGACTTACAACAAGACAAAAAAAAACCCTCTACGGTTTAGGTTCTAGAAAGATTTACAAAATCACCTCTACAGAGAACTTCAAACGTGCTATACATTTCATTTTATTAGATTATGTTAACAAGTATAATCGTAATAAAATAAAACTCGTGGGCATAATATTAAAACAGTCGGCAACTTCTCATAATAGTAACAATACTCTTTAAAACGCGAAATAAATTAACTTATTTTTAACCTCGATCCGAAGTTTTGCAGTTTCCCGCCGTGACCACGACTGCTTTTATTTTGTTTTATATATCCCATGTCATGCAAACTAATACATCTTATATATATAGATTGAAAAAAAATATGTAGCGCTTCTGTTGCCTTTTTTCTTGATTTATATTAATTTGTATGTAATGTATTAAACGGAAACAGAGCCTGCTTTACTATTTGCCTGCAAACAAAAATCGAGTATAGGAATAGAATAGATTCAGGATTCAGCAAAATGGAAATTCGCCTTATAACCGCTAATCAAGAGATTTGATTAAATGAATTGATCTCAGTAAATTACAATACTAAACAGTACCCATAGTATCTTACTGGGAAATACGCGAGGTTAAGCTGTTGAAAATTTTATTGAATTCAGACCCTTTGTAACGCCGAGATCGCCTGCTGTGATCCTTAATCCGTATGAATAAGTACTTATATTTATTTACACTTGGTTCATTTAACAGCGTAGATGAGCGCATACACACCCTTTATTCTAGAATTTAAATTGGATAAAACGGTAACGTTATGCAACTGCACTTACTCAAATATAATAATTAATAGAATTAAAGAAAGAAGTATGTATTTTATTGTATGTATGTAAGCTCCTAAAAAAATCTCGCTAATAAAACACATTTTAGATCGGTTTAAATGAATTTTATTTTCAGTCTCCACAATATACAAAGCTTTTAATTCTATAGGTAACGTATAGTATTCTGTACAAACCCTTAAAACCCATTTTGAAAAATAAAATGAAGCTACGTTTCCCTTGCATAAAAAAAAAATATTCGAAATAGAGATACATACTACATAAATATATGCAACCAGATGAAAATCAATACGGAAAAGCTCTCGAAGGGTGAAAACAGACCCGGCTGGCTCCGCCCGCCCAACAAACATGGCTGCCGATCGTTATTTTCATTTTCCCCCTCTACGGGAGGGTCTATCTTTTGAAACAGATATAATGTAAGTAATAAATTAAAATATCCATTAGCTAGAAGAATTAACAGTGTAAAGAATTACTTTTAGTTTGACAAACATAACATTTTCAATAACATGCTTGAAAATTTGAGCATTATTTTGACAACCTTCTTCTAAATATATCGAACTTGGTGTACTAGTACGAGCAGCGGCCGACAATAGTCGAATGTTGTATCAATATCTTTCGAAATAAATGACTACGTAAAATCATGTTTGTTGTCTAATATAAAAATGGCACGATCTCGCCATCGCTTTAATCCTCAAAATGGCGACCAAAGGGGTAACTTTAAGGTTTAATTTCAATATTTAAATTATACCTTTAAGGTATAATTTAAAAAATGTACTAATTTAAACCTAATCGTATAATGTGAAAGTTTACCTGTACGAAAAGCTCGCTCTCCGTATAATCTGTAGGAGAAAAAAGAACCTTTGTCATACAAAAATTAAAGACTTGTTTGTCTAATTAAGTATATTGTACATATAAGTTTATTTTACGGCAATACAAAGCCAACGAATCTTCTGCACGCGATCATTAAAGATCGCTTGCCGTCTGTCGTTTTGCGTTTGCTTTCGTGAAGTTTACAAGTTAAAACCAATTAAAGTTTCGCAATATACCACCAACAGATAAATCACTTTCTTACACAACGTCAAATTTGAGAGGCGTAATTTCAAGAAAAAAATAAAAGGATCTTTGATGACTGATGCATCCTCTCATTCACCACCTACATAGATTTTTTGCGACAAGTTTTTGTTTGAAGAATTAATATCTGTTTCTAAGGAATTAACCTTTTTTTTTCTTATAGGCTCACATCGTATCCCGGTTTATAATGAATGGGGTCTGCGTAAGATGGCGAGGGTGGATCGATTTGGAGCGACTCGACGGCGCAGGCTGTCTCGAATTAGATGAGGAACGGGCGGCTATCGAAGACGCCGCTCTGCGTGACCAAATAGAACGTTATAACCAACGGCTCCGGGACTTCGAAGACAAACAACGTGCTTATCGCGAGCACGGCGAGGAGATGCGAGCGCACTCACAGGTGCACGGGGTCCAGCGTTGTCATCCGCCTCGGCAGCCCACACACGGTGCTCATCCAGCTCACCCACACCCGACTCATCCAGTCCATATAAAACCTCATTCACAGGGTGCTCTCATATCATAAACATTTTTAAATAATTTGCGTAAGATGAGAGAGACGGAAGGTACGCTAATACACCCCCTATTAACTGATACCTTTCATTATTTTCAACTGATATAGGTTATGCTGTTACTAGTAACATTTATCTGTCAAAAACAAAAAACCTACTGAATGTAACCGACGGCTTAGAATAACATAGAGGTTTATAATACCGTAGAAAGAGTTGCAATCTTAGATTTAAGCTTAACTTAAGATCCCTAAAATAGTTATACATGTTAGTAAAAATTTACAGATATTTTTTTGAAATGACTTCATTTATGTAATCGTTTTTGGGCTCTGTAAAGCTGCCCATTACCTCTGCGTAACTGTACCTAATTACAATAATTTGTGTAACCTTTAAAATGGAACGGAAATTGGAAAACAATTGAAATAAGTATTGTTTCGTTATTTTTTGGAAGATATTTTTTTTAATCATTTGAATACTTAAAATAATACTGGGATATATTGTCATCTAAGTTTATAAATCAAAATGCGTTGATTTGTGTTAAGTATGTGTTATTTAATTCTAAGATTATTTTTTATTAAATGTGATAGTAATAGTGATTACGACGTATGTATTACACGATAAATAAAACGACTTCCTAATTAATTTAGTGTTTTATTAATATGTGTAGGCGTGTATATTGACTTGCAGTTGATTTTGGACAAAATATTTATAATTTTCATACCTTGTAAAATGCAATGAAAGGACACAGTGACACGGTAGCTTATAGGTATCACATTATCGAACAACATCGCGATATGTTTGTTACTAGTTCGATCATAAAATCCTTCTAAAAAGAATTTTTGATTCATTAATGTTATGGTCATAGACAACTTACACTCATAAAACAAAATGCAAAATGTAATATTATAAAAAAAAGGTCTCATGAAAGTACCAAAAAAGTATCTAAGAGGTGCTCTTATTCACTCGATAGTCCTTTTATTATGGAAATAATATAACTATGTCTACAACCTTTGAACGTATACTAATATATAAAGGTGAAGAGTTTGTTTGTTTGTATTTGTGTGTTTGGACGCGCTAATCTCACGATCAGCTTTTTGTGTTGGCTACAAAACATGGCCCTGTGACTAATACAAGCGAAGATACAGCAAGAAATGTGAAAAAAATTCATCGGTATGGGTTTCCGAGTACGCTGTTTAAATGGTTCAAGATACCCAAAAAATATGTATGATTCCTCTTCAAATTATCTAAAAAAAGTACACGACGCTATATCTATCTTTTAAGAATATCTTGCAAAAATGACGGGAAGGGACGCGACCGACGTCGTGGGTAACAGCTTAAGTTTATAAAGAAGAAAGGGTTTGCGAAAACGGACGAAGTCGCTGATACAGCTAGTCATCTTTATAACCGTCGTTACACCTATATATCAGCTGTAGTTTACGTAAGTCCACATTTAAATAAAACAATTTTAACTTGAACTACGACCCTAAATGCTTTGCAGCAATCGTTGTTACGGGGAGTTAAAATAATCGCGTTTTAAACCGTTAAAATTTCATTAAAACCATTAAGCATTCAATAGATAGTTGAAAATACGACATATATTCATTGAAATATGTACATCATTTTTACAATTGAGAGGTTTTCGGAGTTTGCCAGATACGTAGTCCACGTTGAGCAATTAAGTATTATTAAGTAATCCAACATATGTGGGCAGACAGTTGGATGTTGCGTGTGCTGCGCGCGCGTCGCACCTGTTCATCGTTCAGACCCTTTCCTAATTGCCACCCTCGTCCAATATACCTAATTCACTAAGGAAACGCCATGCTTACACACTTGTTAAACATAACATAATTGCTGTAACATTAAACGTCATTTAATTAATCATTATCGCTAGACCGGAACATGTAGGGTGGAGTAGCCATTACACGGTTGAAAAATACCTGATACCTATTTATTAATTGCGAATGTAATAAACAAGAGAAAGGAAGGGTGCGTTTAATTAATAATAATAACGTGATAGAAATATAAACAAAGGAAAACAATTTAAATCATCGAAAAGTACCTAATGTACGATGCGGGCCAGAATGAATAAAAGTAACGAAAGTTGTAGGTATTCATGTAATCTTATAAACAATAAACTAATAATTCTAATTGTATTATAGATTGTGGCGTGGAAGTCGTGACACATAGCACATCTGAATGCGTTCAAAATTCGTCATAGAGAGAGTTATTAAGTAAATAAATTAGTTTTCAGAGTGTTGTATGGTATAATAGTATCTTAGTTCTTTCAATTTTCAGGGAAAGCTAGAATACTACAATATATAATTCCAATTAGTAAATAGTTTTAGTGTAATCATAGTTTTAACGTATCCATCGTTTAAAAGTCGAAAATAAATTCAAAAAAATTTCGACTCGGGCAGTACTTGAACCGACATCGTCAGGGTTCCGTGCTGTTGCTCTACCAATTGAGCTACCGGTACCAACTCGGTATATTATATAGTGCCTTCATGTGCAATAACATGTACAAAATAATAAAGTTTTCAAACGTCCATCATCCATCCTTGTTAATTTGTAAATTTTAAGTCCAAGACATAACCTAGTAAGGTTAAAACCCACTAAATTAAGATTAAAAAGACTCTGATGTAACTTAATTGACTTAATAAATAAATAAAGGTTTAGTTTTTAATAACCTGGAACCATTAATTTTAAAGTTTATAAAAGACGTATGCAAAAAGTATGGCAATATTATCAACGCCTCTTTAACAATAACAAATGCCTGTTATTAAAAATAGGAGAACCGAATAACGCGGAAATACGCGGAACTGATCTTTGCTCATGTTATGCCAATAAAAAACCGATTTTATCTCAGTTTTATTGTGACGCAGGACACCTTCCAGGGCAAACAGAAGCAGGTACCTTCCTTCGAGCGGACATCAGTTAAAATCGTTGACAGCAAAAAAACTCGGACATCTTAAGGCAATATTAGAACGTTATCCTTACACAATGAACCGGTGATAATGTATCGGTGAATTTTCGAGCTGCAAAAAACTCGGGTCAGCGCAAAGTATTAAGTACTAAAAGAGCATTACGTGTAATCCGCGCTTTGAGCGTGGGAACGGCCAGAACGATCTCGTATTAAGTTAATAGCGAAGATAAAATGTATGAAAATGAAAAATAATGATGTAAAAATTTGTATATATAATTATATTTTAATTAGGCATGTAAAGTTGCTAAAAGCGCCCATTACATTCTCTACTTGTAACATGTAACAGATTTGATTCTGAAACATCTTTATAAATCTTACATTTAAGATCGAAATGAGTAGGTTCTACTTTGAAGATAATATGAAAACAACAAGTTAATACATATATATGTGTTAAGTTCTTAAAGTATATTAAACAATAAATATATTTTTAATTTATGATTTAATTAATTTTAATGTACGTTTAAGTATATTAATGAAAACAATACCTACCTACCTTTTACAAGTATCTATTATCAAAATTAAATTATAAGTTCTTGACTTCACCACGACTATGTGACCCCGTGACGCCAAAGTTGCATCCGCTCTTAGTCCAACATTCTAAAATGTAACTAAACATATTTTTATTAATTCAAACATCACAGGCTAATCAAATTATAGTTGTTATTAATTTAGTTTAACGTTTCTGCGTAATTAACCGAGATACAATTTTTACGATGATACAAAGCTTTGATAATAAAGCTTCAAACTGAAATTTACCGTTGGTAAAACTGTAATGAAGAAAATATGAAATAAGATAATTTAAAATAAATATCTATATCCAGATTCTGTCGCTCAGTTTTAGATGATTATGTTAAGTTACAAACTATTTTATTGCTTTATTGCAGTACCATGAAAACACGAATAAAACCGAAACTTTAAGGGTTTCCTTTGGAAATCTTGTCTGAAATGTGATCGGCATCAAACCAGTCTTATATCACGCATGAGCAACAATTCAACGACGAAACTCCAATGCATAGAAAACTTATAAGATGCACTTACGGGGCTTCACAAAACAAGGAGCACTATAAGAAATATAAATTATACCTGCTGATATATCGAAAATATTTTATACAGTAACGAATGTAAGTTACAATTTAAAGTCTAACTACTTTTTAGGACAGTAGGTAGGTAAATCACGACATTATTTTAAAAATCGTTGAATGCTATTTAATACAATTAACATTACACTTGTATAATTTTCCAACGAAAAGAAAACAAGGAAACTTTCAAAAAAGGGCCGTTTAGGCAAAAATAAAGGTTAGCTATATGAATACTTATATAGCTAACCAATAATAATATTTGTGTTAATTACTGTGCGCATTTCCTGAAGTTATAATTCTTTTTCTTTTTTAATTTTTTTAAGTTTTCAAAAAATTAAAATTGTTTTGTCATATAGAGCTAGGTATTAGCTACTGAGCTAATTATGTTATTACTATGAAAGAAACATCAATATATTTTTTTGTTTAGCAGCAATCAATAAATCATAGAAATTTTACGAAATGCAGAGCTCAGGACTTCAGTTATGCATAAAGTACCTACTCATTCGTGTGTTGAATATGTACCTACTCAATATTAGACCACTATCATTTATTTATAGCGGCATATTCATACCTAATGAGGAAAATAAACTCGGGATGAAACTGTTTGTTTAGACAAGCTTAAATTACTCTGCAGCAGAGCATACATCAAATGTTGAAGTTTTATGGCGGAGCTGTTCAGCTAGCGGCACTTTATAAAGCGGGTAGCGCCATCTCATCCATATGTTTCCTCGAATTAACGTCTGTTTTCTACGAAGAAAGCGGCCGTCGTTAAACACATAGATTGCTATATAAAACCTTATTGACTGCTTGTTTATAATAAAGAACATTTATAGCCAGATGGATAGATATTATACGAATACGACTTATTACGCCATACTGATAAAACTTGCGCTAGATAGGTACTAAGTATTGATCTATTAAGTAATAAATATAAATAATCTAGTTATGAAAGGAGGTGAAGTTACTTCAATTCCAATTATAATAAACTTCGGCAGTTTTTTTATTGATGGTGAAAGTTTGCAAAAAAATAGGTTTTTCATAATTTTTGGCTAAACAGTGGGATTTACAGCAAAAATTTTACTCGGAAATTATATATCATCCGATTCCCTAAAAAAAAATGTTTTTACACTTTTTTCATAAGTATTTCCGTGGTTACAAGTGAGAAAAAATTAAAATATAATAATATAACAATATTTATAATAACTTTAATGTAAATTTTTAGCTCTATGAGAATAATTATAATTGACTGGGCTATAAAAAAAGTAATTCAGACATAGGTCGTTCTTCTTAAAAAAATAATTTATTATCTTTTTTAAGAAGAAGTACCTTATAAAGTTTTATACATCCTGAAAATATGTATTCCTTTATAGCGAAAATATATCGATGTATCTATGAATAAAAAGAGAATAGACATCGTCGTATAATCTTCCGCCACGTGCAGAATAATCCCAACTAATTGAGAACGCGCGCCGCCTGATCCCGGATCATCAGGTGATCTTAATCCCAGACCCCTTGATGCAATGCGACTGAACTAGCTATCTGAATATTATTCAATCTAGCATCGATCTATTATACCCATTTATATCTTTTTATATCCATTAAAAAGTCCTTATACATTTTAATTAAATAGATTCGTCTAACAACGTAACCTGCACACAACTCCTTGCAGTTATAAAAATACATATTTATTTGGAATCATTTTTAATTACAATTCACAATAAGTAGATACTCGAAATTGTTGAAAGTTGAAATAAAATACTTGTAACGGTTTAAGACGTTAAATGTTTTAGTACGGATAAATAAATATTTACATTTTTACTATTTTTTTTCTATGCATATGGTATGCACTATGCATTATGCAAACCAAATAATACAGAGGTGTCAATAATACTGTCTTTTTGTACTAGTTGAATTTTTTGGAGCGCATTGTTTTAATATTTTATGGCCTGGTTACGACACCCTTGAGGTAAATCAAATTTTTATACTTACTAAAAGAAAGTATTCTCACTTGTACGACTTTACACTTCTTCTAATATCGATTTTAATGTATTTGTATAACGTATTTCAAGCGCATTTTTTATAAAATATAGATATTTTTTATATTTGCATTCCATACTCCTCGGCACTAATTTTAATTATACAACGTATTATTATGTATGAATGTCAAAATTAAACATTTTTTGAAATGGAATCACAGATAACGTATTACTAATTGGCACAGATGTGTTAGCCACAAGTCAGATCTCTGACAAGTGTCATGATAACAATTGACATCTGCGTTAAACTTGAACTGTCACTATGCACTCAATGAGGTCCTATTCTTGAGTACCTACCATATTCTTTAATTTAGATTCACATGCAAATCAAAACCAATAATATACTTTTCAGCACTTGGCATTAGTGGCAACTAGTGACTGATATGAACGCTACCCTTGACGATAAACGTCTCTAAACTTGGTATGTAATGATTAAAGTAAAAATTTACCACGACATAGTTAACATATATTGAAAAGTGAAGAAGAGATGGCTTCGACAAAAAAGCCTTCTTTACCAAAAGCGGTATTGGATATGAAGTTTATGAAAAAAACCAAAGAAAGGTTAGAAAGAGAGTTTGAAAACTCAAAAGGTCATGATACACTATATGCTGATGTTATAACAAATGAAATGAAACATGCCTCTAGTAATTACATATCCGAAGCTAGTTTTATATTTTGCACAAATTTATTAGAAGGTAGATTATCATTTAAAGGAATGAATCCAGAAATTGAGCGATTAATGGAAAGAGAGAGCTCACATACAAACAATGGTGAAATGACCAAAGATGTATCCGATGAAGTTTTAGCTAAGACAATGGTAAAGTTTGATAAAAGAAAAAGACATTCCAGTCCTAGCAAATACAACATTATTAAAAAAAAGAAGCAGTAATTTATTTTATTACTTGGTATAACTTATATTGTAATAAGTATGTTTTAGTTATATTAAAATGAAAATAATTCTTTCATGTCAAGTTTTTTATTTATATCTTTGTTGTGTTATCTATCATGTAATATCATATTTATGTTTTGCCAGGAGGCTTTATATGTGATAACTTTTTTGTTAAATTATATTAAGTGAAACATAGATCACTTTGTTTTTAATATTTAATTGTTTTTAACATATTAATATATCATGCAATAAAAATTAAAATTAATAAGTACAGATGTTACAATTGAGAAATATGTTAAAGCAAAAATTCACATTTATTCAGTGTGTATACCTATTTTATCAATCAAGACCCTGTTGCATTAGTGTATGGAGATCTCGAAAAGCGGCGCCCAATCTCCCTTGCAATGTTTGTCTCTTAAGTAGGAAAGCTCGAATATCTAAAAGTAGTGTATGTATTTGTGCACACTTTGTATAGCGCTCTTCTCGAGGTATATCCACTCCGAGGGTTCGTACTGGTGTACTTACATTAGCACGAACTACAGACGAAAAGTTGCGAACTATTAGTCGTAGCGCATTACAACCACACTGCATGTATCTGTAAATCAAATAATATTAGTTATTCTCATGAATTCGAAGTAAATTAATAATGTCTATATAGTAAAAAATGGCCTTACGATTCATATTTGCTTTGAAGCGCTTCAGATATCTTAGGTAGCATTAATAAACATATATCCAGATCCCATAATGACCTGTAAATTATAAGAATGAATTTCCATAAAGCGTGGTTAAACAAAGTATAAATTAAATTTGAACAGATTTTATAGAGCACTCACGGTTTATGTGCCATCACATTTAAAATATCAACTATCACAGATGCATCTTCCAATGAGATAACTGATTCTAAAGCTGCTTTTAGTCCCTTGTTGACTCGAACGGAGTTGAATATCTAATAACAGAGAATTCAAAAGTTTATGTACCATAAGTGATAATAATTAAGTCAATAAAATGAATTAATTTCAAAACAAAATAAATTCCACAATTCACACTTAAGTATCGAATTTTTAGTGTTCTCGAAATAAAATCGAACTGTTGATAGATACCACTCATTATATAAAGTTTTCTGCAAAGTTAAAATTTTATTAATATACGACTACTTACATTGACTTTATCTAGTATAATAAATATAGAAAAATCTATTAAACAAACAGATATTGTAAAAACAACGAAATTCTACCGATTTTCTTTTCTATCTCACTTCTGCTGTTTCTATTTTTTCACTTGTGATCCTATAGGAATATCATAGACTGAGTTATATATAACACAGAGCGTAAATTTAAAATAATAATAAAAAACCTGTAAGGCACGCTGTCTAGCTGTCAAAACTGCTACCATCGATTCGTGCCCTCGCATTATCACACCAAGAACTTCTTGCTCGCTGGGTTCTGCGCCACCTCCACAACCACCACGACGTATCCCACAAGCAGTAACACCGCGCTATATAAAGAAACGTATAAAAATGTAAAGTCTTTGGCGTAGGCCACAGTCTGGCACTTAGAGGTTTTTTGAGTTAAGGAACCGAGATACAGTCAATAATACAATTAGTTAGATTATTTTCCGTGTTGAATTGCTTAAATACTATGTAGAATCACGAGAGACATACATCTTTTGACAAATCTAAATATTTTTTGAAGTTTTTAAAGAAAAAAAAGTAAATTTTGCAATAAATAAACTACAAAATTAATTATCACTTAGAATTTAAAAAAGCAAATGGTCCCATATTTTCGTTTTAAAATTAAAGTCCTTACCGGAACAAAGTCATCAAGATCCAAGCCGACAGGTTTGTCGATTGCCAGTGGTACAAACTCCAACTCTGGGTCTCTTTCGGGCGCGGTTTCAACAGTCCTGTTTATCGTTACCCGATCTCGTGTCACATTTTCGGACAATCGTGTTCTATAAAATTCATTATGACAAATAAATAAAATGTATAAACCCGCACTTCAACAAATTTTCTTGTAAGCTTTTTTATTACAAAGAAGTAAAATATAAGCATTTGATATGTAAATCCCATAAAGGATTATTTCACATATTAAGCATTGTTTATAACACTCAAGGATATATCCGTTCCCTTTAGGTGAGATTTCCTAAAAGTCTGATACCTTAAGGTAATCGATTCTCGGCCCGAGTTATGGTCTATTAAATATATACCCGTACAGCGGAAATACCTTTGCAAACTCATTTAATATGGTGGTAGCTGTAAATGTCATATAATTACCTTGAATTTTGCGCAGATGCTCTCGTAAACGATAAAGACCTGGGACCTAATGATGGCGGACCTAACGATACCTCACTATTGCTTGGTCGTAGATTCGTTGCAGCTATAAAAGTAGTAAAACAAATTTAAAACCAGCCAAAACGATCTTTATATAATATATTCTCTAAGTGAAGCAAATGCGGGTACAAAATGTGTACAATGGAATACTTACTTATTTCAGTAGTCGATTTCGTTTCTTTGTACGAGTTATGTCTGTTAAGAATGGGGGCTTGTACACCGTTTGAAGCAAAATTGGTTATTGGGGAGGTCTGCACGCTCGTTACTAAGCTATCGTCTTTATTGCTGTCTATTAGTCCTGCCAACCAAATGATTATTACGTTAGTAATAAGCAACCATGTAACGACAAACAAAACCCCAATAAATGAGCTCAAGTACAACTTTCTAATTTCTCTGAAGTTTTATTTTCTCGTCACAAAATGTGAGTTAATATTTAAGTAGCACAAGCACTCCGTTCTCCCTTTTAATAAATAGTAATTGTATTTAACTAACGCCTGTCCTAATACCTATATTGTTTTAATTTTACACTAGCTCGAAATTTTAAAATTATGTAATATATAATTAAAGTACCTATTCTTAATTAGAAGTTTTTTTGACTGTCCAGCAACATGTTTATTACAACAATACGGCAAACTCTAATGTAAATAGATTCATAGTAAGCCAATAATGTATATAGTAGGTACAAATAAGAGTGACGTATATAATGTACGATGCGCAATCTTGTTCAGGAATGACCTATGTTATGCTTATATATTATAACATAGTCCGTAAAGTACATACCGTTGACGGTAGATCGGTAGTTGACATTCGCATGCAACTTACTGGGAAACTCTGTCCGCTTCTCGTTTACTGCGTAATGTTCCTTGGCGGTGGGTATTCTAGAGCTTTGCTCCGGACGTTGTCGTTGTGGAGGAGAGGGTTGAGGGGCTGGACGCGCCGGCTCTTCAAACAGCAGGTCCCGTAGCGACGTATTCACTGCCCGCTCTGCTTCGCACTCGTTAGCTAAGCAATGGTATTGTATTCGTCAATGACTTACTTTAAATACTGTGTGTAGTTTACGGAAGTAGTACACATTTAAATAAAACACTAACGGTTTAAAACGCGCTCATTTTAACTACGCCCCGACGTTTCGGATGCTCTTATTCTCCCCGTGACCACGGCTGCTGCAAAGCATCGCGTTTTAAACAATTAAAGATCTTTATTTAAATTATTATATAGAAATTAACATGGTGACGGACGAAATATGTAAATTGAAAATAAAGAACTAAAACGAAATAACATGTATCTCATCTATCTATCAAAATCTCTGTTCTATTATATTCATATGATTTAGTTATAACTTACCTATTACTGGAAAATCTTCTGATGAGAGACCCATGGCAGTCGCTGGTGGTGGTGTACGAGTAACTGTTGAAACATATAATATAAAATAATCCTTCTTCGGTAATATTATTCTATTAATACTATGCATCTGTAGTGCGTTATTATTGCTTAGGCAAGTTTATTTTAAAAAGAGGCCACTTCCCCACTTCATTACCCGTTACGGTTAAAACCTCAATTAAATTCATAATTTATAAAACATAATTCCAACATTTGCTTGCCATATAGCTTGAAATGAGCATTCTCTTTTTATCCTACAAAGAACTCTACTCACGTGCGCGAGAGGGGCGAAATATTTCAGTGTAGTCATTAATATTTGATATTATGGCACCTGAATCCTCGTCAGCCTCTGTGCCCGAAGTAGACTCTTCTGCCGTTTTTTCATCGAGAAGCGTCGGTCGATGAAGGACTATTAGCAAAGTCGGTATTTAAATATTTGTAAAATACAAGAGCCATTTTATAAAGCCTCTTGGGTCTTCCTTGGTTATTTAGTTTCACGCGCAACATCTGATGATGGCAAAACGTCTAGAACAAATTCTCCATTACAATGGCCAAACAGTACAAAAACCCAAGAAGCTTTATAATATGGCTGCCAATGCCCTATATTTTATTGTATATGCTGAAAAAGTAGCTTTATTACATATAAACACATAGATACACTTTAAAAAGGTGTGCATATAATTAAAAATAGAGAAAACTAATACCTTCTTTAGGTGGCCTTTCTTTTGAAAAACTCTTTCTTATTGTATGTCCCTTTTGGAAGGGAGAGATGTCTCTGACGACATTTAGTGCAGCTGGTGCTGCTCCGCCAAATGGGTGAACTTTATTCAAATCAACCACTGACAAAACAACATATGCAGAATGAAATGATCCAGCTATCTGTTAAAAATTTAAACAAATTACACATCATATTTTGTATTTAATTTTCATTGTCAGGATGAGAAAAAATACTAACAAGTTGAGTTTGTGCAACTGTCATGTCATGAATTTGTCCCCAGTGCCCTGACACTGTATCTAGGACGCGAGCAGGCTCCCATCCTACTACATGCAATCCATCATTGCCACATCCCAACAGTGTCGCACCATCATCACTAAATGCTATATGCCTGTAATATTCCCAATATGAAACATTTATGTAAACTTAATGAATGGAAAGAAGTGGAAAAAAAATTAAGGGATAATTTATAAGCTTTTCACATGACAAAGAAAGAAAGGGGGAGGAAATAGGATACTGTGTGACAAGGTATCACCATCTTTTCATCAACAAATTTTAAGTGACTTAACTTTTAAGTGACCTGAACTCTGAAGACAAACTGATTACAAGTTATAATCAGGCAACTGTATAGTAATTGATCTACCTTATTGAAGTATTATCTTTTTCAAACTTAGAAACCAGCTCAAATTTTTCCATATCCCAAAAATTAACAGTTCGGTCAGAGCCACAACTTGCCAGAAGGAATTCATGTGGGTGAAACTTTACACATGTCACAGCGGATGTGTGCTCCATAAACTCTTGTAAAACTTTTCCGATTCTGACATCCCATACTTTCACCAGACCTAAAAAGTATTTTAATTTATTATACAAAAGGGGTTGAATTTCACTGGATATAATCAATTCCATAAACTTTACAATATTACCATCTTCACATGCCGAAGCTATCCATTGGCCATCAGGGCTAAATTGGAGGCTATTAACAGCAATGCGATGACTAGAATATGTAACAATGCATCCTTTTTTCCTTGTATCCCACAGCTTTATATGACTATCACAAGAGCCAGTTGTCAAATAGTCGCCATATGGATGGAAATCCATACACTTAATAGCACCTTTATGTCCAGTAAATGTTCTAAGTAATTTAGCAGCCTCTAAATCCCAAATCTTAAGGGCACCTGTCTGTGACCCGGCACACACTAAGTCTTCTGAATGACCAAAGCATACACATTCTACTGGAGTTGTATGTCCACTGAGACTCTGTAAAATTAAGCTTATTCTATATATTATTATGTTGGGACACAGGCCATCAAACAGTATGGTCAAAAGGCTAACAAACCATTAAACAGCCCTGCCTTCCAATTGCCCATAAGTTCACTTTCTTATCATCTCCACCAGTTGCTAATACTTGATTAGATTTATGTCCCATTGCTAAGCAATTGACATTGGCCTTGTGGGCAACAAACTCCTCTAAAATTGGTGAAAATTAAAAGATTACATAATAATATTATGTATAATTATTTAATCCATAATACATAAATACGTAAGTAAACCAAAATGAACTTACGAAGTTTCCATGATCTACGAAGAGTGTCCATTTTCTTCCCGTCGACCAGAAAAGCCATTAAAAGCAACTTCTTTGAAGTATTTCTATGTCAGTATATATAAAAAGACTATTCATTTAGTAGCCATTGTTTCAATATTATAAATATTGGTCAAAACAGATGTATTTTACATATGATTTTTTAAAAAATACATAGAAAGGCAGGTAAATTATAAAATATAGATTTAATGGTCTACCTGTTATATAAAATTTAATTTTTTATTTACTTATTTGTTATAAAAAAATAAAATATTAAAAAAAAACAATAAATTTTGTAATATAATTCACTCCAAATTCCAACTTATAGAAGTATTAACTGTCAAGTGCCATCTGACATTAACAAAATTGACAGTGCCTACCTAGTTTATATTTGTTACATATTGTCTTTTTTATAAGAATTAGTTTTCTAGTGCAATTTATTCACTCTAATAATATTCAACTTTGATTTCAGTGCTTAAAGTATTATATCTCTTGTTTTTTAACTTGTATCATCTGTTGCATAATATTGTATGTAAGTTTTGCCTCAATACGAGTGTGAACATTTTTTAAATAAATACACCCTTAAAATACCGTGTTTTTTTATACCATTGGTAAAAAAAAACAATAATCATATTTTATACTATCACGCTTTGTTATTCCTCTCATGGACACACGACATTGGCAGAATTCCATATGATATCCAGTTTAGATTATCTGCAAGACAGCCTGTGTATCAAGTATTTGTGTTGATAGTGTATATTCTGTTAAATCTGTTGTTATCAATTATGACATTAATAAACTTTTTTGAACTGATTTGTCTAAATATATATAATCAGTAATATGTAGTATGTATTTAATTTTCTTATTTAGGTACTTTTCTTTTGAATGTTGTTTTTTTTACTGTAGGAGGCATAATATTTTGAATAGGTTACTTTTTCTTGATATGATTGTGGTTTTTCCATTTTAGACTCAACCGCGTAAAATGTATCCAAAATATACATTTTTCTCTTATTACCCTTAAGTGTTTTAACTGGAACGTGAGCTTAACCAAAAATATATAAAAATGTTATGTAAAGCAAGAAGTTTAGAAGCTTTGAAAAAATTTACAACTACTTTAAAATTTCAAAGTCCAAGGTTTATTCACTATGTACAAGGTCAAGAACCAGAGCCCAGAATTAGGGAATATTTTTACTATATAGATCACCAAGGTATGGTAAGTATAAAGCAGGTATAGAACAGGGCATCTTCCTGATATGTATTTTGTTTACGTGACCTTTAAAAGTATCCTCTAATATCTTAAGTACTTTTCAGTTATTCTTAGATGATTCGAAAATGAAAAACTTCACTTCATGTTTTAAGGAGAAAAAGTTTTTGGAATTCTTTTTCAAAAGAATACGCACGAATAATACTGGCCGATATCAAGAAGAATTTCCATTTTTGTCATTGTGCGGACGCGAACGTAATTTTATAAGATGTGACGATGTACCCATTGTTTTCACTCACATTATTAAAAGGGATGCAAAAGATGTTTTAACATATGGATATGTAGGTGAGGCACTTGCCTTTGATTTTGTGCCAAATAAAATTTACATGCTACCAGATTCTGGAAGAGTGTATCATCCAGCCGATGATAAGTATGGTGGGGTAGGTTTAATAAGATCAAAACTTTCTATAGAGCTTAGTAAGAATTTTACATTTGGGAATGGAGAAAGCAATCCACCAACAAATTTTTTATGGAATAAAAAATCCTATGAATTAGACCAATTATGGTTTCATAATAAGGTAAAGGAACATAATTTAAAAATAAGAGATATAACTGAACATTAGATTTATTTTTGTTAAATGCTTAACAATTTTACATAATTTTCTTACATTGTACATCTTTTTTTTTGTATAAAATTGACCATCATTATTTTTAATTACTATTCACATATCATTACTCAATTAGTACCTTAATATTAATAAATAACACATTATGTAGCTCTATTATTTTTCATTTAAAATAATATTGCACTCACATAGTTCACTATAGAAAGCATTATGTGCAATGAACACATGTGATATGCTATTAAGGTGAAGAAAATTATTGTGTTAATAAATCATTACCAAAACAATAAATAAATAAATGTTATTAGTAATATTGCAAAGCTTTTTGTATAAAAAATATGAATATCTCGTAGCTACACTTCATTGCTACATTTATATCTATTGTGCATAAATAAAACTTATCACAGATTTTTATGCTATGGCTAAACCAGTTTTTTTTTGTAATTATAAAGTGTTAATAATAAATAAAACACTTGAAACCCCCCCATTAAAAGGGGGATTTCATTATTACTAGTATTATTTACTTAGGGGTCAATGATTCTGTCCTCTTACCTCAATACAAATAATAAAAAAAAGTGTGCAGGTACATATTGACTTACCAACTCTTTTATAAATATAATCTCTTCTCATAACTATTCCAAAAGATTTAAATTGGGCTATTTCTAACTAAAACTTCAATAATGGTTAGTAGTAAAAGCAGTATTAACCCTCAAATAAAGATAGTGTTACAAAATTCACAAAATTGATCAGCTTTAATATCCACTTATGGTGTTTCTTTCGAAAACGCTTGATAAGAATCTGTTTGCACCCAAGATACACCATGGGAATTCTCGTCATTCTGCTTTGGTTTTAACATTTTGTTTTTAGCGGCATCATGAATTGTAGGATCATAGGGTTTAAAAGAAATATAATGCTTATCATCTGTTGATGGAGTATCATAAAGATGTTCCAAGCTCAAAGAAACACAGTCCTTAACCTTTTCTATAAAAGATTTCTTATTTGTTTTAAACCTGAAAAAGAAACATTATGCTGAGATATATTTAATAAAAAAAGCTTTACATTAACATGTAACTGAAAAATTCTTACAAAATAGATGCTTCATCATTTACTGGTGCTTTTATATTTAAATTATAGAAAATCCAATGTAAGTACTTCAATATTTGCCAGATATGATTTTGATTTCTATCCCACTGAGGAAACACTTCATTAAGATTTAAATCACCAGTGTTACAATCCACAGCAGGATGATACAACTGTGATGAAAATGTTACTACCTGAAAATGTAATTACATTAAAAAAATATTCAATATGACTGAATAGATTAGGTTTTACATAAGATAATGTCTAATTAAAATAAAAGGATGTAAAAACTTACAGGAACTTTCTCATTAGGAAAGGTATCTGGTAATGTAAGTGTAAAACGGAAGACTCCTCCACCATAACAACCTGATCTTACAAAAATTACTCCATACCATACTGAAAGTAATAGTCTTTTATCATCTATTTTAAAATTAGAATGGTAATTGTAAACATGTATTTCAAAAACTGCAAATATACAACTAAACACTATTACTCACAGAATGAGTTTTTGTAAGATGGGATTACATAAATTCCTTTCAAGTTTTCTGTTCGCAGCTTACGGCTGTAAATTTTATAAGTTTAAAATTACTTCTTTCAAAATTGAATAACTCATAATAAATATCATTATGTTTGTAACTTACTACTCCGCCATAATAATATACTCTTGATGGAATATTGTGGAAAGTTCCTTCATATCGCCTCCACTTTCTTTATTCATATACTTTGACACAGATCAGAAAAGCTTCAATTAACGAATAAAATACTAAAATAGGAAAGTTGGTCGGAAATCATAGAGTCACGCGTGATCTGTAATAATTCTTGAAAGAGATTTACTCACAAGCAAATAGATGGTACCTATTAGAAAAATAATTTAGGTCTATCAGATTTCGACGACGATTGTTTCATTACATTCCTAAGTAACATGGGATATTGTTATATCTAGCAACATATAGGTAAACCGTAAAGTTTAATATAAGAATATCAACATCCGTTGCGAGTTTGAAGGTTGGGAAATAATATTGTTTATAAAAAATGCAGTTGAAAAAACAACATGAATTTTTCACATATGTTATCATATAATACCACCATGTGTATTGTGCATAATATCCTACTCTATGGTACTATGTATATGTAATTTATTCCAGAAAGATAAATGTCAATGAGGACGAATGTAATTTTTTTTTAAATATTTAATGGCCTGGTAACTATAGTATGTAATAACTAATACAATAGAGATAAGAAATGTTTAACGAATACAGATATAGTAGGTAATTAACAGTTTCACAGATTACTTAGTAAATCGATGTAAGCACACAAGTAAACGATTTTGCTTAATGAATAAATATTTTGTCATAATTAATATTATTCGTTCCTATAATTATTTATTAAGACAAAGTGAAATCATGTTTAATGAAATGTAATTAGCGAAGTACTTATCACAACCCTATATATAAAGAAATTAATATCGGATGAAAATAAGCAAATACGTCTGTGGTCGGAAGTTTGATGGCGATAAAATTTCCTACTTATACCTGTGAATATGTGTGATTAGAAAGACAAAAAAATCTACTTCTTTTTCTTCTTAGTTTGATGACTTTTCATTTAGGACTAATAACAAGGCGTCATAATATAAATTATATTTATTTTATTTTTCGACCGCTGACACTGGAAAAATCTAAAGCAGCTATGCGTTTAACTTCGTTATGTCGGTTGTAGTAATGCCTAGTTTCTAGGAATATCATCTTTTATCGACAATACTTTTGAAATATCTGAATTCAACTTATAATGTTATGTCTGATAGCGCCATGGTCATAAACTACATACGTATAGATAGATAATATTTTTTGATTATTGTATAATTCTTCTTCCTAATTTGTTGGCGTTCCCTAAGGATTCTGCCAATGATATAATATTGTTATACGATTTTTCACTAAATACATGTCAAACTAAACTGTCACCCGCAACATGCTAGAGAGTACAAACTATAAAGCGGGGAAATAAAAACATGTGGAAGATATTATTTATATTATATAAAATAGATCATACTACGTTTATTTAGAACTAACTAAAAATACTTATACCGGAATTGCTTTTTAATGTAAAGCTTTAAGTGTAAATATATCAAAATGCAGGTTTCAGAAATTGATAATGTTAAAATATACAATCTTAGCGCTGGAAAGTCCTTACCTGATGTAAGTTTTTATATTATATGTAATTATGTATTCCTGTGTATTACAAGCCAAATAAAATAAATATTTTTTAATACTGTTTTCATGTAGTGGTTAACCGAGAAAAAAAAGCGAGCTCTTCTAAAGAAAAATGTTGACCTTAGAAGGAGATTAGAACTGATTCAGGAATTTGACATGCCTGGTGTGAGCACAAGTATAAGAGCTTCGAAAGATGGGCAATATATTATGGCCACAGGAATTTACAAACCAAGGATTAAATGTTATGATGTGAACAATTTATCTTTGAAGTTTGAGAGATGCTTAGATTCTGAAGTTGTGACATTTCAAATTTTAAGTGAAGATTACAGTAAGGTATGTTTCTTTCAAATAATCATTTTATTACTTTGTAACATATCTTGTGTTCCACAGTGAAACATATGTTTTCAAGAAAGTGAAATTTGTCAGAAAACAACATGAAATTCTGATGTCACTAAGCTTACAGATGTTGAGTACAAAAATAACCCCATAGAGCAATACTTATCATAGAGCATCATTTAATAAAGTGTGGATGAACCTTAATTTTGTTACTTATCTATTTCAGATTGTGTTTTTACAATGTGACCGATATGTTGAGTTTCATGTTGGACATGGAAGGCACTACAGGCTTAGAGTTCCACATTTTGGTAGAGATATGACCTATCACCGACCCTCTTGTGATCTTATAGTTGTGGGTGCTTCAAGTGTAAGTATTAAATTTATTTATACAGGCAAGTTAACAAGCTACATACATAATATATTTTCAATACAGAATTCTATATGATTAAGGATTCAAAGAATTGAGTATTAATATATAAATAAATACAGATTAATTTAATATATATATATTAAAGAATAATATGTAACAAAATGTTGGACACAGTGATAAAAAGCTTAAACTTTTTTATCACTAGAAAAACAAAGCATTGCTGGATAAAAAAAGACAAAAAGAACAATGTTTCATAAACAAATATTTCAGAAACAACTATGGCTATAGAGCCATAGATATTTGCAATATCAGGTATATAATTGAAAACTCACTTATTATAATTCTGTTAAATGTTTTTTCAGCAAGTATACAGGCTAAATTTGGAATTAGGACAATTTCTAGCTCCATATGTGACTAAAGCATCAGAAATTAACTGTTGTTCTGTAAATGATGAGCATGGCCTATTAGTTTTTGGTACAGAAGGTGGCCATGTGGAAGCATGGGACCCCCGCACAAAGTCGCAGCAGGGTATTCTTGACTGTGCTTTACATTGTTCAGATGCTGATTATAGGTATATGTTAACAATTTATCCCATATTTTCATCAGTTCATGATGTTACGAAATAAAGTACTTCACTTTAATAAAACACTAACTGTTTGAAGAGCTTAAAAGAGCACTATATAGAATATATATATAGATTTTTAACTTTTTGAATATTATTTTAACATCACGGCTACTGCAAGGCATCCAAACCAACAGGCGTATTCACAGTACACAGTAGTTTTTTGGTCATACCTATGATTGATTTACCTTTGCTTAATTGTAAGTCACTGATTAAATTATCAGGTTGAAGTATGATGTTGCACCTTTAGCATTTTATTATGATCTGCCTAACAAAAAAGTTATTGCAAGTTTTATACTTATTCTTGTTTGTTTTATGCCTTATATTTGATTGCAATTTAATTGTTCTTACAATTTTCTAAAAATATTGTTCTTCAGAAACTCAAGTGTGCCTTCCATAACAGCTGTAAAGTTTAACGGGGCTTTAGAACTGGGTGTTGGAACGTCATCAGGTCATGTGTTGCTGTATGATATCAGATCAAGCAAACCATTATTAGTGAAGGATCACATGAACGAAATTCCCATAAAAAATATAGAATTTCACAAACAAATGAACTATGTATATTCCATGGATGCTAATATTGTTAAAATATGGGACAAAAGTACAGTAAGTACTATTTATTAATTACAGATACTAGTTGACAGCCATTCTGAACCCAGTGTCGACAACCATTTGTTATAATCGATGAATGAACTAGCTAAAAAACCAGTATTTTCCATAAACATGTTGGACTTTGCCTGAGAAGTTTATGGGTGGAGTCACAAACCATCCTCGGCAGATAAAAAAGCCGTCCAATTTAATCGCGTTTCGGTTTCAGTCGATGGAATCCGAATATCCAAAGCCAAAATAGGTCGACAGCGTGTCTTGTTTACAGTTCGTTAAATGGCTTGTGTTTTTAACTCAGATTTAACTTATTGCAGGGCAAACAATACACTAACATTGAATCATCTGTAGACTTTAATGACCTTTGTGTCATTCCAAACACGGGATTGTGCATGATGGCTGTTGAGGACCAAAAAATGCAAATATATTATGTTCCATCGCTAGGTATGTTTTAAAGGATTTAAAGAATATTTGAAATCTTTTTGGAGTCATAAACTTAATAACTTTTTTTCTTTAGGTCCTGCTCCCAAATGGTGTGCCTTCTTAGACAATTTAACCGAAGAAATGGAGACTTCAGCTTCTCAAACTGTCTATGATGATTATAAGTTTGTCACCAAACAGGAGTTAGAGTCTTTGGGACTGGGCCATCTTCTTGGAACCAACCTTTTAAGGGCATATATGCATGGGTATATCTCTTGTCTACTTGGACAGCTAAAGTGTACTTTTAGTAGATACTGACAGGACTTGTTTGTTTACAGATATTTCGTAGATGTGCGATTGTACAAGCGCGCCAAATCAATTGCGGAACCCTTCGCTTTTGAGGAATACAAAAAACGGAAGATCAGAGAAAAAATCGAACAAGAGAGACCTTCAAGACTTAAAGTGGATGACAATTTGCCTAAAGTTAACCGTGATCTCGCCTCTCGCTTACTTGAACAAGTTGATAGACCAAAGAAGAAACAAGCCGGCAATTTACTTCAAGATGATCGGTTTAAGGTCTTATTACTTTTATTTTCATTATGTAACCTTCCCTAGAGACATATTACACGTTATACACATAAGAACAAATTCCATATTGGTTCATTGCATTGATTAAGAATGACTGAAACAATGTTCATAATACTACCGATATTCGTTTGTTTTTTCTCATCTTTGGTCTTTTCATAAATAGAATACCACAATCTCTGACCCATTCATTACTAATTATATTTTTGTTTAGGCCTTATTCGAGAATCCAGATTTCGAAGTAGACAAGGAGGCAGAAGAGTACCGCTTGCTGAATCCAGTGCTTGCCCGTTTGGATAAGAACAAGGCGAAATCAAACAGCGAGACCGAAATCCAGGTTTGTGCTTAATAATAATTTTAACCAAACTCTAGGGCGTTGTGGTTACGAAAATAAATTGTATGTAACACCAAAAAGCACGCTCGCGGCATCCTACAAACCTTTACGCATTTATAGTATCAAAAGAAAAAAATAATATTAGTAAATTATATTTAGGTACAAAACGACGACGACGAAGAAGATTCCGATCGTGAGCTATACGAATCCAGTGGCGACAGTTCAGATGAAGACCGCACCTGGGTGAAAGAAGTCAAGAAACAACACAAAATAATTCGAAACAAAAAACAGGAATCGGAAGACGATGGTGCTAGCAAAGAGAAGGTTCCCGAATTTAATGTTGCGCCAAAGGCTTTTAATATAAAGAGCATGATGCAAGTGAGCAAGAAGAGTTTAGGGGATCGACTTAACAAGGAAGGCACCAGTATCGTTACTGGATCCGGAGGGAACAAAGAGATGAAGTTCATCATGAGAGGAAAGAAACCCTTCTCAGACAATCAAAAGAAAATGAAAAAACACCACGAAGAGAGAAAACAAATCGTTAGACGAACAGGGTTTCTAAAAAGAAAGAAACGTTAATAAGAAATAAATATGTTAAACCTTGATTTTGTTTTCTTTTTTATTAATCTATACTAAGCTACTACAATTGCGACATATAGAGAAAAGAAAGTTAAAATTGCATTTAATTGTTATCAAGCGTAAAGGGTATCATAGTTCACCAGAGATCGTAAAGCTTTGGTTTTCACATTCGTTATAAAAATAGTAAGTAATCTCACACCTACTTCAAATTTTTTTTTTGTTTTCTTTTTCTCATATTTTTCTAGGTTGCTATTTATAGGGATATATGTTTTTTACTACAGGGATACTAAAGGCATCTTGGCCTTTTGTAAACTTTTCATAAGAAGCTATTACCTCTAATTAAATTTATACATAAGTACTACATAGTATAGTAATGGTATAAGGTATTTATAGTGTGAATCTTAATTTTCCTTATTATTTTGTAATTGCATGTCACATTGTAAGATACCAAAAAGGTTGTGTACTTCTGATTCTCTTATAAAATGAGAACATCATTGTTGTATGAACTAAAAAAGAGCATTAAAATGCAGTTCATTGGCACTTCCAAGCGATGATCAATTTGTAAACAGCGATTTGTCAGATTCGCTTTTATTATTTATATTATGAGGGTAAGCGGGCACGTTTCAGTTTCTGTGATGAATGGAGGTGTATTTTGAAAACAGGCGTTTTATAAAGTATGCAAAACGATAATGGTTCCTACAGTAGTTGTGAGTACAAAACAATAATTTCTCGTTAGCTTGTTATTGTTATTTTAATTGTGATATTAAAAATAAAAGCGGTAGTAGGAGTCGTAAAGAAAGTTATTGTTTGAATAATGGTCTTTAGAAGTAATTAACGTATAGATATGGCCAATAAAGGCAATAATGTGAATTTCTTAATCGGCCGTGCAGCTAGTGATCTGCTGGACAACCATGTGCTGGGCAACGAAAAACTGGGTGTGCCAGCTATGGAGAGATCCGTGCGGTCCAGCGTTGACGGGAATAGCGTTGATGTAAGTTTCGTCCCACTATCGCTTTAATAATATGCAAGATTAATATAATATATGACTAACTGCCTTGTTTATTTAACGTAAACACATATATTATCTATGAAAAGGTATATCGGATATACAAACCTACTTTCTTTATCACTAGAATTCAATTTAATTTAATAGTTATTTTAAAATCAAATTAAATAAATACATTTGAAAACTTTTATAATTTTCACATGTTATTACACATGATGGCACTATATAAATTGAAAATCAACGATGACGTGTAGGACTCAGTAGCTTAATTGGTTAGAACAGAGTTCCCCAAACTTTTTTGTGTCGTAGCTCGTAGCTGACGCTCCTTGCCATGGTTTTCAGTGTTGGGTAGACCTCCTACTTACCTGATATTGATTTCCTGTAAATTTCTAACTGCGGTGAAGTTTAGTGTTAAAAACTTAAAGTAAGAACACATGTTGGAGGTTGTCATAGTAATTTAGCGTATAAGTAGTATAGACCTCTTTGCGAATCACTGGGTTATAACAATAGCACGGAACGCTGAAGATGCCGATTTAGAGAGAGATTTAGAACTTAAATCGGCATCTTCAGTTCCGTTCGTAAATTTTTTATCGATTTTTTATGTAAATAAATATAATGTATAATGCATTATCCCGAATATAATTACAGATAGGCGAAATAACAGAATCTCCTGAAACTGACTACATGAGTACTTCGGCTATATTACATTATTGTAAATCAAAAGTAAGTACTGGATACAAGTTATGTTCTCATGTGGATGTATTCGTGGATAACATTGTCTGATCATATTGCCACAAAATTGTATTGTTACTAAAATTGCTCTTATTTTAATACGAATATGAATTTGGTTCGCCCAATCACATTGTAGCCTACAAATAAGGTCATAACATTTCGTCTACTCCTCACTGTGAAAAAGAGATTCTAAATCTTATTAAATAGGTATACGTAGATCTACTAATATATTTATTGTAATAAATATACAGTTAAGTAATTTAGCGTAAGACTTCCTCAAATTAAGTTTTATGAAATAGGTATGCTATAATATGTTTATTGTCTTTCTTTTAATAATAAAATTACAACTAGTATTTAGGCTATTCCAGTAAGTTATGACCAGTAGCGTAGCTAGGTGGACAAGAGCCCCGGTGTACGTAATTCTAAGGCTCAAGAAAAAATCGGGTCCTCTTTTAGCATAGCTTGAATTAAATGAACCTCCAAAATTGTAAATAGCAACAAGAACGATAAAAATCCTTTTCTTCTACGCTTATGTCGTCTCAAAGATAATGTTAGAGGGTCCCTAAATTCCGGGGCCCTGGTGCACTGCACCAAACTGGCCCTACGATAGCTACGCCACTGTTTATGACTAACTTGTGTTGACGGGGGCAGACTCCTTTCCATGTACGAAATTTTGCTTTATTATTTCAGATTTTGGTGCCATACTTAAAGCTCTTAACAGTTATGGGTCTGCGGCCAGTAGCCGACAATTCAAACTCATCTAGCTACGTAATCTATTTCTCTCATTTTCACTCTGCCCAAGTTGCCGTATTAATGTCTTTGGGATATGTCTTACAATATATGGCGTGCTTTAGGTAAGTCATACCGTAGACCGGCCATCGATCACTCTCGCCACTGATTTTACGCATTTTATAGTTTAATCTACAAATAAGTTCCTAGTTAGTTACCTACGTCTTTAATTAATAAACTATACCTTATAGTGATGTATGTTGATTCGTTTTCAAACAATTCTCTTTATTTCAGGAGAGACAGGGGTTTTTGTTATAAATTAGTGCCTCTAGCTCTCACCTCCTCTTTAGAATATGATGCTTATAGGCAAGTCTGTTATGGCAACGTGACGTTCACCTACATTGGACCTAGTATATTACACTTTGTAGGATTTCTCTACGCACTTTATCTATTTAGAATATCTGATAATGAACAACTTCAAAATTTAATGGAGAGAGTAAGTAGAAAAGTTATTATTTCTAAAAAAAATAAAATAGTTCTTGTAACTTTATGGCAGTAGTACCAATTAAAGCACACGTTATATAAAATGATTTCAAACGGTACAATATTTATATAATTCGCGTTTCCTCTCTCTATAAAGTAGTTCTATTTAAAAAAAAATTTTTTTTCTTGTTTTGTATTATTCGTTTTTTTAGTTTATTTATTTTCAGGTATTTCTTCTTTCCTCTTACACTCCACAAGGAACGCCAACCACGAAACCCAAAAGACTCCTGCGCATGCTTTGGTTTTTTATTTTGTTAAGTGTTTTATGGATGTGTGTGTCACTATGCTCAGTCAACTTAATGATGGCGAGAGGAACCATAATGTTTCGGTGGATGGAAAATAGGTAATAAATTCAAACAAATCAGAACCACAATTTTGCCTTTTCTACAGGTTCTTTCTGTAATTTTTAAAATAATTTTTTTAACTGAAATTTAACACAGAAACCTGTCCTGGGTAGGTTAGGACTAGGACTCGGTAGCTCAAATGGTAGAGCAACAGCACGGAACGCTAATGTTGCCGGTTCAAGTCCTGCGCGAGTCGAAAATGTTTTCATTTTATTTTAGATTTTTAAATCATATAGTGCCTTCATGTGCAATAACATGTAGACAATATTAAAGTTTTCAAAAATTAAGTATTTTAAAGGTGTATTATAATATCTTCCATGATTTCCGTACGCTCAAATGTGTAAGACATTCAACTTTATAATTTTAGCTCAAATGAAGTGCTGCTCGTGTTAAAGATACTACTTGTAATATGTACTCTAATTCACGATATGGTCCAGGCGACAGTTATAACAAGTTACTGCCTTCAAGCGCAGTTACTGCAGGCGCATTTAATGTTCCTCAAGGAGCGATTACTCAATCACACTATATCTCCTTTGAATTGGATGCGGGTAAGTCTTGGTTAAACGGTAAAACCTATCATAATGTGACATAAATTCTTATGAGTGCAAGTCAGTTCTTTGCGTAATGTCTCACAGCGCCAGTCTGACATAAAGTTATTGTCATTGAAATTGCGGCAGATACTTTTATATTAACAAGCTGTGTCACTTCGGCCGCATAGAATAGATATTCATCTTAATAAAGTTAAGATGTTACCCATAACTTTGGTTGCGTCCCGTAATTCTTGCAAGTTGTTCTACATAATAAGATATATAGTGTCGCGGACATTTTTTAAAATCATTTAAAGAGTAATCATTCTTTCATATATATCTTTTGGGTATTTGGATTTCTTTCAATTCGAACCATTCCTGAGATTAGCGCGTACAAAGATCTTACAAAGTCCAAAGAAATTTAGAGATCTTGATCCGTCATTTGCAGGAAATATCTGAATTCCGGAAACTTTTGAAATATCTAAACGACGACTTGGCACCCGCCGTATGTTTATTCACGATAGTAAATGCATCTTGGGCTATCTCGGGTATCATGTGGCTGCTGGATTTGGATAAAGTCGATACAGAAACAGAACCCATAGCGGGTATCAGCATACTGAATCAATTGCTTTGGATATCCGCTGTTGTCGTACCCTTTATACAGGTATGTTTAATAGCTTAATATTCTAGAAATAGTCTTTGCCTTGCGAGACCGAAGTTAATGATGTTCTTGGATCTAAGGAATTCGTGATTAATATTCTCGGGTTTAATGCGTTGCTAAGCAATTCAACCTTTGAGCTGCGGTGATCCCACTTTAGGATAAAATATAATATTTACGTTACAAGTTAGTTAAATGCTTTACCAAACGGAAGTTATAAATGTGGTTGTGTGTGTAATTACTTGTATAAGGCGTATACGTAAAATATATTCTTTCTAAAGCTTCACTATAAAAGTAACCCCAAAAGTATTTTTATATTATTCAATATGGAAAATTACAGGCTGCAAGATTGTCAGCAGAGTGTCGTCGCACGCAATCCATTGGCCACGAGTTGTGTGTGCGTCCATTCCTTCATCAGGACACGTCTCAGGAAGACATCACAACAGTTCTCGCATACGCCACTTCTTTGAAACTGCGCGCGAAACTTTTCTGCTACCCAATTGCGGCCAGATATATCTGTCTGGTTTTGACATTTACTTTGATTATTCTATTCGCATTAGGAATGTGCCATTACTTACAATAACATAATAATTGATATTTACGTCATATTTTAGATCCACGCAAATATGATCGCACAATTGAATGAATGAATAAAATAGCATGAATTTGTTAATTTACTTTATTTACCATAACTACAATACGTAAATAGTTTCCTAACAGACAACTATATAGACAGATATTATAAAATTATGTTGGAACTCTACAAACACACTTAAATAGCTTTTAATGAAATTAACACTTATAACATCTATAATAACATTATCAATACATTATCAATACATTAGGCGTCAAAATGTGGTATTAAGAAAACAATGATTAAATTGCTGTAATACTTAAGATAGCAATTATGAATCTCGTTTTGAGGTCACAAGAATCAAATTAATACAGAAAAATGCAATATGAATTGGCCTTTTGAGGGGAACAAAGGGAATCTCACTTGAAAAATAACGACAGTTAAAATCAAAAACAGATTGAACAAAAACGCCTATATCTGACAACTACCCTCTTACGCTTTTAGTTAGTTAATCCAAACTGGCAAATGAATCCAGATTTCCACACTACTCTGCACAAGGGGCACACGTCGAAGCGGGGTCTCTGTCGGCGAGTGCGTTGCCCCACCATGACAGTACATGTGTTATGGCAGCCTGCTCGCGCGCTGCACCGCACACAGACACAGAGACCGAAACACGATTGCTTTTCACCGGTGCTGTAGAGATAACCATTCACCATCAATCATTCACACAGCTGGGATTTTGTTGAATGTTAATCTACCGCGCCGCATAAATGCGCATTGGCAGATGACACAGGTTGTCGTCGGCCAAATGCACGTAAGCAGGTGACACAGGTTGTCATCGGCCAAATGCACGTTAGCAGATGACATAGGTTGTCATCGGCCAAAAACACGTTAGCAGATGACATAGGTTGTCGTCGGCCAAATGCACGTTAGCATATGCCACAATTGTCGTCGCCAAATACGTAGCAGAGAACATAGTGCAATCAATTTTCTACCAGTTTATTTCTGAATTTTTGTAATTGTCTACTAGATTATGCTACATTTATAAAGATATTTTTGGTTAACTCGGATGATTCAGAATGTACGCAAATAATTTAAGATCCGATAGGGGGAGCTACCGATTTTAAGAACATAAATCGAGTGTACTTTTTTCTATAACTAAATAAATCAGTATGAAGTACATGTCAATTGATATATTATTATATTAAGATCACAAACAACCGTGAACATACCAACAACAACCAAATTACTGACGAACTTTTTTATAGTATTTTTATTAGTCATTAGGAACTCACGTGTTTGCTTTTTGTTGAGTGCGGGATGCGGATCACTCAGCGTTGGTTGAAGATACTTCTTAATGGGACTCTCGGGCCTGCGTAACATGCCGTAATCCGTTTAAATTATGTTTGTCATCGTGTCTAAAGTTTATATGATGAATGGTCACATTTAAACCCTTCAAAGTATTAGTTTGTTATTCAATATACCTTGGTATAGTAACGGATGGTAGTCCTGTTCTCTTCAACTGATTTTTTGTTGAAGGTCTTTTCGGCTGCGAATCTAACGATGTTGCGATATCTGTAAAACAGAATAATTTTAGTCTATTTACATAAGTACAATGATCTTAGAAATAATCTAGTATTTTTATAATAATTATGTGGATATGTACTTTTTTATTAGTTTTTTAATTTAATAATTAAAATTGAAAGACAATTCTTTAAAAAAATAGAATAAATCTTACTTGATATTATAGGCTGAGATGTAGATTCTGTTATCTCTGCACGGCCCGTGTTTGCTGTGGCTTGCTGTGGTAATATTATGACTTATTGTTATTAATTATAGTCCTATTTAACTTACTACTATAATTTTTTTAAAGTTTCCATAGATTTACTAGACGTGATTTTTTGTGTCATTATTTGAGACTGTGACATTCTTGACATTTATTGTATACACATTTGAAATAATTGAAGCCAAGCGCATGGAAAATGGGTACTCACTTGAGCTTCCACATCTGGTTTTTCTTTTTCGGCCTTCTCATTTGGTAGGTCGAGAAGTTGTTCGTTGGTTTTCCGCAAGCCCGCTATAAGACTAGTTTGTTGTTTCTGAAAAATAAAGGGTCACATTAAATAATGTTTCTTCAGAAAAAATGTGATACTTTTTTAAATACAAAAGTTTGATTGTAATTCAATTTTGTAAATGAGCTAAATATTTTCTATAAAACTATGTTTATGGGATTACGCTGGTGTTGGCGCGTATCTTCTTCAGGCACCCTTCGAGCCAAGTGCGAATTGTTTGCTTGGCGACCTCCTCCTCAATTAGGAACTCAAACTCTTCCCGCGCTAACAACTCCTCCATTTGTAGCGACTTCCTTATATCGACCGTGCGGTAGGATAACATACTGAAAAGGTTATTCTTATTAATTACACGTTTTGTAGCACCATTTCTTATAATATGAATCTGAGTAATAAAATATAGGAAATAAACGTACTCATGACTCTCCACCATTTTAGGAATAATGGAAGATGTCAAATTTACACTAATATATAAAGCTGAAGAGTTCGTTTCCTTGTATGCTTGTTTCAACGCGCTATTTAGGGACTACTGGTTCGAATTAATAAATTATTTTTTAGTTGGTTAGAGTATTTATTGAGGAACAAATGTGGAAGAAACGGGGCAATGATTAATCTTTAAGGGTGCGCTGTGAAAACAATTCAAGATACCCAAAAATATGGACGAAAGAATGATTCCTGTTTAAATGATCTAAGAAAATGTCGCTGACAGTCTATCTTTTAAGATCGACTTGCAAAAACGACGGGATGCGGGCAAGATCGTTGGTAACATCATTCATAAACGAGGACGTTTGCAAAAACAAATTTTGACGCACAAAAGAACTATTCTACGCGGACGAAGTTACTGTCAGAGTTAGTTAGTAGTATCATAAGAAATGTTTTACTCGTAGGTAGGCGCGCGAGTTTTCAACTGTACGTAACCTATGTAGGGTAAAAGTTATGAGCTAAGTGTACTTACTTGATGACGTCATGGAAAGTCACATCCTCACCGTTGTGCAGACGCTCCAGCTCATAACACATGTATTTGAAGAGCAGTCTCTCCTTGTGCGTGTCACATTCTAACCGTCCCTTTAGGAGGCGTAGAATAAACTTCACCTGAAATTGTGTTATAAGTATTGTAAAACATAATTATTTTGTAGATAGTTACATCTTAGCTAAGTATAATTAAAGATATGCCTACTTTTCTAACGGGAATAACACCTTTTTGATGAACATCTACAATGTTCCATGTATTCTGGAAGTTTCTGATATCGGCGTAAGATAGAAGGGCATCTTCTTCATTCGAGTAGAAAAGAGAAAAGTTCTCCATGATAATAGCTGTAAAAATATACTTGTTTTGAAGATTCATGAATACGGATTCAACAGGCTAAAACGAATACGGGTGGGCCAGCTCGTGTCTAAAAGGTTTTTTTATATCAGTGGAAATATAAGGTTTAAAACATTTTAAAGGGGAGACTATGATGGCTGCAGCAAAGCACCCAGAACGTCATGACAAAGTTAAAAATAATTTTCAAATAAGTTTAACTAATACTTATCGTGTTTTAAACCCTTAAAGTGTCTCATTTAAATGTGTACTAATCGCGTAAACTACAGACAGTATTTAATAATAAAGTTAAAAAAAATACTAAAAATAAAGTATTTTTTTTTGAAAGAAAATTAAACAAGTCATGTTACTTGAAAAAAAAAATGTAAAATTATTATCATAACAATTTTTAACATAAGCAAGCCATCCCTAGATGGATGTTAAATGTTTTGTGTTTCTCAATACCAATTGCATCATACGAGCGATTGTATTAATGAAATTTAGAAAGGCTTACCGACGAGTAGATTTAGCACGATGTAGGTTATAATCACGTAGAAAGTGCAGAAGTAAGCGAGCGATGCTGTGAAGTTCCCGCAGTCCGTCTCCCAATAGTTATCAGCAGGGGTGCAATAGGGTGGCGCCACCATACAGTCGTGCATTATCTTGTTCCAGTCCTCCCCGGTCACAATTCGGAACAGCATTGCCACACTGTGTATGGGTGAGTTGAAGTTTGCCCGCCTGTATATAGGGATTAACGTTGTTTTTAGATAAATGTTGTAGCAATGAGAATAACCACAAGTACTTTAGTTATCAAATAATATATTTTTTCAACGATTATATATATATCAAATATTATATGCAGATGTTCTAATAAAAAATCGATTATAAATTTAAAAAAAATACACGAGCAAGACTTGAAGCGGTATTCACAGCATCCCGTGCTGTTTCTCTAACCAATTAAGCTACCGTGTCTGCCCCGTTTCGAGACCTGCCGTGTCAAGTTTTTCAATTTATAATCGATTTTTAATTTATATAGTGTCACCGTGTGTAATAACATGTGATATTAATCTTTTCAGATGTTCAGATTAACCAGTATAAACAATATAAATGATTTCGTAAATACTGTAACTATTTGGATTTGCCAGTTAAACAACATATTTTTTTTTATGGAAGTCTTCTAGCGAGAAAAATAATTCCTTTTAGGTGTGTGACAGTTGTCGTGAAACATAATCTAACATTCATGCCTCCATGAATACATACACACAATTTTTTTATGTAACTAGAAGGGTTCTCATAGAACAACAAACCTTCCAATCCCTTCGCCGTATTTGACGTTGCCAAAGACAATAGTCCCCGCCAGAGCATAGAAGAACACAAGCAAGAACATCCCGAATATGATGAAGAAACTCTTGCATACACTGACACCGACGGTCAGCATCAACATTTTCAGCGTCGTGTGCTTGCCCGTGATCGTGAAGAATCGCAGGATCACCACCATGAATCCCACGAAGTAAGACAGGTCATTCTATTTAAAAAAATATATAATTCAAACACACTCTATAGAAATGTAATTCTAAACCAAAACACATATGCGAAAATTATAGGGTAAAATATTGAAATTAGTTTTTAGTACGGAACAGATTATTTTTTCTTATAATAACATGTATTAGGACTCGGTAGCAGAGTCGAGTATTTTTTTAAATTATTTTCGATTTTTAAAATACAAATAGGAACTAATAAATTAATACATTCATTTATTATTTCCTAATTCCTCCTTATCGCAGGTCATGTAGCCCTCACAGTACTATAAAAACGGCTTGTTTGTTTTTGTACTTTCTGCAACTTTTTCCTGAAAGCTTAATAAATAGACATATTACCTTTAAAGTAAAGTGCATAAAGATCCAGATACAGCCAGCGACAGTAACGAGGAGGTCATATCGGTTTCGGCGGCTCTGCCAATAGCCACGGGGGGTGAAAGCTATAGTCTTCAATAGGACCTCCACAACGAACACCAGTGTGAGAAGCGCCGAGGTAAGTGCGAGACGCTCAGTATTTGGAGAGTGACGAGACCACTGTAATGTTTTAAGAAAACCTTTTGAATAAACCTATTCAAGTGGTATAGGCAGTTTTCGGACACATTTTTTATTAATATCCATTCGTTTATATGTGCACGCAAGTAGTTGACTTTATGTTACGTTTAAAATATTATTTAAGGTAACGAAAAAAGAAACAAAACAATGTTTAAAAAGAGTTTTGATATATTTTTACTCACAGTAACAGCGAGAAGGCCGCTGTTAATAAGCACAACGATTGCTATGACACGTTTGAAGGTTAGATTTTGGGTGACGTCATATGCGAACGCGCGCACTTTTCTACCGTCTGGTCTAGGAGGAAGATGGAGTGGTTGAGCTATTTTCAATCTCTTTTTCAAGTCACACCTGTCAAAATAAATCAATGTTCAACAACTGCCACGCTTACCATCCTATAATAGACCAGAAACAAAGGCCTTCTTACACTATTAGAGATGGTAAACACGTCTAAAACAACTTTGGATGTCTGATATTATAATCTGTGTAGTCTTAGTTAAATCTAAAAAAAGTTACATTAGTGAATATTAAATACTATTCAAAGGAGCGTTACAAAAATACGTACCACCTCCTTTGGTCGACAGTTAGCAAGGCTGTACCCTTGTTTTCAGAATAGTTTGCGATAACCACGCCCACAAATAGGGTAAGCCCAATCATACACCCGAGAAATATATATACGTGGATATATATCGCGTGCAACTAGAAAACATAATATTATTTTTATTTAGGTATTCCGATATAATTTAATCCCCCCTTATGTTAAAACTATATTTTGGCTAGAACACTCACCGGACCCAATGCCTTGATCAGCACATCTCGTACATCTAGCCATCCTTTAAAAGACAATACTTCGAATAGAGTAAGAAGTGCGTCTCTGATATTGTCAAAATTAAAGCGTTTTGGATTTGCCCTGTAACGAAAAAAAAACAAAAAATAAATAAAATACAATACATATATCATTTTTTTTTAAATTGTGGCACAAGCTGACCTCAGACTTATCATCAACAGCGTATTAAACAGAAATACCATGTCACTGATTGGTTTTCGAAATTCCCATTCAAAGGTATTCAGGAACAAAAAAATAATAATAAACTAGAATTTTGTATAAAGATTGGAATCTTACCACACGCGAGGTACAAGCATAGACGGAAAGGTTTCGTTCGGTCCGGGTCTGATTTTCATTTTCGTAACGAACACTCGTCGCATAAAAACTCCGACGCAATCTTCGCGTCGCGTTATCGTTGGATCGTTGCAACGCGCCAACCTTATAAATAAACCAGTAGGTGTGTAAAATTATAGCTCGACTACGTTACACACCACTGAAAGACACTCAAAATGCAAATATATTTTTAAGTTAAGTTCCGTAAAATGTCCTTCATACCAAATTAACATATCACTAAAAAAAAATGTGCAGTATTAAAAGCTAAACCGTAACTTACCTCTTCATCAAAGTTCTTATAAGGCTTTAATAACTAAATAAAGATATAAATTAATATTTGTGTACATACCGACCCCCATATAACTGCACTCCGTAACTCGCAAAGACGAACATCAGTAAAATAAGCAGAGTTGATACCTGTCGACAACAGTGTTTATTATTTATGAAATGGTATATAACTATGCCTTATTAAACCAGTGAGAACTAATATACTTTTATTATATTTTTTATTAATACGTACAAGTAGTATTTCCTTAAAGCCACGGCACAGTTCGTAGACCACTTTGCGCATGTGCGGTACTAGAGTGAATATACGCAGCGGGCGTACGCAACGCAGGATTAGCAACATCTGCGCAGCGGATCCAGCGCGCACTCGGGCCGGCATCCAACAAAGGAATGTTAACGACACCTGTTAAAAACAATTGATAATGTTCAGTATTATTTTAGTTTTATCCCCAAGTCCTCTGTACACCTTCACCTATTCCCCCAATCCCTCCCATTGGGGGAATAGGTGAAGTAGTATAATGTGGATTAATCACCTGGCCTTCAAACGGTAGAAACAATACTATAGAAAAAAATGTACTCTATTCGTGTTGTACTTATTAAATAAACATACTTCAAATAAATTCAAATAGGTTGATGACTGTGACTCAGTCCCGACGTTTCGGAATTTTTTCAGCTTGGTATAACTTAGGTAAGAGTAAAAGTTTATTTTATTGATGATTGTACAAGCCAACTTACAATATAAATAAAAACATCTAACACCGCTGCCGCGTCTTTGAGATAGGCCTTCGGAGTGAAGAATAGACCGTCAGCAAGAATCTTCAGAGCTAACTCGAAGCTCATAAATATTACGAAACCATATTCAGCAATCTGCAAAACATAGATGCATACTTTAATATTAAAAATATAATTATTGTTTCGATTATCAAAAGAATATAAGATATTGGTGTCTACCAAATAAGTTACTGTGTCATTGTAGATGGTGGATAGTCGTAGATTTGAGTCCTACCTGTCATCGAATTTGTTTTGTTTTTTTTTTTAACAATTTTAGTATTCATTTTCTAAGTGTAGGATTCAGATTGATATGGTATTTCACTTACCTGTAGAACGAAATTATCCATAACTCGATAGGTTGGCGTTTCAAACATCATGGACACGCACGAAAGCGTAGTTACCATTATCATCACCCAGTCCAAATATGTCACAAGTCCTAGGAAATTACTGAAATATTAAACATTATTTTTATTATATACATTTTTTAAAGTTATTATTGCCTCAGCCGAGCCAGCATGCGAACTAGGACATAATATCCCTCATACGATAGATTTTAATCTTATACTTATAACTTAATAAAAATAATGTATCCTTTTGTTAGGGTGCGTAAATATCGTCTACGTATATTTGATATAAGTAATCACTTGTATTAAATTATTTTACTACAACCAGATGAAAGTGCTACCAAGTTAGTCTATGGAATATAGAAGAAAGCAGAGGACAAAATTCTCTCTAGGCATGCCTGCTCGACCAGCAGATTATGTGAATAAATTCTAAAGCCTTACTGAAAACTTTTGTAATGGACTTTTCTCTCATTTCCAGTGACGGGATCTCTGAGACGAGCGTCGTATCTCGCGTCGACTATTGCGCGACATATCTTGCGAAAACGGGACTCTCTGGGCACTATCAGAAGTGGGGTGTCGAACAATGGATGGTTTTCTCTAAGATCTTCTTCGCGTTGATTCCTGTATTAAGCATCAATAGTTTTATTTTACAACGTTGACTGTTTTATTCCGCGCTGAGTTATTTGAATAAACCTTATATAGTGAATTTTTTCTTACTTGGATTTTTGGTAAACACACAATTTACACGAGTGATTTTAACACTAAAAACACTTTGAGACACTGGATTATATATTTAACTAATGAACTACCCTAAATAAATTAAAAGTAAAAATCCTTCCATGCTTCATGCACAGACTAAATTCTTGAGTTTGACATTAATATAAGGATGGGATTCAAGCAAAGTCAACGATAGTAGAAGGTAGAAGTCCCAATCATACACGATCGCTGAACAGCGTTACAAATGTAGAGTGAAATAATAATGACATAAAAAAACTAAAAAAATAATTCGTCATAAAAGTGATCGTGGTGTTTTGCCAAGTTAGAAAATACACTATACATAATAAAGCTTTTAAATAAATAAAAAAATTACCTCCTCATTTCGGCCTGTTGCCGTTTAGCCTGCAGGAGGCGTATATCCAAGTACGGAGGACGTGCACGAGATGATGGCACCACCCGAGATGCTGCGCCAATATCACCGTTCTCTAGTAAGTGCTCGTATGTTTGCTTTAGCTTGATTGACCCGCTGCGGACCGAACGCCGAATTGATCTGGACCCGAATCTGCTGCAAATTTAGTTCAACATTTGGTACTACGAACTGCTACGAGTATAATAGAAGGCGATAGGCAAGCATAGAGTGTACTTGTTGGAATGTTTTAGCCTTATTTTTGAAATACGATAAAAAAGTTCAACCCGACCAAACAAACAAAATGTATGCAAAAAAACTGTTAAGCGTTTGTAACATAAGATATTTACTTTTTCTGATCGACTCGAAGTTGTTTAGCGCTAGATACAGTTCCTTGAGACTTCAAACCGGATTTCCCTCCTGTGGCTAATAGCGCCGAATCCCCAAGTACCAGCCGACGGTGATTATTAGAGTCACTAAAATTAAATATCATCACATCAAAGTATACATAAATAAAGTATAAATCAAATGAAACTTCAAAAAAAAAAACAAAAATGAAATTAAAAGTAGAAACGAAAGATACCTTGCAACGAAATTCAACAAAAAATCTACCTGAAAAAAGAAATAAAAACACTCTAAATGATTTACAAATAATGTAATTAAATAAATAATATTAAGATTTAAAATATACTTGATTATAGAAGCTACGACATGTCTTCTCAAAGCGGAGCTGGGTCGCTGCGACGGTGGCGCCACCACGAGGGTTTTGACTAGACATCGCTTTCGATATGGAAAAGCAATCTTGTCAACTCCGATATACTCAAATGCGCGTCGAGACAGATCCCCAGATGTTGCGCGCCCAACAATAGGGCCACCCACCATTCCGACTTCTTCGTCACCCTCAACTTCACACACAAACTGCCGCATGAACGATTCTCGCACCTGAGGCAGAACAAATGTCAAACTAAGAGCCTTATATGATGTAATCGCTTGCCTTATAAAACCCATATCTATTTACAAACATTTGTGAATCGAAGATGAACATGATAGGCTGGTTAGATTGGAGCCCCAACCAATTAGAAAGGTTTTTTAAATCTTAACATTTTATATAAAGTTATATATATATATTATAAGGAAATTTGTTGATAAAATTTTCACTTGACCATACATACCTTTGGTAAATTAAAGTCCCCTGGGACCTTATGTAATTTAGTCATCTGTGGACTATCCGGGAACTTCTCGAATATTCGCAATCTAAAGGGCAAAGTCTCCTTAATCTCCGCGCTTTGTTGCCTGTATCGGAGCTGCTTCAACTTTTTAATGTCCTCGTCGAGTTCCAAGTTGTCGAGAATTACCGCTACGAAGAGTGATAACACTATCTGAAATTGAACGGGTATAATGAATAAGAATAAATAATAAAACCTTATTACGAAATGTATTCGAGCGTGAAGGGTTTCGTAAAAAACAGAACCTTCGTAAGAATCTAATTCCAGTCCAATTATTATCAGGGACAATGTAGACTGAATAACGGAAACCCGTTTTGAGCTTTCCAAATCAAACCAAATTTTACTGAAGAAAGAAATAATATTTTTATTTAAATACTCACCAGGGTGACGAATAAGTGATATAAAATGAAATAAATAGCGACCAATGGGGTTAGGGTCTGACTTGTGCGAACCATTGTCTCATCCATTACTTCAACCCAAGCTTCTTGTGTCAATATTTGGAACATGGACATGAACGCCTGGAATTAAACGCAAAAGCTAATTACAGTAATAAATAAAAATTAAGACACGTTAAAGTAAACTACCTAATATATTTCGCCTTTGAACCGGCGAAAGTTTTATATAATAATACGATTTATATAAATAATTTCTAAACAAGTCGTGAATTTAAAGAGTAATAGGTAATTTATTATTTAAATAAAGTTTTTTTAATTAAACACTTTAACGGTTTAAAACGCGATATAATATATTAATTATACCTATTTGAACTAGGGCTGGACGTTACGAATGTATTGCAACAGCCGTGGTCGCGGGGAGAGTATCGCGTTTTAAACCGTTAAAGTGTTTCATTTAAATGTGTGCCACTCGCGTAAACTACAGACACTATTTAAAAGTTTTTTTTTTTACCTCAGGAAATGTCTCGAATTTGGTGAACTCACACAGGAAACAGAAGAGTTGCATAGATATAGATGAACTTATTATGAGTAAGCACATAGTGAATATTATGAGGCTTCCGAGTTTTTTGCCAGGACCAAATATTTTGTAGACAAATCCTTCCAAGAGTGGTGAGGCCTTTATCAATCGCACTATGCGCAAAACCTGTACAGGTACCAAGACATTTATAACTTATAAGTAATCAAAGTTTATCTACTACAAAAAAAATGATATTCCAAAATATACAAAATTGAATACTACTTGATCAAGTATTGCACTTTGTATTTAACTCCGCCCACTTTTTGCAGTGCATTGCTCAATGAAACACATACCCAACGAAAATTTTATTTCAAGGGAGGAATTTTTTCTTTGCCTCAGGAAATGATCAAAAAAAAATTATCTAATATATTGCACATAACATACTAATACAATATTGTAAAGACTTGTTAATGTACCTGAAAATAAGTGAATCCAGACATATACAACTGTGGTATGATGTGAATCGTCGTTCCAATAGCTAGCAGTAATTCAAACTTATGCACTGAATGCTTAAAATATCCCTTCCATCCGAGGCACCATATCTTCATAAGCGCTTCCAAATCCAGGAAAATGGTGAAGGCGATCTATACAGACAAGTTTTTAAAGAACGGCCACAAGCGGAGGATGGATTAAAAACATAGAAAGTAACCACTACCTACTGTATTTAAAAGTATGTATATGTGTCTATTTAAATGTGTTTTAAATACTGTCTATAGTTTACGCGAGTAGTACACATTTAAATAAAACACTTTAACGGTTTAAAACGCGATATATTAGTTAAACTTATTTGAAAATGATTTTTAACTTCGGCCCGACGTTTCGGATGCTTTGCAGCAGCCGTGGTCACGGGGAGACTGACGGGGGTGACATAGCTGCAAAGCATCCGAAACGTCGGGCCGAAGTTAAAAATCATTTTCAAATAAGTTGAACTAATATATCGCGTTTTAAACCGTTAAAGTGTTTTATTTAAATAAATGTGTTTTACTAAAATCATAATTTTTGCCTAGAATGTTCTAGGCTATTGAGTATTCCTTATTCTATTTGCAAAACATTTATTTAACTGTCATGTTAGTAAAGAAGGGGGAAATAACAATAGTAAAGAAAGCTAATATAATCTTAATTTGCTAACAATAAATGTTAGTCAATGTATGCAAAAAAATATATATGGAGAATCACCTCTATATAATAATACTTTTCGTAAAAGAATTCACGGGGATTGTCGTCGTGCTTGAAATCCATAGTAGCTGTTATAATACCATTCGCCAATACGATGCCCATGACTAGAAGGCGGAAGTAAGCAGATCGAAGCATTTTGTGAAGGATTTCCGGTGCACTCCCTAAAAAAGAGTATTAAGGAAATTATACTCAATTGGTTACATAAATTTAGTTATGTTAAGGTACCGAAAAAGTGATCCTGACCCATATTATATATCATGAAATACTGTGTCACTAAAATTGGCTTCATAACAAAGAAAGGTTTAGGTGTTTGGACGAACCCTAACTTTGTATGATATCTATACTAACTTATAAAACTGAAGAGTTTGCATTCATCGAGGAAGGCTATAAGCAGTTAAACAAAAAGGGGGAAATTGTTGATCCTTGTGGGTTTCAGTACTGTTATACCCCACAGTAGTATAGGATTTTTAGGAGTAAGTGGCATAAATAATATAATAGCAAGAATGGAAAGACACGGACGACGTCGTGAGCAACAGCTTAAATTTATAGAGTTGAGGAGGTTTGCAAAACTAAATTTGATGCAACAATATAAACATTCTACATGGAAGAAGTCGCTGACGCCACTAGTTTTGAATAAAAGTATTATAACAGCTAACCTGAATGTTTATTCTCATCGATTGTGACGAGTCTCCAGCCACTGTCATCGCCAGTAAAGAACTGAGTTGTGCTACTCTTTGTTATTGGATTTCTTACTCCCCACATTTGTTGGAACTGAACCCTTATTTCATTAAACGTTTCCGTTATCACAGCAATAAATACATTCTTTACTAGCCAAGCAAGAAAGAAAATCATAGTGCTGAAAGACAGAATTCAAGAAAAAAGATAAATTATCTATTCTAATACTAATTTTAATTAAACAACTTCAAAAGCCTATTGGTACCTAAAATAGCCAAGGGACGTAACCTTACCTAAAGTACAAAGCAGATCTCCATGTTGGCAACGAATCTATAGCGCGATACATAATAAAAACCCATCCTTCTTGGGATGACGCCTGATATACAGTAAAAAGGCTTGTTGCTAAAAAAAAATAAGAGAGGTATGAAAGGTTAACTAACAAGTATTCAAAGAAATTAAGTTGTTGTAATATCATAAGAATGATACACACCAAATTCTTCAAATCCATTAAAGCCCATTATATATTTAGACAAATTGAGCTTAATGCACTTCATCCCTTTAGAGCACTGGTAGCCAGAATTCGGTTCTGGCGAACAAAAAGTGTCAGGAATTGCTAGTGAGTTTATTGTAATTTCACTGAAAAATCAGAATAATTTAGAAATAAGAAATGTGTAATATTTTTTATAATCATAATAATTTAATACTGATTACCCGGGTATACTCACTTTGGATCAGTATCATTTCTCACACAGTGGTGGGTCAATTCACCAAAGAACTGTACCCCCAACAAACTGTAAAGGGACATGAAAAAAAGAAAGAAGAGGGTTACATTGTAGATTTGTTGGCTTGATCTCCTGCAAGTAAAACAAAATTTATGAATATTATCTAATTTAATATTACATCTAATATCTACAAATGCAACCTGTACTTACTTGAAGATTTGATTGATTCTGGACTTTGGCATGGAGAACTTAAGGAAAACTCGTAAAAATCGAATCATAATCAGAGGACGAGGAGCACGGAGAATACTTAAATAGCTATATCTTGGCACAATACCAGTCAATTCAAACATTTGCAGTAAAACTGATACCCAAAGGAAAAATACCATGGAAGCATCAAATTGGCACCAATGATCTTTCAAATAGGCAACATCACCCTGAAACATTTAATTGAATAATGTAGTTAAGTTAGTGGTTCAATTTACAAACAATTATGAATTGCTGTATGCTGTATACATCCTTTATAAATCTTAAAAAACCAAAGTACTTATTTTACCAAATTTTATTTATTTTTAGTAAGTTATCATTCCAACAACTTCAAATAAAATATACAAACCTTTAAAATTCCTCTAATATGCATTTTTGCAATCATTTCAGCTGTAAATAGGAGTGTTACAGTGCAATCCACAGCAAATGTAATAATTTGCATAACTGAACATTTTTCAAAGGTTTTAGGAGTGTTCAACGATACAGATATTAAACTCAATAGTGCACAAAATCTTAAGATTCTTCTCACCCACAGCTTGAAAGTAAACCAAATAAATACATATTAAAAACAACAGAAAATTCATAATCTAAGAGTTCTTGGCTAAATAAATATTGCACTAAGCAAAGTATTAATTACAAAGTATAGGTAATTAATTATTATTAAGATATACAAAACATTCACATAAAGATCTTTCCCTTGTTTGAGTACATAAATAATCATTGAATTTTAAATGATTTTTTAGTTACCTTGTTTACCCATTCTATATCTGCGCTTTCATTTAATGACTCCTCGGGTCCATAATCTGCTAACACGGGCTCGCCCTTAAGGCTTTGCTTTCGCCCTAACATTTTTATTTTTTTGAAAATAATTTTTGTGAATGTTACGCAACTTTCTTCAAATTTTTCCTTTTTCTAAATAAATATTGGCGCAATATAGTAAATAATAATCTGATTGGCACATAGTTCAACTAGAAATAAGATTATATTATTATTGAAATTTATGTATAAACTATAGCATAGTCTTATTGATTACTATTTAAAGTACCTTGCAAGAATTGTAATAAGTGAAAACTGTAGAGCTAGTATTATTGAAAAAATTGAAAACGAAATTTCAAACTATTTCTATAGGTAATCAATAAACATATCGAAGAACTAAGTCAATTGTCAGTCAAATCATTACAACTTTTTTGGCTTGAGAACATGCATAGACATCTGTGGCGTATCCTAGGCAACGGAGCCCAGCGGAACAACAACAATATCTAATATGCTTGATTGAACAAAAATGAGACAAAAAAGTTTATGAAACATAATTCAAACGTAGGGCATCTTTTACTTATCGATTAAGATTGTTGATACATGTTTTTAGTACCAGTTGTCAATACTAAGTTTTTGTTTCGTATAAGACTACAACATGTTTATTTATATGAGTAAGAAGGTAAAGTATATGAATTCTATTAACGAAACCAAAATATCTCTTTATATACATTATACAATAATTGTATTTGTAACCGTACATTTTTGTTTATACATTGAAAGTTTTCAAATATAAAACTTTATCCATAGGAAAATTCAAAAATCAAAAGTGATAAAAAACATGTGTTTCATTGCCTCATAAAAAAAGACAAGCTTTATATAAATACGTAATTATTTTATAAAATGTTTAAAAAATTATTTTCAATATTTTATAGATCGCTATACCTAAACAGTCAAGCGTTACTTGTTTAGCATGGAATCATTCATCTGGGTATATTGCTGTTGGAGGTGAAGATGGAATGCTCAAAGTTTTAAAATTGGAATCCGGTGCGTCTGGTTTATAAACAATCTTATAATAAAAAAATTAAGTATTAACATGTAAATGGCAATAAAATTACATTTTAAGATCACTTTATTCAGGCAGCACTCAGAAGCGCAAAAAAAGACGCAGACATTAGGTTTTATAGAAATTTAATTTACTTAGGAATTATTAGATACATTAAAGAAACTAATAAGAAAATGTTTCAGGTGGTGGAGGCAATTTATCTATGAATCTAAGCCTAGAAGGTCACACAGGACGGGTTTGCATTGCTATTTGGAATGAAATATTTCAAAAACTGACAACTAGTGATGAGCATGGTGTAATAATTGTCTGGATGCTGTATAAGGTACACAATAATGGTTAAAATGTATTTATTTCACAAACCAAATTCAACGGCAAAAATATTATATACCTAATTGATAAAATCTATGCCATTTATAACTATATAAACATTCCTTCAGGGTTCCTGGTATGAAGAAATGATAAATAACAGAAATAAATCCACCGTGAGTGGTATGGCTTGGGGATCTGATGGCCAGAAAATATGTATAGCATATGAAGATGGTATGCATGTTTTTAATATATTTCTATTGACTATTATTGATACAATTTTTCATGAAATAACATAAAAAATTAGTGGGCCAAAGGTGTTTTTAGGTAATTATGTTTTTATAGGTTGCAGTCTTTCGCTTCTTGCAGTTCCGAGTGTCGCACTTGGTTATGTGTGTTAATATAGGCTATACTTAATATTGGTTTTAATGTAAAAAGATAATTGTTTTATAAAGTAAAAGTAAATATGTATTAAAATAATATTTATTTTAGGTGCAGTCATTGTAGGCTCAGTGGATGGTTCCAGAGTATGGGGAAAAGATATAAAAGTTCCTGGTTTAAAAGCTGTTCAATGGTCACCAGATAATTCAACTCTACTGTTTGCTATATCTAATGGGGAACTGCATTTGTATGATGACCAAGGAAATTTTATTGTTAGTATATTTTTTTACATTTGTTATTCCAAAATCAATTAAATGGTTATCACACCAAGCAAATAAGTTGCTGAAAATGATTTTACAGTCTTCGTAGGTCCCGCAGCACAGAGGGTCATGTAGAATACAGAAATTTAAGCACAATTTAATTTGAAAGTAAACAGAATTCTATAATTCTGTTCGCGATTTCACTTAATGTTTGACTTTTATTTATTAAAAAAAAAGTAAATTATTGATAATAAATAAAACACTTGCAAAGTTTTATAACGCGAAATATACCAGTTAACTTATTTACAATCCCCGTGATCACGGCTGCTGAAAATGAGCAAAATGTCTTTAAAATAAATAAATGGTGAATAAGTTTAATAATAGGTACATCGCGTTTTAAACCAAAAACAGTGTTTTATTAAATGTGTACTACTCGCGTAAATTATAGATAGTATTTTACAGACAATACTTAATTATTAAATTGTATTTCTAGATGCCAATAGCATGTAACAGTATTTCTAACGGAATTGAAATCATCTCAATGGACTGGTATTCTGGGAAGACCCCTGTTAATCGACCTGTGCTAGCGATAAGCTACAAAAGCGGTCTAATTATGTTGATGAAGACTTGCATAGAAGAAGGTAGGTTTAAATTAAAATGTTTATAAAACTATTTAGGGATGAGTTAAAAGTATACTATGTAAGACAACAAACTGTTTTTTTTGCTTTCTTGAAAGTTTTCCTATCTACGAATGTACAAAGCTGAAGTGTTTGTTTGTTTGTTTAAACGTGCAAATCTCAAGGACTACGGGTTCTAATTGAAAATTATTTTTGTGTTAGTTTCACTAAACTTTTAGACAGTTTAGAGCATTTATCAAGGATATATCCTTCATTAATACATGCTGTAAAAGATTGTGCTGTGACTAATAGGCACGAAGAAACAGCGGGATATGTGAAAAAAAAAACTGGAAGATTTATTCAGGGTTCCCGATGCGTACGCTGCGAAAACGATTATACCCAAAAATAATGTATGAAAGAATGATTCCTCTTTGAATGATTTAAAAAAGTCCGAGACATTCTATCTTTTAACTCGCAAGAACGACGGGACGTCAATTTATAAAGATGAAAAGGAGTTTTGCAAAAACAAATTTATTGCTTATAATAATTAACCCTAATCCACGCGGGAGACGTTGTTGAGACGGGGGCGGGGAAAAGTTTTTTTTTTTTTTTTTTTTTTTTTTTTTTAAAAAAAAAAAAAAAAGAAAATTATTACCCCGTGATACAAGCATAAAAGGCACAGTACGGTTGTGGGTTTAAATCCCGACTGTGTCATTGATATTTAATCTGTGCTGTTTCATATTACAGAAAGCGTGGTAATTGAAACAAATATGAATATAATCGATTGCTGTTGGAATCACAATGGCTCTGTACTGGCTGTGGCTGGGCTTACTCAAGACCAAGCTAACGTTGTACAGTTTTTTAATGCTTTTGGAGAAGTAAGTATATACATTATTTAGTGTTTAAATAAGTTTAATAACCATAAAAATAAAATAATACTAATAGATTAGTTCAAACTCAACAACTAATAGGACCTCTAAACGGTTTTTAAAATAAATCCAACAAAAATACTGGTAAGAAAGCTTTCTTACTGTACATACTAATTAATTGTGCTATAAAATATATTGTGTGAAGTCTTTATCGGTTATACTAACTTTATAAGTAACTATTTACAGAACGTACGAACCTTAAGGGTGCCAGGCGGTTCCATGCGGTCTGTATCGTGGGAGCAGCATTCCCTAAGACTAGCAATAGCCGTCGACTCCTTCATATACTTCGCTAATGTGAAACCTGACCACAAATACTCATTTTATGGGAACACTCTTGCGTTTGTTTCGGGGACCGAAACTGTCACGTTTTGGGATACAATCACGCACCAGGTAATTATCAAAGAATGCGTTGTTTTCCTGCTCTAAATTGCAAACAAAAATTACTAATCAAATAATTAATAATAAGACTTTCCAAGTAGCGCTTATAAGCGATCTCTTTCAGGCATTGTAATAATGTAACAACAATGTGTATGCCCCATGCAGGTATTGACTGTTTTAAGGTTCAGTTACGCATTCAGCAATTTTATCTGTTTTAGTCGTGGATAAATCATATACCCGACGTAATAGACATGTGCGGTGTAGAGGAATACTGTATTATAGCAACGATGGATTCATTGATAATACTTAATCAACAAGGCATTCAGTGTGATGGTGAGCTTTGAGTATCTTAAATATATAATCGTTTATTTCTATAGGTATATGTAGCGGCACGGATCTTTAGCGCTGAACGAATCCTTTGCAGAAGTCAAAAATAAGGTATCGCAGGGATACATATTATGATGATTATTAACTCTACAATGGCATAAATTACAATTAAATTAATAAAAAATGTTTATTGTTACTAATATATAAAGCTGAACTAGTGGTTCGAATTGAATAATTCTTTGTGTTGGTTAGAGTATTTATCGAGGAAGGAAGGCTATAAAATATCGCCATGTGACAAAATTAGGAAAATGATTCATCATCATGGGTTTCCGAGGCGTACGCTGCAAAAACGGTTCAAGATACCTTTTTTAGGTATCTTGAACCGTATAAAAAAATGATTCCTTTATAAATGATCTAAAAATACGTTCGAATTTTAAATATTTTTTCAGTTCGAACAAGCAGTTCCTAAGATTAGCACGTTCAAACAAACATACAAACAGCTTTAAATGTTAGTAGGTATAGATTATCGCAGTTCCATTTTTGAAAAGGTTCAGTTCAAAGTCCAGTCGACCAGCAGTTTTGGCCTTTTATGCAAATTGTTTTAAATTTATTATTAAATTTACTTTTACTTTCACAGCTAAGTCAGTACCGGTGCCGATGTGTTTCGTTACTATCAACAGCAAGGCCATTGCGGTCGCCGCTTCCAAGGATACATTTCTTATATGGAGGTTTTCTACACCAACCAGACCTCGTAAGAAGTGATATTAAATCTGAATTGTGATTCCAAATACTTGTTTTTCCACATTCTATACATAAATAAAATTAAATAAACTAATAACTTTGACATTGGTAACCGGGCATTTTCTGCGTAAAATAGTGGGTAGAGTATCTATTACTAAAGCTCAACTACATTTACGTAGTTGCATTAAAAGTAAGGAGTAAAGATAGTATGTTAACAGTCTTATATTCAATATTAGTAAGACAGCACAATTATGGACTATTCACATATACTAATTTGTATTATGTACTAACCTAAAACATTTCCTTTTTAGGCATAACAGAACAAGTTTACCACGCAGTTGGCTCTCCTATAGTGTCGGGCGAAGCTGGTTTCCACGACGACACTATTTGTTGCATATCCTGTTCGGATACTCATCTCTTAGTCGGACGTGATTCGGGAACGATAATCCTGTTCTCCCTTATTAACTTTAAAAAAAATAACCCAGATAAACATGAATACTAAGCCATACAAATTAGGTTTGAATTGTAACTCGAGGTGAGTTTTAAATATATATTAAACCTTTAACAATTGTCACGTACTATATAAATAAATAGTCGATTATAAATTTAATAAAAAAATTACGACTCGGGCAGGACTTGAACCAGCAGCCACTCTAACTAATGTACTTTTTTATTGCAGTAAATTCTTTGTAATAGATCAACCGGGATGCCTTTTCATGCTCGAGACGGAGATGTCAAATAACATAAGTGTGGGGCAATCTATACGCAAGGACGTGTGGGGTGCGATATGGGCAAGCGACAACTCCCGCCTTCTCGCCATTGCCGAAAAAGCTCGCCTCTACGTTATGCGCGACCACGACCCTGAAGAGCCACTCTCTATGAACGGATATTTGTGTGCTTTTAAAGTGAGTTGAGTCTCTGGTGATCAACTTTTTCTTAACTGTGAAGCCAAAATTTTCACAGTTCTGTACGCAACGAACTTAAATGCGACCCAGTTACTATAACTTAAATAACAAGAATATAGAATAAAATAAAAATTAACAAATAAGTATATCCGCATTACAAACGTGAATTTTCGCTCCTGTTTTCGATAGGGAAAACGGAACCTTTTGTCTTTGAGTTTTACTTCCATTAAGCCGATGAGAAATTTTATCTCTTAAGTATATTTGAATTTTGTTATAATTAATTATTAATTATAACAAAATTAATGTGAATATATTGTACGCGACGCTCCATTTTCTTTACTATATTATCATTATAAATCAGAAAGTTTATTATTTTCAAAGGATTTAGAAATCACAACAGCTCTACTCGACAGCTTAAACGAAAAATGTACACCCCAGAACATTGTGCGCGTGGAAGTTAAGTCACTTAGAGATACAAGACAACTTATCGAAAAAGTCGGTTTGAAAGAAGCCGAAAATTTCATTAAAGATAACCCTCACCCCAAACTATGGTACGTATGAATTAAAATTATATGGATAATGTGGATGGCAAAATGATATTTTTGTATAATTGTACAATACATATTGGTAGGTTATTATTGGCTGAAGCTGCTTTAAAAAACTTCGAGTCAGAGTCGGCTTTAGAAACAGCAGAGGCTGCATTCGTAAGAAGAAATGACTACGCTGGAATTCGATTTGTTTCTCGTTTGAATGGTTTGCATTCTAACGCGCTTAAAAAAGCGGAAATTTTAGCTTATTTCAAGGATTTTGATGCTGCCGAGGAGATATACCACAACGAAGATAGACGGTAGGTAGACCTATTCCCTAATAATCTTTGTACTGCAATATCGCCTTAATGTTTTTACTTTAAACAAATTACCTATTTATTGCAGTGATTTAGCGATAGGATTGAGAAAACGCTTGGGTCATTGGTTTCGCGTGGTAGAATTACTCAAAATGTCTGTTACTACGACTGAAGCTCAAGTCAAACAAGCCTATAGCAATATAGGAGATCATTATATTGACAGACAGAATTGGTGAGAATTTTCGCGTTTACATCGATTGAAAGCTAATCTTGATTTTTAATTTTTACATACAAATTATAGGGCTAGTGCTATAGAATATTATTCTATGTCGAATAACTCTGATGGTTTGAAAAAGTGTTACATGGCAATGGAAGATAGCTCGGCCCTCGCTAAGCTAATGTCGCCCAGAACAAAAGTAAGATATCCTATATAATTTAATTTCTACTTATATTGTTTCATTTTACTCTCTTATTCTTTCGCCAAATAATGTAAATAAATTTAATTTTAGATAGATGGGACAGGAAAGCAAATACGTGTAGAAGATAAAATTGACACAAATCAAAAACCATCGATATTCCGAATAACTAAATTAAAAGAGAACGGAAAAATGTTACAAGCAGCGGCTATGGCTTTCCAGGTAACATTGAGCATGCGTATATAAAATTATCAAGAAAGCGCTTTGTGTCCATAATGATTAATTTCGGTGGACATTACACGCTCACCATCATATTATAATAATAGGTTGCATTATATGTACTTCATACATAGGCACTAATGTAGATTCGTGTTCCTTCGAGCCGAATTTGCGATATATATAAATTAAATTTTAGATTTTATTTACGAACTATGAATCAATGTTTGGGCGCCTTTCAGCAGACGAAACAAAGACGCCTTACGCGTATTTCGTGCTTGACTTTAAGTATTGAATTTTAACATAACAGAAGTCTGGACTATTCAAGGATAATAATTGAATATTAATGTCTGTTTCAGTTAGGAAACTTAGAAGCATCGAGAAATAGTTCGCCTTGGAAAATAAAGATGTTATATGTACTTTCAGGCCACATGTATAGCCAGAGTTCTGTCGGTAAGACTTATCAGGCTTACAGGGATATCTTATCTTTAAATAGCTTTTGATGACGATTGTTTAGAAATTAGTTTTCGTGAAGCATTGGACGGATACATTTCGGTTTTACTATTCAATATTCTTTATACCTTACCGAGACTTTACATTTTTACGGGGACTCAAACCTAGGGATCTTTGACCTTAACGTAACTTCACAACACATTTAATAATTGAATCCTGACAGAAAAAATATAAAGTCATTTCATACTCTCTTACTTTTAACTTCGCTGCCTCGCACGTTAAAGAATTTGCTAGCAATTATCAACCAATTTCAAATCATTAGTAAAGAGTAATAGAAAGATTAATTTAGAAGGTGCCAAGAGTCGCGAAGCTGTGCGGGCATATCGAGCGGCACGAGCACAGCACTGGGCGTGTCTAGCGATAGCACGAGCCCGCGCACAACCCTTTCGTTCCGATGCAGCTTTGCGCGCGGCTGCCCGCCTAGCTGCCGTACAAGACGATTTACACCAAGCTCAGCATCTGCAGGTGACACCTTCATAATGGTTGAGGTATATAAAAATAGAGAATAAGTCTAGAGGCAATGTAATCTGTCACATTTTGTTTATAACAAAACTTCTTTAAATAATACTATCAAGTAATTCTATTACTTGATAGTATTATTTTAAAGAAAAACACTCTAAAAATCGTACTCAAGGCAATTGGGTGCTCGTATCCACTGTGTACCAACAATTTCCTATTGTATTACACTAAATGCAATCATCATTTCTTAGTTTTAAACTGCAAAATGGTAATTAACTATTTCCACTAATAGAGTAAAATTAATAATAATAAAATATAAAAGTCCATTTAATGTTTCAGGCTTGGTGTACAATTGCAGTTATAGCAATACAAGCCAGAGCGTTTGATTTATGTTCTAAGGCCTTTATAAAGCTTGAGGCACTCGAAGTAAGCTATTAAATATTACATGAAATTAAGTTGTAATGACAATCTTGTAACAATGGTCTTAAATTTGTTGCAGCCTAATACATTTGAAAATTTAGGCATAGAAATTTTCACAAAATGTAAGCCACGAGATGGTAAGAGCAACAAAATAGACTGTGCTAATTGCCAGTTCCCTATGCTAGATTGGTTAGTATGAAAAATTATATTGTAATACTTCCCCAAGTAGTTACCTTGATTTAATGTTTAACATTCATTATTGCCTTACTGCAAGGTTACATTACCTTGTTTATTTATTCAGTATAACCTAACATAATTTGATAACATGCATTATTATGATAACTTAATTTTAATTTTAGGATGGTGTCATGTCCTGGATGTCACACGGAATATCCTGGGTGTGTAGTGACTGGACGCACATTAATTGGAGTGCATACAGTATGGACTTGTTCCAAGTGTAATTCTCAGGCACAACAACATGAGCTTGTTCTCAGACATTCTTGTCCTACGTGTCACACACAGCTTACTTAGGAAAGAAAAACACTTGAACATACACACAAACTGTTTTATTTATTATTATCTACCACCAATGTCTGATAATATTGCTGTTTCAATTTTTTATCACCTGACTAGATAACATTCTGTCAAAAGAAGGACAAATGGTTGCTATTAAAGGAAACAAATGTTTGTAAAAGATAAAGGTAATATTTGAAGGTATATATTATAAATGAATGAAACTCAATGGAAGTTATACGTAATCAAAAAATAACTAATATTGGTAATAATTAATTATACTGTCTTAATGTAACTAAATAGCTATTACCTGATAGGTAGTAACATTACTAAACCTTGTTGAGTAATAAACAATACTTTAATATTATTGTCCAAAATTGGGCATTTCCATTTTTGAAAACTGCAAGGTATTATCTATAATTTGGAATAGTTCTGAAGGCTGAGGGATTCTACCAGTTTCTAACTTTGACCACAATGGAATGTTGTTAAGTGATATTTCAAATGCCCCTGAAGACACAAGTTGCCCTTCTATCATATTAGCCATGAAAAACATCATCATACATGCATAAAGCTTGTTCTCCAAACACCAACTCCACCAAGATGGTTGTGGCTTATTTAACCATGCAAATATATTAACACCACTCAAGATGCACATAATTATTATCATTTTTCCAAATCCCTGCAACAAAGTTACAATATTTGAATTCTTATGATTTTCACATACAAAATTTTATAGTATTTACAAAATTATTAATTAATTTTAATGTATGTTTCTTTTTTATAAAACTAAATCAACTTACAATCAACCTGGACAGATACATATTCAAGCCAGGGGGGTCATAATTAGCCCCAATAACAGATATTTCTGGATACTTTTGTTGTATTATTCCAGCATAGTCTTCAAACACTTTTCTGTATCCACATGAATAGCTGAAATGTAATATTCCCTTGTTATAAGAAACCATTGTTTATTGTAAATAATAATTTTAGGCAAATAGTAAGACACATACCAATAATAAATATTCATGATATGGCCCATTCCTTGGCCTATTTTAGAAATACTTTCTGCCTCATTCTCACTTGCTAGGACGAAGTTATTATTTGATAAGAGACACAAAAATAAACTGGTGACAATTAAAAAAAAGCATCCATTAAAGTATGCTGATGTTGACATTGTAGATTATTTTAAAAATATTAGTTTTCTATAATTTTAACAAAATGTTATCAGTATGACATGCAAAATGTAATTGTAACCAAATATTACAGCATAAAAAATTATCCGTTGTTTTTGAGGCAACTATCACTGAGCAAGTTGACAACTGTTGACGACTGTTTATTGCTTTTATTTGACTTTCATATACTGCTGGCATAGACTATGACTTACTACAGACTTACAGTCAGTTTTTTTTTAAATATTTTATGGCCTGGTAACAAGACCTTTAGTCAGTTTTATCGTAAAAGACCACAACAAATTAACGTCATACAAAAATTTGACAATGGTTAGTCGTGAAAAGTGAAAATTCTGCAAAACGTTAGTTGGCAAGATAATTGGCCAAACAATTTTTGGCGAAAAGGCAGAGGATCCAAAAAAAATAATTTTCTTTAATCCTATGCCAACAAACGAAGAAATCGATTATGAATGCATTATTTTAAGAACCGACTACTGACGGAACGCAAGTATTTTAGACAAATGACAAAGACAAGGTATAAACTATAAAGTATAAACAAAAATTAATTAGGATTCAGTATTTTTATCAACAATAGTTAATATTTTACGCAAATTTTACTTTCGATAAACGTGATTAGTAAAGTGGTAGTTTTAATAAATTACTATGAATTAAATGTCATGCAATTGGAGTGATCTTTTCTTATAAAATCGAAAAATGCCGCATAGTCATTGTCATGGTGAACATGATCATGATCATAGTAATCCTGCCGAGCTAGGTTTACAATATAATCTTTATGCAAAGATCGATAAGGATAATCTTCAGTGTTTGAACGAAAGCATTGATGGATCGGGCAAAACGGTTTTCAAGCCCTGGGAAAACAGGCTGGACAGGAGCGAGGTTAGTATTATTATTAGTGTCTCTCGATTAGTCCTTTATCTGAGTTTTAATAAAACTTTGTAATATATTATTAAAGTTATATACAATTTATTTCGCGTGTTAAACTATCAACAGTGTATTATTTATATGCCATCTAGTTCTTTTTGTAAGGCATTTTACTGGATAATTTTATTTGAAGTGTGTTCTTTAGACTTCTGTTGTACTCTTTTCAAGCCAAAGATATTTATTATGTTTCCCTGGAATCTGTACCCAGAATCTTAGAAGGGATCGTCTTGGCATTATTTAAATGTAGTGGGATATACTGTACTAAAATTGGTTATAAACATACTCCTTTGTAATATATTTTTTTTTTGTAGTTTGTGGAAAGTGATGCAGATGAGGAATTGTTATTTAATATACCATTTACGGGTAATGTAAAATTAAAAGGCATTATTGTATCTTCCGAGGACACAAATGCTCATCCTGCAAAATTGCGTTTGTAAGTTGATTCATCAGTTTTTCAATTATAAAAATACAAAAAACTTATTTTCTAAAACATACCTCTATCTAATATCTATAATTTATAGGTTTAAAAACAAACCAAATATGACTTTTGACGATGTAAGTTTGGTAGCTGACCAAGAAATAGAATTACAGAAAGACAGTGAAGGTATTCTGGAATACTCTCCAAAGTGAGTCTTATTGTTTGTTCATATTGATTTTTGTTTTTATTAATCATACTTAAGGGTTTAATATTATATCTGAATTCACAACCAGTATCTTCCCTGTATGTATACATTATAAGCGTAGTAAATAGAGCTAACTTTCTCTTTTTATGAATTTTAAAATTCAATATAATGGTTCAGGTCAGGTTGCAACGGCATCCTGTGGCTAATTGGAAACTAGACCGCATTGTGGCAAACCACTTGTTACATGTAGGGCCTAATATTTATTTTTAATTTAACTTTTTAGGATCGTTACATTTTCCTCTGTATCACATTTAACTATGCATTTTCCGTGTAATTTCGGAGCTGAAAGCACAAAGATTTACTACATAGGTCTTAAGGGTGAATGGACACCAGGACACAAACATGGTGTCACTATATGCACATATGAAGCTAGACCTAATCTGGATGATCACAAACTGAAACATCTTGACTCAGTTACAAAGCACATTGAATAATGCCAACGTACCTCTAAAGTACTGGGGTATATTTGTCCATAATATATTCTGTAGACTTTCCTAATAAAATATTTATTTTTTAATAAACGATTTTCACTCAAATCCTGTTTTTTTTTTACGTAATATAGTCAAAGAAAAAATTTAAAGTTAAATAATTGTACCTTAACTATATGTATGTATTGTTAAGACGTCGGTTAGGTTAGAGAAATAACACACTATAGATAGACACTTTACACGTATAATCCGGCAGAGTGACTCCTTATTAAACACAGGACAGAATACCCCACAATCAACGTTACAAGCAGTTATATAGCCGTCTGACAAATACTCCCACCTATCCTAATAATTTCACCGGAAACTAAGCGGCTGTTTATTCGTAATATCAAAACAATTAGAAATAAAATACATCGGCACTGTTTTAAATAAATCAAAATATAAACTAAATTCTGTAACTAAGGTTAATTACTTAAATAAATATATTTAGCTAAATTCTAATTAATTAAAATGATGTGGAAACGGAAACAGTCACTGCCTATTTATTTTACTAAAGGAACCGGATGTGTACTATTTCGTATTTGTAGAGTAGCCAGGGTGGCGGGTCGAGGAAACGGAAGTAGTCGCTAACAGTATGTACTATGTACTTAGCTATACTCTATATTGGTAATACTATATATTCATACTCTGTAATACCGCTGGCGGGCCTTTTTTTAAATAAATAAATAAAAAGAAAGAAAGTTCCATTTGTGTAGTGTAATTAAATTTGTAATTGGAAAATGTAGATACAAGTTGTATATTGAATATGTTACAATATAAAAAAAAAACTAAGAAGATTGTTTTATTTTTATTACTGCGTAAATATTAAAATTATATGTACAAATAGATAAAGTATAAACAGGGTCTAATTCTACGGGGCATACTTTTGTTATAAATAGACAGTAGGTCAAAAATAAATTTGACAAGAATGTAAGCTTAAGATTCTTTAAGGTATTTGAGTAACTTGTAAATATTATTAATATGACAATTACTCACGTTATGGTAAAAGACAGATTCAGTAAGATTTTATACATGTAATTAATATATTTATAAGTACTTAGTTGACTAAAATGAATTTAGCTAATTATTAAATAACAGCTAAATATTTCTTCAAGTGGCAGTGACATTTTATAGATTTCATTGCTATATCATCGCATTCAACTTCTAAACATAACTAGAACCAAAAGCAGAAAACAATATTATTTTACCAGCATTCGTTTAAACGAGTCTTGATAGTCGTAATGTAAGAAACATTATGACAAATATCACATTCAACACTGACATAATACAAACATTCAATTCTAAGGGATTTAATTATGGTAATTACTATTTTATAATATAATTGCTTCGATACTGGATCCTCTTATTAATGACGACGTCTACCACGAACATGTCTACCATAGTTTGGTCGATATCTTGGTCTCTGGATTGGTCTGCGTACTACTGCATTCGGTACAGCTTCAACACCAGCACTTGGGTTTGCGAATCCAGTTGCAGGCCCTGGTCGTCGTCTCATGCAAACCGCACATCTAAATCAGGACATAAGTTTTGTAAATGCGGAGTTTTCATAACTAAAAACTTATCCCGATGTCCCTCATAGCCACGGAAAAAAATTACAGACAAGTAATTAAGAGATATCTACTAAAAGACTATCTATCTATTACGTGTAGGTTTATATTTTACCTGCTGACTTTAGAGACTTGATCGAACTTCAGAGTTTGTTGTTCTGGTCGCGAAAACATTCTATTATCTTCAATTGTTGATAACCAGTAAGAGACAGCGGTTGCAAAGTAATTACATCTCCCTAAACCATTGCACTCGATAAATGGCCGCGTTCGGAAATCGCGAAGACACGAACCAGGTGATATAAGGCTCTGTCCTGCTGCATCAGGGCCCGCCGTGTGCTGTGAAGTATGAATGTTTAATGTCAAATAATTACTAAGAGTATGTAATAATATAATGTAATTTATAAATATCACATTTAAATTAATGTGCTATTTTATCAATATATGTCTAATATTCTTTAACGCAAACACATAGGCGACGAATGAACTTACCATCAAGAAGCTGTATCCAACCCACAATTCTTCCCATTCGTTAGGACAAGAGGGCGGAGTATTACTCTGACTATGTATCGCAATGGTTCTGGTAGAGGTTTCACATACTTGACATCTGCGTTAATAAACAGACATAAACCATCAGTAGAGTAAAAGTTTAAACTTTTTGTTTATATCTTAATTATTAAATTATCTTAAATTATCGATATTGTCAATATTTTTTTTTATGATAGTGAAGTGACAAGCATGGGGTTCATTTCATGGTAGGTAAAATACCGAAGCCACAACATCTAAACAAGACGAGCTGTCAACTATTTTGACTTCGGAAATCCACAAAAAGAAAAACGCGAATAATAAACTAATGCGGTGTTCAGACAATCGTTACAATTGTCGAATTCGTTTTTTAAATTATCCTAACTATGCCTAAACCTACGTGGGTTTATATTAAAAACTGTAGCTTGATATACGTGTTTGTTTGGATATTAAGTAAGCCTTGTGAATAATAATAATACGTAATGCAAGTTTTTAACTTTCTATTAAGACAAACCTTGAAATGTATGAACCCACATCCCTTGCTTGGATCGGTGTCATAGCCATTGGCATGGGCTCTGGCGTTGAAAGCCAAAAGCTGTAATCTTCTCTTTGTGCAAAATCACATACATCATTTATATTACAGAACATGAACGGCATGGTGGAGAATCTTCTGAGACAACTTCCCGGGGCACCTGAATGAATATAATATTAATTTAGTCTTCAGTCACTAGAAAAGTGAAATAAAAAAATTACATGTGTACACTTGTGAGTATTTTTAAACGCTAATTTTTAAGTAGTTACTTATTGACGATGTAATAATACGTCTTTAAAAGTGAGCTATTTAATTGTGTAAACACTACTCACGTTAATTACGAATGATACGTAAATTATTACCTAAATCCTGTCCGTGTGCTTTTGCATTAGCTACAATGTGAATCAGTGAAAATCCGTCCCAAAGCGGTGTAGTGCCAGATGGACATTGTGGAATCATTCTAGATTGTGAATGTACTGTAAAGTAAAACCCACGAGATTTGGGAATTGGCGGAGGCGGAGCTGGTAGTCCTGGCAAACCAGGGTTACCGCGTATGCCATCTAGTCCTATGAAGCCCTTCAATCCTATGCGGCCTTGTTCACCTTGTGAACCTGAAGGCCCAGGTATACCCACATTACCGATATCTCCTTGTTCACCTTTAATACCAGGAATCCCATTTTCACCAAATTCTCCAGGTTTACCACGCTCTCCAGGGCGTCCAGTAAATCCGACCGGACCTGGTTCACCTGGTAGCCCAGGACTAACTTCTGATGGCAGAATAACATCTCCTTTATCTCCTTTCATTCCTTTAAGTCCAGGATAACCTAGCAGCCCTGGTTCGCCCTCATCACCAATGTAACCTTTTAAACCTCTAAGGCCAAATGCTCCCGGAAACCCGTCACGACCTGAATCGCCTGCTTCTCCTTGTTCGCCTTTCATTCCATGAAAACCTGGTACCCCAGGAGCTCCTGTTTCGCCTTTTGGACTGATTGCAAACCCAGGCTCACCAACATCACCTTTAACTCCCATTTGCCCAGGAACCCCTTCCATACCACGCGCTCCTGGTGTACCCATGTTTCCCCGCTTACCTGGCCGTCCATCCATTCCAGGTACTCCTTTAGGCCCTACAAAACTTAAACCAGGTTGTCCAGCCAAGCCTTCAGGTCCATCAATTCCATATTCTCCAGGAGCACCCTTTTGTCCCATATTTCCTGGCCAGCCAGGCAACCCATCTACTCCTGGTTTACCGGCGTCTCCTTTTTCAGCATTAATCCCATCTAATCCAGGCATTCCAGGTGGACCCACGTCTCCTCTATATCCTCGAAGACCTGGAAAACCTTCTTCTCCGATTTCTCCTCGAAGTCCCTCATCTCCTCGTTCTCCTTTTATACCCGTAAAACCATAAATACCAGGCTCACCGATTGAACCTGGGGTACCCGTCAAACCGTCCATTCCGAAATCTCCTATGTCTCCTTTGGTGGCTGGAGAGTAAGCGCTGAGGCCAATTTCTCCTCTTTCCCCTTTTACACCTGGTGGACCTCTCAATCCCGTTGGTCCCATAGGACCAATGTCACCTGGGATACCAGGAACACCTATTCTTCCAGGTTCTCCTTCTAAACCCATATCACCTTTGAATCCGGCTAAACCTGGAATTCCCGTGGGACCAGGTCTTCCTTTAACTCCATCAAACCCATGTCGTCCAGGTAAGCCGGGATATCCTGGATATCCTTTATCTCCAATTTCACCGTAATAACCAGGCAAACCATGCTCACCCACCGAACCTTTCAGTCCATTAAATCCTAAAAATCCTGGTGCACCTTGATCTCCTCTTTGACCTTTTGCACCATCGAAACCCTTAACATTTTCACCAGGATTTCCCCAGTCACCTTTTTCTCCTCTTAGTCCAGGCAAGCCAGGTCTTCCTGGGATGCCATCACGGCCTGGTTCTCCGGAGTCTCCTCTCATACCCTCTAAAGCATCTTCTCCTTTCATGCCTTGAAGACCAGAAAGGCCGATATCACCTCTATCACCTTTAATACCGGGCCATCCATCCAATCCAACTGCACCCGGTGGACCCACATCACCAACCTTGCCTTTGAATCCCCTAGGGCCAATTAGACCAGGTCTGCCTGGTGAACCTGGGTATCCTGGTGCACCCGTTTCACCTCGGTCACCTACTTGTCCAATTATCCCAGGTCGACCCAACAAGCCCGGAAAACCAGGAAATCCTGAATATCCGCGTTCTCCAGTTAAACCTCTTGGGCCAATTCCACCAAACTCTCCCTTCGTTCCTTTAGGCCCTGTATCTCCTTGTAGCCCATTGTAGCCTTGAAGACCTGGCTCACCAATATTTCCAATTGCACCCATTTGTCCAGGATATCCTGGAATACCTGGAGCTCCTTGTACTACAATACCTTGTATTCCTTTGCGACCCTACAGCAAAAAAATACATATTTAACAAATTAAAATAAAAAAAGTGAAAAAAAAAATAGACGTTTGCCAAATCTATGTTTTTCAATATGCAATTCTTATCTCTGAAAGCTTTACTTAGTAAATAGGTTCCTTTTTTCCGCGACGGAAGAAATATTAAAGAACGCCTTTCTTAGCAAAACATCAAACTAAAAGTAATTAGGTACTTGAATTTGTAACTTTATGCTCATAAATTACGTTTAAATATATTTTTTTTTTACAATTCTCTATTAACGAGAAATACATTTTTTTTTATTACCAATTTCAATGTACATTAAGCTACTTTACATAATAGCTCCGATAAAAGATTACAAGGCATTCACTGTTTAAAATACGACAAAGCAATTTCTTTTTAAAAACTGATAAACTTTCGTTACTTCCTCACAGTGCGACGCAGATTATTATTTATACTGTCTTAATTAAGATCATTCATCTCATTTTGTTCCCGTTCATGTTTATGTTTATACTAGGTGTTTTGTTTTGCTAAGTTTTTTTTAATACTTCCTGATGTAACTTGTCTTATAAGAAAACTAGTAAAATATTTTTTTATATTTAAAAGTTTAATCTCGTCATATAATGTCGACGTCTTGTTAAAATTGAGAAAGGATAGTCAAAGAATTCATAATTTTATTTTAAGTTCTTTTTAAAGGATTCGTGTATATAAAAAGGTCTCATAAATTATACTTACAGGTGGTCCAGAAGGCCCTTGTGGCCCATCATCACCAGGTAGTCCGGTCTCACCCTTCAGTCCCATGGCACCTGCTATACCTGGTGATCCAGGATATCCCGGTTCACCCACATCTCCAATCTCACCGGGGCCACCATCAATACCTCTTTCTCCGAGAATAATTGCCAATCCAACATCTCCTCTAGAACCTTTCTTGCCCTTCTCAGCGGAGAAGCCGTCAGGACCCTGAATACCTCTATTTCCAGGTTCACCGTAAGGCCCGACATCTCCCTTTTCTCCTGGAAATCCTCTTGTACCGACCGCTCCAGGGAGAGATATACCAATGTCACCTTCGTCACCTCTCCATCCTGGTATACCGTCGTAGCCCATTTCACCTACTTCACCTTTACGTCCCTTCAAACCTGAAATTATTAAATATTGGTTAGACATTTCTTTGTTTTTTCTGATATTGGCTGCCGTGTGAAAATCAGTAGTCAGTTTAATAAAGTAAAACGAAAATGTTTCTGACACTGCGTTAGGGTAGGTGTTCATAATTTTTATTATCAACTAGCTCTGTTAGCGACTTTGTCCGCGTAGATTAGTAATAACACACATCCACATTTGTTTTGCAAAATTCCTTCGACAACCCACGTCGTCGGAGGCGTCCCGTCGTTCTTGCAAGTTAATCTTAAAAGATAGACATATAGCGTCGCGGACTATTTTTTTAGATCATTAAAAGAGGAATCATTCTTTCATACATATTTTTTTGGTATCTTGATCCGTTTTTGCACCGTGTGAAGGCAAAAACCCATACCTCGCTGTATCTTCTCTTGTATTAGTCACAGGGCGATGTTATATAGCATTCCTTCATGAATGCTCAAAAATGGTTTTGCACAAACAATTTTTCAATTTGAACCCGTAGCTGAGATTAGCGCGTTCAAACATATATACAAACAATCAAAATCTTCAACTTTATATATTAATATAGATATCACTTTTATTTACCTATTGGTCCTACAGGACCAATATCTCCCTTAGACCCTTTTGAGTTGATTTCAGATCCAATAGCGTCACCACTTTCTCCTTTTAAACCGTCATCGCCAGGCTCTCCAAATTCCCCTCTGAATTGATTAAAGAAAAGTTATTCGACTTTGCATTATGTTTTACTTTGTATTCCGATTTTTCAAAATATTTATTTATTTTGAAGTCGAAAGGAAAAATTATCAATATTCTATCAAAATATGTTTCTAATTAAGTAAAAAGTTTTGGTGAATATTTAGGTCGATGTTAAAACTTACTTGAGACCCCGCTCTCCTTTTTCTCCAATAAGGAAGGCATAAGGTATATCTGCATTTAATCCTGGTCTTCCTGGCATTCCATCACGTCCATGTGTTCCATTTCGGCCCGGTAAACCAGGAAATCCATCGTTTCCTGTTCGACCTTTGATTCCCGGTAAACCATAATCGCCAGGGGGGCCAGGCCACCCGGCATCACCAGGTAGGCCAGCGTCTCCAATGAAACCTAAAATATTGTTTTTCTAAATAACTATTCAGTGAAGTATTGTCTGTAGTTTACGTAAGTAGTACACATTTTAGTAAAACACTATTAACGGTTAAGTACCCTATTTTATGTGCTCCTGCAAAGGGTCTGAAACGTTACGCCATAGTTAAAATAAATTTAAGTTTAAGGACATAAATCTACTGCGTGTATTTTTATACACGTTTTAAACTGCTGAAAGAGTTTTGTTTAAATGGATACTATTATGCTGTTACTTAACATAAAATAATATACAGTATATATTGTATACCTGGTGATCCCCTAGGTCCTCTTTCCGCTATGGTAAGGGCGTATGGTGGGTTAATTAAACGTCCTTTACGTCCTCTGAGACCTTGAGGTCCAGCCATACCCGATTGGCCTCTGTTGCCTTTAATACCTTTTTGCCCAGGTATGCCAGGCGATCCTGGGAACCCTTTTTTACCACGAGGTCCCGGTAAACCTTCAAAACCGGGAAACCCTTTCTGTCCCGAAAATCCATCATCCCCTCTTTGTCCTTTAGGACCCGGAAGGCCTGAAATAGCACGTTAAAAGCGTGAAATATGAAGATGAGCCATCTAAAGCTAAAGATTTTAATTATTTTCTATAAACGCTAATTACCTGATTTACAGATCGGACAGTCATCTCCCCGTTCACCTTTCAGGCCATGAAATCCTGGGCGTCCAGGTATTCCTGGGTCACCAGTTTGACCTGGGGGTCCTGGAGGCCCATCTTCTCCTGGAGGGCCTACACCATGAACTCCTCGTCCAGGAAATCCAGGTTGACCCATGAAACCATTATCTCCTCTTTCTCCTCGTAAACCAGGTGCTCCATCTAAACCTGGTGTACCTTCGTCACCGTCTAGACCAACAACGACAGCACCTTTAAACCCTTTAGGGCCCATAGGCCCTAATAAACCAGAGAATCCTTGTGGCCCTCGTTGCCCTGGTAATCCTTTGAATCCATCATTGCCCGGTTCACCCTTTGGAGATATTCCCATTACACCGGGTCGTCCAGGAAGACCTTTAATTCCTGGCACGCCAGGCAAACCTACGATTCCAGGTAATCCTGGAGCACCATCGTTACCAGGGTTACCTATTCGACCAGGTGGACCCACAGGCCCTTGAGGACCCATTGAACCTGGTTTCAATGGTTCATTTAGTGTTTCATCATATATTCCAGGTTCTCCCATAAAACCTTGTTCACCAGGTATTCCAGGTCGTCCATCTTCTCCTAACGGCCCCGGTAGCCCATCTTCACCATCCAAACCAGCATAACCAGGCGCTCCCTTATCACCTTTAGGACCAGCTGGTCCTTCAAGTCCCCTATGACCGGGTTTTCCTCTCGGACCATTGTCGCCTTGGTCTCCTTTATAACCTTGGGGCCCGTGCATACCGTATGCTCCCTTAAAAACGATTATGAATAATGTTATTTCCGGGTAAAAGTAACATAAAAGGTTCAAGAGATACTTCTAAATGGTTATCATTTACTATAAATAGACAAAAAAAAATCACCGGTCTGCCTGTAGATCCGAGTTCTCCTTTGATACCTTTGACACCTTGTTGTCCTCGTAGGCCCTTTTCACCTCTGTTGCCTTTTGCAAGGATCGTAACATTTTGTTGGACTTGGTCAATGTAAATGATTTGAGCTGGTCTGCCAGGTTTACCGATTTCCCCCTGGTCTCCTTTTTCACCAGGTGGGCCCACTACATCCTCACCGGTGTCTCCTCGATATCCTGGTGTACCAGGAGAGCCCATTGGCCCCTGGTTTAAAAAAATATAGTAATATTTATATAGGTAACATTTCTAATTTGACACGTAAAATGTAAAGAAAGACAAATAAAAATTTGTGAGTACCTGATCGCCTGTGTCACCGCGGGGGCCACTGTCTCCAATCCAACCTGGTGGCCCAGGCGAACCAGGTGCGCCAGGTCGCCCATAATCACCTTGTGCACCTTTTGCACCCTGTGAGTTGACACCTCCTTCTCCAGCTAAACCTTGTGCTCCTTTCTCCCCGTACGGTCCTGGTATACCTCTATCCCCAGGTATACCCTGAGGCCCTGGTAGGCCTATTGCGCCATCAACTCCACTGCATCCGTCTAAACCGACTATGCCTCTAATTCCTTCGAAGCCCGGAGGTCCCTAAACAGCAATTTATTTAACTTACACCTATCCTTACAGAAAAATAAAGAACGGGTATACTGTTAAAAATAGTTAAATACTATAAAAAAAATAAAATTGTATTATCATAATTCTATAGAAGGTATAAGTTATTCAAAAATTAGGTGCTATGTTTTGTTCGCGCATGTGGAACAAATTTGTTTTACGCTGACATAAGCGACACTTCGGTGATTCATAAAAACCTAGTTATTTTAAATTGTTTTTATTAAAATTATAATATTTTCGTCTCTTTCTAATGAAATGTTTTTAATACCTGTGGTCCGGTAAATCCTCGTGGTCCATACGGCCCATCGACACCCTGAAAATATGTGAAATAGCGGTGAGGTATTATATATACTAATCTTCACTAATATTACTTTAAATAATGGTTTGTATTTGTATGTGTAAATTTGTAATGAATTAACTCGAAATCTATTGCGCCATTTTAAAAAGTCCTTCCCCATAGGGAAGCTGCAATAAAAATCTTCTCTTTTGAGTCCACAAAAAATGCTCACCCGTTCACCTTTATCTCCTGCGTCCCCTCGTTCGCCCCAGTCACCTGTTTCTCCTATTATGCCCTCACGTCCTTCGGGTCCATCATCCCCATATTCTCCTTGTGCGCCAGGTATACCCGGAGGACCTGGGTCACCTCTATCTCCCTTCAGGCCAGTGCAGTCGCATCGTGTCTGATTACATACGACCTAAAAGAAATGCACATTTTTAATACAGTCAGCAATACCCTGAACTACGTCATAAGGCTGGACCGAGCTTTACGCGTGTAGGTAGAAATCCCGAAAGTCGGAATACAATTTTGCATAATAAGACGTACAAAGTATGTTTAATTGGGGCCTGACAATGAATTAAAACCATGACTCGGGAAATAATTTTATATAATTATTCTACATTTGTATTGTCAAAAGTATAAACAAAATCTGAAGTTATTTCAATGTAGAAGGTCGTATGACGAGTCAATGAATTTTTCCTAGTGACTATTTATTTCATGTTTTGTGATAGAAATGTTTTTCAATTAATCTAAGAGACGTTTCCAAGTATTATTTGATCATTGAATATGGTACAAAATCGAGATTTCCTTGACATCCTCCTGTTCCGTTCCAGCAATGCGTTCTTGTTCAGTTATTTTGTAAGCAAAGTTTTTGTTAATTGAAAAGTGTAATGTGATGTAAAGTTCGAGAAGATCCATAGCTAAGAGGCTGCATGATATATAAAACATATTTTCGTCTATTTATGTAGAAGAAATGTAAATAGGTATCTATAATCGCACGACATCGTAAATAACAATTGATTGGTAACATTAAGTAAAACAATGTGCGTGCCTTATCGTCGGGACCTCTGACACAGATTCCCAGAGCAGGAGTAAGAACATTGCACTTCCTACCACTTAGTGGAGCATAATAAATTACTGATTAAGGAATATTCTTAATGCCGTTTGTAATGAGAAATTATTTTTTATTTGTCAACACTGCTAGATAGTGTTAAAGCATTCTTTGGCCCATCTTACAGTTAGCCGGGACACGGTGTCCCGGTAAGATAGGCCAAATGTGTTTTGCAGAGAAACCGAACTTCAGTCTATCTATAGAAGAGATATAATTGTAATAGAGACATCATATGTTAATTAATAAAAGTAGACTAAGAAATAGCCCAACACAGGTTCACCCGCTTAGGGATACTATAGGAAATCCTTATCGTCTCCGGGTCTTATAAACAGCGACTTAAGCTATGCGATTATTCAAGACAAAATATATAATAACAAACATCCCAATTAAAATATTTTCTATTTTTATTATCGAATACACCGCGTTATTATTTTTTCAAGTAATTTTGGACACCTTCATGTCTACATAGGCTCTATGCATGACAGGTATTTTCTAAAGCCAAAACTTAACTTGTACTAACTGAGTAATAGCATTGGGCTTAAATACTGTATATAGTTTACGCGAGTAGTACACATTTAAATAAAACACTCTAACGTCTCCCCGTGACCACGGCTGCTGCAAAGCATCTGAAACGTCGGGCCGAAGTTAAAAATCATTTTTAAATAAGTTTAACTAATATATCGCGTTTTAAACCGTTAAAGTGTTTTATTTTAATAATGGGCTTGTTTTTTATGAATACCTAAGAAGGTTACAAGTTGCAAGAACAACCAAACGCTATTTCATGCAACAAAAGAAAGATGTTTAAAATTAGAGTTTTCTTCTATCAAATACGGGGTCAAAATAGTTTAATAAAACAATAAATATTGATATTTCCGTGAAAGTGTTGGAAGCTCGAAAAATTTGGGGAACTTCTACCTGCGGCAGAACAGCCTTGTTGGGTCGGAGGTAGAAGTTCTCTACAATCTGCCATCTGCCATCTCTGCCATGTGAAATCTGCCTAGATTGTAGAGATGGCAGTCCTATTTCGAGTCAACTATTACTTACAAATGGCATGTATGTATGATACTTACTTATACATACCTAGAAATTGTAACACCGTTTAAAATCGTACCCTTGGTTTTTTACTCGATATGGTATATATTTACATCACTAGTATTAAAATGTAATCTCTACCAAAATGCAAACCGGTTCGAGAGCTTTTTGCAGCAAGTTTCCATAAAAGGTTTACAGTTAGAGGGATGCGGGTACCTATGCGAAATTTAAGCAAATTTTTAAGAATTCATGAAGATCCTTAGAAGAATAATAAGTAATGTACAAATGTTGTGTTTATAATGTTTTTATGAAAAAAACTACACTTTTTAAACAAAAAGATTATAGTTATAATGATAAAAATATTATATAGCAAATAGTTACTTAAATTTTAACTCCGTCGCTTTATCAGCCACTATTATTGTAAATTATCTATATAGACATTTCCTCAGAATCTAGATGGGTATACATTCATTGTCAGAACGTAATAAGAGTAATAACGTTATAAATCAATTTACACTTCACTTTTATTCACGTTCCTGGGAACAAGCCGCCCTCGTTGCCCAAACGGGTCTCACCCGTATTTCTCAATGGCTCACCAATAATCTTCTTTCGCTTAATACAACAAAAACTAAATACATTTGTTTTAACATCTCTAAGGCAACTGCCCCAAAACCAATCCCCCCTATTAAACTCCATTCTTGTCATAACCCCTTCTCGACCTGCCAATGTCCAACCATAGAATCGACTGATTCTATTAAATACCTCGGGGTAATGGTAGACTCGAGGCTTTCTTGGGGTCCTCACAGATGATCTAGACCCTGAGAAAGGACATAGGCTACTACTACTACTTTTTAATGCTAAAATAGGGTTGAAAAAGGGGATGAAAGTTTGTATGGAAATTCGTGGTTTTTAAGCTAGAACAATGAAACTTTCTTCTTTGGCTTTTTAGGAGTGGGAGTCGGCGTGGGCGTGATAAGAGGTGTTTCGGCAAAGTAGCTCTAACAACATAGATTGGCTGCCTTAAATGTGCCCTTACATAAATTAATAAACAGCTTAAATAATTAAAAATTCTACCCCAAGTCACTATTCCACGCGGACGAAGTCGCGGGCACAGCTAGTTATTATATAAAATATTTTATGGGTAGGGCGCTTGTATCGCTTAGTGTATCTTAATACTTTAAGATTTTGGTTTAATATTGGAAATCATGAAGATTATATTTTTCTGTCCAACATCGGCAGAATATTTCCTGCTGCGTGGGTGGTGTGTAGTCGTCCGGTTGACGCGCGTGTCCTCGTGAACTCAAATTAATTAACACTGTAAAACATAATCGTGAAATCATTTAATAACGACGCGATAACGTTAAAAACGCACTAAATTACAGATTTTCTTCGACATATTCATTTCGGATATATTCATTTAGTTGAACTAATTATGTAATATCCACTATACGCGAAAACTTGACAAACGTGTTCATTCAAAATTTATATAGAGGCGGATACAGATAGTAAAATCTATCTTTATTCTATTCGAAACCGAGTAATTCTGAGAAGTGTTAGGTATACAATAACAGCTTAGTAAGTAATTTGTATAGTTAGACATGCGCCGACCGCATACATCTAATACCGTATCAACATAATATTTTTATTCGCTTAAAAGAGTAATAGGACACGAAAATGAACATTCAAAGATTTAAGGCGTGCATGCAGTAATATCACTTAGCTGTTATTGCCTCAGCCAAGAGTTACTTAATTAACTCAAATTATTTCTATGATGCTTATTTAATACTAGCTGTGCCTGCGACTTCGTCCGCATGGAATTGTCAGGAAGTGACAGTAATTTCGGAGTTAAAGCCGGACAGAGTTACTTTTCCATTTATAATATTATTAAAATCTATAATTTATTTAAAAAAAAAGATGTATAAATGGTAACAAATAAATAAAAGAACTATTAAAATCGGTCCAGTACTTTTTTAGTTTATCCGTTACATACAAAAATACAAAACTTTCCTCTTTATAATATTAGTGTAGTGTAGTACCCACGATACTCGTATCCCGACGTAAGCGTGCCGTCGTTCGGGTCGTTCTTGCAAGTTAATCTTAAGAGATATATAGCGTCGCAGTAGATTTTTTTTTAGATCATTTAAAGGGAAATCATTCTTTCATACACAATTTTCAAGTATCTTGAACCGTTTTCGCAGCGTACGCATCTGAAACCTACAAGATGAAAAATTTCCCCCGCTTTATTCAAATTTCTCGCTGTATCTTCGCTCCTATTAGTCACATCGCAATGTGTTATAGCCTATAACCTTCCTTGATGAATGCTCTAATCAACACAAAAAAAAAAATCAATTCAAACCAGTACTTCCTGAGATTAACGCATTCAAACAAGCAAACAAACTCTTCAGCTATATTATATTATCTATTATATTGTTAATTATAGTATAGATTTAAATTCTAACTTACTATTAAATAGTATGAAAAGTTATTATTTTTTCATATAACCAATTGATATAGAAGCTCATTTGGTAGAGGGTTGGATGCCTGCTCGTGTCATAACATTTTTGCAATCAAAACTAATGTTCGAAATAAGAGTATGATCGAACGTCTGTTGTAATCTGCGTATCTGCTACGACGATTAAAAAACGCGACAAGCAAACATCGGGCAAAATCATTAACATGCCTAAATTTCTTATTAATTATGTCATGAATTAAACGATGATAGCATATGGTAGGTATTACAACAACAGCGATTATAGAACATATGATTCATTGCTTGCAATTCATGGAACACGCTGGATAAACAATCATTGCAGTGTCCCAAGCGATAACGGACATTTGCACATCCCGGCGGAGAATGAGTCCCGACCGTGCTTTTAAAAACTTTTGAAGTGCGCCTAAATTAGCAAGTACTGCATATACGCGTAAAAGTATTACTACACACCTGAAGAGTTTATTTGTTTGTTTGAACAACGAATCTCTGAAACTACTCATCCAATCGTACGATAATCATCACTACAAAGTGTAAAATAAAGTCGCATTTTCTACCCCTATGTGCGCTTAAATCTGTAAAACCACGCAACGGGTTTTGATGTGGTTTTTTAATAAATAGAGTGATTTAAGAGGCAGGTTTTATATGCAGCGTTCATAGATTTTCAGTATTTAGTATCAGCATTGCACCCAAGGAAAGTCGGGGCGGGTCGCTGGTATTATATAAACTGTCGGTAATTTACATATACATACAATTTCGTTCACACTTGTTACGGTTTTTAAAAATTACGATATATTCGTATTCGGACTCTACTTGATAAATATAATATCTTTTGTGTTGGAGTGTGTTTGCCACAGAATAAAAGGTAGCACTGAAATCGTAATTCAACAGTGAAAAGTTGTTAATGTAACTATTAAATCTAAAATAATATTAAAAACTTCACCTAATTAAAACACTTATAACGATTTTAAGCGCCTTCCGTGATTACGAGTTTTGCTAAGCATATGAAATGTCGATCTGTTAAAGTGGGTAAAGTTCACTATTATTACTTAATATATTTCGCATTTTAAACCGTTAAGAATATTTTATTTAAACGAGTACTCGTGTAAACTAGAGACAATACTTAATCATTTAATTTTGACTTTACTTATTTACGTGTAAAAATAAAGTTCCACGTATAAGAATTAAGCTCGATGGTATGAAATACGAAAAAGTTATTTGTATATAATGGTGCAACAATATTTCTATACCCTCTAAAACTGTGTCAAAAAAGCAGAGCAAACTGGCTGGGATTTACGATCGGTTTACTGGAATCTGGTGACCCCGGTAACTCATAAACGTGTTCCCGATCCACAATATTAATTGTAGTTGCAATGTGACTAAATCGTACAAAAATAGATGCCCAACGATAAATCTTAAGAATAGATGTTGACAGGGTACATCAGTTTAACGACTGAAACTGTTAATTACTGCATAAATAATCGCTCAATGTGCACATTTTAATAGGAAAAATCAGCTCTATTGATTACTAACACTACAGCAAAATGTATACACTACAGATTTCATTAAATACCCTAATTATACCAAAAGCTTTTATTAAAAGAAAAGACAAAGTGCGCGGTATTGGCACTTTGTCTTTTATGATAAAGGGGGACTGACAAGCACGCGGTTCAATTTATGGAAGGTGAACTTCCCAGCCATATAATTATGTAGGTAACATCTAAACAAGACGTACCTTCGACCTACTTTGGCTTAGGATAGCAGGAAACTTAATCGCGATAAAAGTTCACGCCTTTTTCATCTGAAGACGGTAGTTCGTGACCTGACCGTGACGTAATTCCAATATTCGTACCGGGCATTTAATATCCAGATTTTCAGAATTTCAGGTTATAAATTGATGAGACACCTGAGACCTCGTGGGGACCCACAAACCGTAGATTAGACCACTTCGTTTATACTGTGAAAAATTTTCTAAATCCACACATCCTGTGAGCATATGAAATAGAGAAACGATAAATGCTATTCATAGATTAAGAACATAGCCGTATATTCAAGAACCTAGAGTTTGTTACTGCGTTGAAACTATTGACCTATTTCACTTTAGTGGAAGTAAGCAATAACTTTCAGCGCAATACTCGCGGCTGTAAACTGCAGTTGCTGGTTGTTAAATATATTAGGCGCTAGCGTTGTTTTAAATGAGTTTATGGGACCCAACGCTAACAGATCTATTAAGAATCCTCCAAGAACGCATATTTTAATGCACCTAGACAGAACAATGAAATAAAACTACCTACTAGTGTAGCTCTATTTCATTGTTCTACGTGTTAATGTGTTGCTTTTGTGTATTGCAAAGTAAAGCTGTAATAACTTGTCGATTATAATTTGCCATAGCTAACTATACTATATTAACATCTTAAAAAATTTCCAATAATAACACTTTCTCTGTGCGATTGGAAATGGGCATCATAAGCAACATCCTCTAGAGTTCAATGTTCTGGTATGATGTACGTCAGGGCGATAAAACATCGACTCATGAATTGAACTCGAGCATTGACAGGACGACTCACCCCGGAATAAAGTTTAACGGATAGAGGCAACATCAAAACAAAGTATATTTATAAATTGTCTGCCTGACACAAATAGGTGGCAATTCGTACCGGTGTCATGATATGTAAAGTGTAGACCGATATAAATCAGATTTGGATAAACCTACAAAACTGTTGATGGAAATCTTTAACATCCTTGAGAATATACTATTTGCCGCTACATAGCAAGTATTTCGAATACATACTTATAACAAAGAGTGAGGTACAACTAAAAGGTTACTACACTTCATGAAATAAATATCTATACCTTGGCATAAATGTAGTTATTAAGACATCTTCACAACTGAAACTCGAGTAACTTCAGTAAAATACATAATGTTTTTTTCGCAATATTAAAGACTCAAGTATTATGTAAGTGACTACTCGTGTTAAGTTCGACATTCTATAGCGCTTTAAATTGCGTTACAATCTACACGAGTCCTTATCGCCTACGATATGAAAACGTGGGAGCCCTAAATTTTAAAAATTTCGGCAATTATTGCAAAAATCGTGTTAAACAAAACGACAAGTTGATAATAGCTTCCTGCCGCTTCGATAACGGATCCTGCCGTTTGCGCTATGACCTCGTTACGAAAGCTTTGTTAATGGAAGCTGATTTTGACCCAATTCTGTAATTAATATCTGATAGCCTACTTTAAATTCTCACTATCATATAAAAATAGTCATTATTAAATACCTCTAATTTGGAACATAAACTTATCTGCCCCTTTGTAAAACTGCTATTAAATCTATTCATATAATATACGCTTCAGCAGTAACTAGATTATTTTTACTTTGACGCCCATACATTTTTGAAAAAGCAGAGGTTTTGAAGATGATAGACCTTTTGAATAGGATCAATTTAAAAGACAAAAGATAAAACACATATGACATTAAGTATATACATATAGAATCTACGAATATAATTTAGATACAATTTTAGTTACAACCAGTTATAAAAATACTAAGGTGTTGAATTTGCTTAAACTTTTTGAATTGATTAATTATTTTTTTATTTTATTTATGCAATAGGTTTTATTTATTTATGTTACCAGCCGCCGAATGTTTATACAGCACGCATAATTTAAGGCATATTTAATTTGAAACTTAAATTTTTATTTGAAAATTTAAATTACTTAAACCAATTGTAATATACCCCTTATCAGAATGTTGTCCGCTAAATTTATCAGAGGTTATAACCTTTAGCGTTTTAAATTAGTTTAATTTAAATGATAAGATATTTTTTGGTATCATCGCTTAGTTATAAGTTTTCTGAGAAATCATATTAGATATATGAGCATAGTATATATATGTTATACTCGCGTAACGATATGGCCGTCAGTGATAAAAATAAATAGATATTATACCTACGCGACCACGCAATATATTTTTATACATTATTATTTAAGAATAATAAAAACAATGACTGATAACTTCATTGATTATAAATAACAATCATTCAATACATTTTCGATGCCCATATTAGACTGAAACTGAATTGTTGTAAAGAGTTTGCATGGTTGATAATTCACATTTAATGCTTTGCTGTTTCTTTTCATTGAGTTTTGTTGTATACAATCAATCCTATGGTTATATCAGAATTAAAAAAAATGGTAATTCATAAAACATCCGGATGAGTTCATGATTTTTTTTAATCTAAGAAAATAGCTTACTGTTTTTTTAGGTCACGAGGCCGGGTACACGATAAAGAATTATTGTTGTTGCCACTTGATACACTCTATATAACGAATAAAAACGTTAAAAGATAATAGAGCAAAGGTTACCGTAACACCAGATTGACAAATGGGTACATTACGTCTTAAGACACATGTACCGAGCATTTTTATAATTCCTACTTCATACAACAGGAAATTAAGACAAGCAATCGTTAAACTAAAACATCTCCAATACACCTATTAATTATTAACATCGCTTATTTCCACTACCCGGAAATGATACTAATATCTATCCTTACAATAAAAACATGTTATAGAGTGATGGAATTTCGTTTCGTAATTATTTGATAAACAAAAATAATAGTCATAAGTTAAGCTTCTTTCAGTAAAAACGTAATCATTGTAGTACTTTTAACATATTATAGCCTAAATATTTTTTTGACGAATGTTACCGTTTACGAACTTTGGCTAACTAGTGACAAGTTAGTGTTTTTTGTGTCTAGAATAGTAATTATCTACTTTTTAATTATTTCACAATAGGAATTATTTATTTACGGTTTTAATACGTGTTTAATCTATTGTCTCTGACAACGGTTTAGGTGGACGGTCTAAAATTTCAATTTTCCTACTAAGATGTTAAAGATATGGTAACAATTGCATTGATTGATTCTAACTGCGTTTTAATAATTATATGGAAAGTTTATAATTTCAAGTAACGTTTGAAACGTTTTTGTTACGTCGAATGCTCGGTTCCAGTTAAAGCTGCAAAAAAATTACTAAACCCAATTTCCATTTATTGCTTATCATGGACATACTTAATAATAAATAAATAGTATTTTAAATTGAAAAAAGAGACAAGGAAAAGAGGAATTAATTTTAAAAGATGGGAAGATGACATTAAAGCTTCAGCAGGAAATACGTGGACGAGAATTGCAACGCTGAGTGGAAGAAGTTGGAAGGGGCATGTTGGCGAGAAGCAATCAGATATACCGGTTGTTGGTTAACGAAAACATAACTATTGTAATTGTAATACTTAACCGAAATAATATATAAAGTACTTCTATATGGTTTACTAGTATGTGTTGATTTTTTTTTAATCAATATATGTACTTAATTAAAGAATCGATTACCATGGATCTTAAGATGTTTAAGTTATCGAATTATTATCATGATATTGTATATTTTTTAAGTATTTCGCGTGATACGTCAAATTGGCTTGATTCTTGGATAAGTTAATTTATAAATTTAGTCCTAGGACTCAGTAGCTCAATTGCTCAGAGCATCAGCACGGAACGCTGACGATGCCGGTTCCAGTACTGCTCGAGTCGTATTTTTTTTCAATTTATAATCGATTTTTAATGTATATAGTGCCGTCATGAACGCGCTAATCTCAGGAATTACGGGTTCGAATTGAAAAAATATTTTTGTGTTGGTTAGAGCATTTATTGAGGAAAGCTATAAAACATCTCGCTCTGACTTATAGGACCGAATATACAACGGGAAATGTGAACAAAACGGGGGAGATTCTTCATCTCTGTGGCTTTCAGATGCGTACGCTGTAAAAACGGTTCAAGATACCTAAAATATGTGTTGAAAAGAATTATTCCTCTTCAAATTATCTCAAAAAAAGTCCGCGACTCTATATATCTATCTTTTAACATTAAATTGCAAGAACAACGGGAAGGGACGCGATCGATGTCGTGGCTAATAGCTTAAGTTTATAAAGATGACAGGGTTTGCAAAAACTAATTTGGATGCCCAAAAGAACGATTGTCGCTGTAATATACAACTGAAGAGTTATTTTGTTTAAAGGCGCTTATCTTAGGAACTAAGGGTCCAAATTGAATTTGGTATAAGGCTATATGACATCTCGCTGAGACCAATGGGAGCGAAGAAGCAGTGGAAAATATGAAAAAAAAAATAATTTTTGAGGGTAAAAAAGAACTACCTCGCAAAAATGAAGGGAAGTGGACGACGTGTTGTGTAGTAGTAATAATTGATGAAATTGAGAGGGTTCTTTGCAAAAACACATTTTGCTGCTCAAAATAACTATTTTACGCGGACAAAGTCGTGGGCACAGCTAGTAGGTTTTAATATTGTTTATTTCATTAAGGTTTTCCTAAACAGAAATTTATTTCATAGCACGCTGTATATATAACAATTTGACATGTTAAACTTACTGACAACAGTATGTATCGATTTTTTTAGTTCTTTAATGAAATTTACACACATTGCATTACCTTAAAGTATTTTGTTTATACCAAAATATCGTTGTGTACTTGTGTTTGACAAAAACAGATGGTTTGAAGGAAATTGTATACAAAAGTTTTGTTTATTTTTATGTACTTAATTAATCATGTGATGTTGCTTAACTAAACTGCCGCACGCGAAAGGGATGCTACTTAAGTTAACTTTGAGTTTTTTCCCCCAAACATGTTGGTTAACTGACGACAATTTTATAAAACAATACATATATGCAATGGATTGTCTTACTTTTGAAGGAATAGATGTTATTGGTATTAAACACAATTTTAATAAATAATTAAAATAATAAAAGCCTTAGTTACATAGTTTATGGAAAAGGTCAGACGTTAACATGCGTATCCTTCTTGTTAAAATATTTACCCATTCGAGATTTTAAAGTTATTTAAATGAAACTAAAGTCTGGTAAACTATTACTTATCTGACTATTTTATTAGCTTTATTTATATTTTGTTATTTCCTAATAGGACTTTTGGACTTTTAGTTCTTTCAAGACTAAGAAATAGGTGTCCAAATACTGTCTATATTTTACGCGAGTACTACACATTTAAATAGAACACTTTAACAGTTTAAAACTCGATATATTAGTTAAACTTATTTGAAAATGATTTGTAACTTCGGCTCGATGTTTCGTCGCAAAGCATCCGAAATGTCGGGCCGAAGGGAAAATCATTTTCAAATAAGTTTAACTAATATATCGCGTTTAAACCGTTAAAGTGTTTTATTTAAATAGGTGTCCAATCAGTTTTGTGTTAGTTTCAGCAGTCTCTTTTGCAATGGCTAATATTTCATTCTTATTAATATAAATAGACATTCTTTGTTGACGTATCATGTAAGAATGATAGTGAACTGCACAACTGCAAACTGGAAATATCTGGTGAATTGGAAAACTTCTATTTTACCGATCTATCCCCCGTAACATTGCATTGTTGAGAACAACCTTATAATGCTCTATGTTATACTTTTCATTTATAGTATGAAATCTTAACATCAACTATCATACTTAATATAACATATCGTGGACCAACCCTACTCATATCGTGATTTTTATAAAATATCATTAAAATTACTCTATTTGTATTTTTAAACAGATTACATTGTACAGGGTTTGCAAAACTGAGCGCGTTGATGTCGTTCTCAAAGAGAGTAAATTAAAATATAGTGCACACTTACAGCAGAAGTTTGGATTGGAATCCATAGAAGAAGCAGAAGAAATACGGGGACTATGTGGACCGCGAGAAGGCGCGCACGCGCCGGGCCCGACATGGCTGCGCCGCACTACTGGACGCGCGCCCTCAGAGCCGCCTGCCCGTCCGCTTGGCTCCCGCACCACCGCTGGGAGCTGCGGGGCGGGGACGCCGGTACACCGTCCGACCACTGCCTCCTCTTTCCTTAGTATCCCGACTCAAACGGCGCGCGCGCACGGGACATAAGCGCCGCGCGCTTCGGGCCATGGCGGTCCACGTTCTTTGGTAAGATACCATTTTTTCTGTGCCTGAAAAAAAATATATTTCTTTAATTTTTTTTTACTAAAGAATAAAATTTTAAACATTCTTGTAATACTAAATGTGTGCAACTATGTATTTTTACAAAATTAATTTATTAGGTTGGTGGTGGCGCTGGTGCCGCTTGCAGGAGTTAAAACTGTAAGTATTTTATTTATATAAAAACAACATTAAAGTGTCTTCTTAATTCAAAATCTTATTTACAATACGCTTATTTAGTTCTTTCAGTGCAATGAATGATTTATTTTAACGCGATGTAATTATGAACGCGGCGACAAGCGTGGAATTTTTTTTTATGGGAAAATCATTTATTTCTGGATTCTACTAGTTCAGAATTTAAAAATGTATAAACGTTTTAAAAATTATACCGTAGATAGACTTACGTAATTTATAATATAACAGATAGGTCAACTAAATTAGGGAATGTTAGCAACGTTCTTGACAAGCGCGGCCCGGCCCGATCGTCTACTTTCGTCCTTTTGCAATTTCTATCGCAAACTTGATTCTTTATAACAAAACTTAATGAAAGTCTGTTACGATTCTTTTGTTTTAGATTTCGCAAAACAGTTATGTCTTGCGTTATACTGTACGAATTTAAAACATAAATGGTATCCTTGTTAACACTGCCACAATATTCTATACTCAATAAGTTATAATATACTTAAATGAAGACCGACAAAGTTTATCATCACTCGGATGTAGCGACGGCATTGCGCAAGCATTATACTATACTAATAATTATATGTTACAATTTACTTTACGTTACATATACCTATGTATAATCGATATTGTCACTATTTTCACAAAATAAAATACAGTCCTCAATCTATCCTTACATTAACTATTTGATAACATCGAAGAAAAATAAGAGTAAAAAAATCTCTAATTCATACTTTTAGAGTACGTATTTTACGTAACATGAAACTTATTATATTATAGGTACCTAAAAGTTTTTGGGATGAAATAAAGATCTTTTATTTTTCATATATTTTATACGAATCATTTTTTAAAGTTTTGATCAATAGGTACGTATAAAATTAAGGATGGACGTATGTATGTCTCTTCTCAGAAAACATCGTTCTAGTGTACTTATTTTGACGCAAAATAGGCTGTAACCTACCACCGTTCATGCTTTCTGATATCTATATTTAAAAATTTTAAGCTGTACAAAATCTATTTACATTTTTTACAGCGAGAAATATTCGAAGACATTATTATTGTAAGGTGTAACGTCAGATGGTATCGTTTTACTAAAAATTGTAAGCTCAGCTAAAAATTGCGTGTCAAATGAAAGTTATTTGCACAGCTATTCAAAAACAATTTCATGCACCAACTTACTTGTGTTTCTAGGAATATATTTCTAATATATATCATTTTTGATATAAATTTACTTAACGTGAGGCTAGAATGCACAAATGTTAAATTTTAGATTATTATTGGGACAACCGATAATTTAATAAGCAGTGACTAAAGTTACTGGAAATTATCCCAAACATCGGGTGATGATTAAAAATAATTTGTTTAAGTAAAAAAAACGTTAATAGTTTGAAAACTTTTATATTTTTCACATGTTATTGCACATGAAGGCACTATATAATTTAAAAATGGAAAATAAATTATACGTTAATAGTTATTTAGTTATTGCATTTTTTTTATAACCTGTCTGGGCAAGTGATTTAATTTATTAAAAATATATGTTTTTCCTACATACGAAGTTAGCTAACAGTTTTTTTTAATTATTTTATAAAAAAAAAGTGCTATTATCACTTAATATTTCAGACGTAAGATTCCAATTAGAATTACAACTTAAGCTGAAGAATGATTGCTGTTTCTTTTAATAACGTTTAGCTCGCGCGAGTATGAAACATCAAACACGGGAAATGTACAAAGTGATAGCTATAATTGCTGAAATTTATAGAATAACGAGAAACTCTAGTTTCTCTTTCAGTTTTAATTTATACCACACCATAGATACCATTTGTTTCTACAACAAGTCTTTAATAGCACCTGAATTTCTTTGTTTCAGCAACAATATGGTTACCCCCCAAGAGGAGACATTGAGGATAATAACATTTATCCTAGCCGATGGCCACCGACAGATAACTGGTCTACGAGAAATTATCAATCCCCGAATCTGAATACTTACGGCTTATCTAGACGACCGGATTTACCCACGGCTCAGCCCTCAGCTCCACCCAGATCCCAAGCATCGTTGGGTCAAAACTTTGCCGTTCTCGACCCCGTTACTCGACAGCGAACTACAGCATTCGATCGAAATTGTACTGCGCCCGGTTGTTGCGTTCCAAAATGTTTTGCGGAGAAAGGAAATAGGGTAAGCAATGAAATAATTTCGCTCCAAATTAAGTTGATAAACTACTTTTTTTTTAATACTATCAATATTTTTTTAAATATTACAATAGATTCTAAGTCAAAATTGGTATAATTTAATTCAAATCAATGAAGTTACTTATATGACAAAAATTATATTTTTATAGGGCTTCCCAGGCGTACAAGGGCCTGCAGGTATGCAAGGCCTGCCAGGGCACGAAGGAGCTGAGGGCCCGCAAGGTCCGAAAGGGCAAAAGGGGCAAGTAGGTCCGCAAGGACCTCGTGGGCCTAAAGGGGACAGAGGCAAACCTGGTGCTCAAGGATTTGTGGGATTATCTGGACCTCCAGGACCGCAGGGCGATTCCGGTGCACCTGGTATACCAGGACGAGACGGGTGTAATGGAACAGATGTAAGTGGCCACTGTCGATCGCTTAACACGTTCATTTTATTTATTTCAAAGTATTAACGTTATTTTCTAGGGCGAGCCTGGTATAATGGGTCCTAAAGGTTCACAAGGGCCTCGTGGTATACCTGGACCGAAAGGTGATAAGGGAGACAAAGGACAAGCTGCACATATGGGTCGCTATCCTAAAGGACAAAAAGGAGAACCTGGATCTGATGGCATGCAGGGTCCGCAAGGTCCTGTAGGATTAACTGGTCCATCAGGTCTACCAGGACCAAAGGGCAATACAGGACCTATGGTAAATTTATTTTTAATATAAAAATAACATCTTTAGCAATTTTGACGCGTTAATCGCGTAAAAGTTTTTATGTTGTGGATGTTCGAACATCGATAGACAGATAATTAGTCAAACGTTTGTTGGAAGCATCAGAATAATATTATTTATTACAGCAATAGTATTTAAAAGCTACTTATATTTAAAAAAATCATTTAGGGACCACCAGGACTTCGAGGTGATAAGGGCTCAAAAGGATCGAAAGGTCAATCTATTCAAGGTGATAAAGGTGACAGGGGAGATCGAGGAGACAAAGGACCTGGATGTCCACCTGCACCTTTGCGCTCTTACGACAACAAGGGTGCTATAAAAGGAGTTAAAGGTGATATGGGCCAAAAAGGTGATAAAGGAGAGCCTGGTAGAATGGGTGAAAAGGGAGACACAGGACCGATGGGAGAACCGGGTTTAGCTGGACAAATGGGTATCAAAGGTGAAAAGGGTATAAGGGGAAATCCTGGAGAAAGAGTAAGTAATACATAAAAAAAATAAGTGTATTAATGATTTATTTATGATTATTAATGATTTAAATGTTCTTTAGGGTCGTGATGGTATGTACGGTCCAGCAGGACCTATGGGGCAAAAAGGTGACCAGGGAAACGATGGATTATCTGGTTTGCCTGGCAGACCTGGAACTAAAGGAGAACCTGGAAGAGACGGAGCACCTGGTCTTAGGGGATTAAAGGGAGTACCAGGTCCAGCCGGTGGAAGAACAGGTTCACGGGGGCCTCCGGGTCCTCCTGGACCTCGAGGTTATATGGGGCCAGCAGGCGCTCCGGGATCTGATGGTAGACCAGGTGACAGCGGTTTATCCGGACCTATGGGTCCTCCTGGTGGACAGGGTGAACCTGGTACTCCAGGAATTGAAGGTCCTGCAGGCCACAAAGGAGAAAAGGGGGAACCTGGTTTAGATGGTTTACCTGGTGAGATTGGCCCAAGAGGATACGACGGCCCTATCGGACCACAGGGACCAAGAGGACCGAAAGGAGAAGATGGCATATCAATTCCTGTAAGATTTTAACTAGTCTTTGTTTCCTTATCGTAGTAAATCAAAATCAAATCAAATTTACAAAATATGGTTGTTGTCTACAAATAGTGTTTCATTGTCATAAGTTTACCTTTTGTTCATTTAGTTATTCTTTCTCGGAATTTTAAAATTGTTTACATGTATTAATTTTTCTTTATAGGGTGAAAGAGGTACTCCCGGTATTCCTGGTTTACCCGGAGAAAGGGGTGAAAAAGGTGAACGTGGATATCCCGGTTTAAGAGGTGTACCTGGAAATTCTACGTTAGGGACACCTGGTAGCCCTGGAGAAATGGGAATACGTGGTGAAAAAGGAGAACGAGGCAGTCCAGGTTATGATGGTTTACCTGGAAATCCAGGTGAAAAGGGTGATATAGGAGGGCGATGTAATGAATGCTGGCCTGGTGGTCCTGGCGCAAAAGGAGATCACGGAGCTGATGGTAGTCCAGGTGAAAGAGGAGAGAGGGGTCCACCCGGCCCCGAAGGATTGCCTGGCGAAAGAGGTTCTGATGGATTGAATGGATTACCTGGATCAGTTGGTGCTCCGGTAAGTTGTGTTAACACTGGTGTCTTTTAGATATTGTGCTAAACATATTATTTTTTATAAAAATTCATCATCTTTTTAAAAGGGCGATAGAGGAGACGAAGGCCCAATGGGACCACCTGGTGAGAGTGGAGTTGACGCTATCATTCCTTCTAACTTGGTCAGAGGACCTCCAGGTCCTCCTGGTCCTCTGGGAGAAAAAGGTGGAATAGGACCCAAGGGTGAAAGAGGCCTGATAGGACCTAAAGGAGATCGTGGTCTAAATGGTATGCCAGGATTTAAGGGAGACCAGGGAAGAATGGGCCCACCCGGTGTTGATGGAATCCCTGGTACGGATGGTATACCAGGTGTTCCAGGCGCTAAAGGTATGTCCGTAAAAGGAGAAAAAGGTGAGCCAGGATCACAAGGATTTAAAGGTGATAAAGGATTCTCAGGAAGGCATGGACTCAAAGGAGAGCCTGGCCAGTGTCCAAACTATTTGCAGTTATTGACGAAGGGTGAAAAGGGCAATCAAGGAACACCAGGACCACAGGGACCGCAAGGTATTTTTTTTTATTTTATCTGTTTTCTTTTATAAGATCAAATGTGTACATAAAATCAATCAATAAATCCAAATATTTCAGGAATATCTGGAGATAAAGGTGACAGAGGTTTAACAGGACTAACAGGAGACAAGGGCCAAAAAGGAATAGCTGGACGTGCTGGTCCTGTTGGGCCTCGAGGATTTCCAGGTTTGAAAGGAGACAAAGGTGAATTGGGTTCAATGGGTTTCCCTGGTACAACTGGAGAGTCAGGCCCTCGAGGGTTCCCTGGTTTACCAGGTTTGAAGGGAGATAAAGGTGAAATCGGGCCATCTATGCCAGGTCCGCCAGGTCCCGCTGGATTCGGAGGACAAAAAGGAGAAGCCGGCCCAAGAGGTATCCCCGGTATACCGGGTAACGATGGCCCTATTGGTCCCGTTGGTTTATCGGGTGAAAAGGGTGATAGGGGATTTGCTGGCCTTCCAGGGTTGCCAGGCCCAGTAGGTTTGAAAGGTGAACCGGGATTAGTTGGGCCTCCAGGTGTTGCAGGAATTCCAGGTACGCCTGGAAGGGACGGGTTTAAAGGTCAACAAGGCTTTCCTGGAATACCAGGAAAACCAGGTGTTATTGGTTTACCTGGTCAAAAAGGAGACAAAGGTATCCAAGGATCGGAAGGACCCAAAGGCTTTCCGGGTCCTCGGGGCCGCCCAGGTTTTAAAGGAGCAATTGGTTTAGATGGTAGCCCGGGAGAAAAAGGTGATAAGGGTGAATCTGGTTTTCCTGGTGCTCCAGGAGAACCTGGCTTGGATGGACCAGTTGGACCAGTTGGAGTCGAAGGACTTAAAGGAGATCAAGGTTTCCAAGGACTCCCTGGTTCGCCTGGTAGGATGGGTGCACCGGGTGAAAAAGGTGATAGAGGGTTCCCCGGACTTGTCGGACCTAAAGGTGAAGCTGGAAGAGCTGCAGACAAAGGTGAAAGAGGTTTCCCTGGTGTTCCAGGACTGAGAGGTTTAGATGGAATTCCTGGCCAGGATGGAGTTAAAGGCGATAAGGGAGATGGTGGACTTCCTGGCATTGGAATTCCAGGGCTTGTCGGGGAAAAGGGAGATACAGGATTCCCTGGATTACCGGGATTACAAGGCCAACCTGGTGAAAAAGGTGACCATGGTCTTCCTGGTGTACCCGGAATAAAAGGCGATAGGGGCTTAGTTGGTGAGGCAGGACAACCTGGTCAACCAGGATTAGATGGAGCACCTGGACAACCAGGTGACATTGGATTACCAGGGTTGCAAGGCTTTAATGGCGAAAAAGGAGACAGAGGTTTTAGTGGAAGAGATGGTTCAAACGGAGAAAAAGGTGATAGAGGTCCTATAGGTCCTCCAGGATTTGAAGGAGAAAGAGGTTACCCTGGTCTGAAGGGAGATAGAGGGCTTCCAGGACCATCAATAAATATTAAGGGAGAAAAAGGAGATATTGGTCGACCAGGCATACCCGGTGCACCAGGTCAAAAAGGTGAACGAGGACCAATTGGTCTGCAAGGTCTTCAAGGTGAAAAAGGAGATCGTGGTTTCGTTGGTCAGAAAGGGGACATGGGTCTTATTGGTGCTACCGGCGAAAAAGGTAATTTTGCATACGATATCAAATTACAATTTAAGGATTTAAAATCTTCCAAAATTATAGCCCGCTGCAAATTAAACTCGATCACGACGAGTTTCACATAATAATGAACAATAATTTCCATAAATTGTTTTATTTTTAAATATACGTAAATATATAGTTAAAATATATGTTAAATATTATAATTTTTTTAGGTGACAGAGGACCTGAGGGCCCTGTGGGTGTATCTGGACGAACAATCAAAGGTGAAAAGGGATTGCCTGGTCTATCAGGTAAGCACGGACGTCCAGGTTTACCCGGTGCAACAGGTGAAAAAGGAGAACAGGGATTACCCGGCTTACCTGGACAAACGGGTAGACCTGGCATTCCTGGTTTACCAGGACCTCAAGGGGAAAAAGGAGATCAAGGACGAGAAGGTATTGCTGGACCACCAGGATTTGATGGCATACCAGGATCTACAGGACCACCAGGAATTATTGGTGAAAAGGGAAGTAAAGGTGACAAAGGTGCAATAGGTTTTGGTTTGCCCGGAGAAAAAGGCATGCAAGGTTTACCAGGTATTGCTGGTCTAGAAGGAGAAAAGGGAGACAAGGGTGAGCGTGGCTTTGACGGACGTAATGGACCACCAGGTCCTATGGGCCTTGAAGGTGAAAAGGGCGATAGAGGATTCCCAGGAAGAATAGGTTTACCCGGAGCTGAAGGTGCAAAGGGAGACAAAGGAGACGCTGCTATTACTGTGTTCGGACCCAAAGGTGAACCTGGGCCGAGAGGTCCTCCTGGTCGGGATGGTATTGCTGGTCTAGATGGAATTCCTGGTGCGAGAGGCTTAGATGGACTTCTGGGTGAAAAGGGAAATCAAGGTTTCCCAGGCCCAAGAGGACCGCCAGGACCAACTGGACTACAGGGTTTACAGGGATTCCAAGGTGAAAGAGGAGACATAGGGCGAGCTGGTCTGCCTGGAATTCCAGGTACACCCGGTGCCCCTTGTCAAAATAAGGATTATCTAACTGGAATTCTCTTAGTCAAACATAGTCAAACCGAAATTGTACCTGAATGTGAACAAGGTCATGCCAAATTGTGGGACGGTTATTCTTTACTATACATTGATGGTAACGAAAAGGCGCATAATCAAGATCTGGGTTATGCTGGTTCTTGTGTTCGGAAATTCAGCACTATGCCATTCTTATTCTGTGATCTCAATGACGTATGCAATTATGCAAGTCGAAACGATCGAAGCTACTGGTTATCTACTAACAACCCAATACCCATGATGCCAGTGGAAAATTACGAAATTGCTAAACACATATCAAGGTGCGTCGTGTGTGAAGTGCCAGCAAATGTTATAGCAGTACACAGCCAAACGTTAGATATACCTAGTTGTCCCGTAGGATGGAGTTCATTATGGATTGGATACAGTTTTGTTATGGTAATTATTTTACCAACTTTGTGTTGGAATGACATTGCAAAAAATAAAATTTCATTTATTCGTTTGATTTTAGCATACTGGAGCTGGAGGGAATGGAGGAGGACAAGCCCTTGCGAGTCCCGGATCATGTCTTGAAGATTTCCGGGCTACGCCATTTATAGAGTGCAATGGCGAAGGCGGTACATGTCACCACTTCGCGAACAAACTTAGCTTTTGGCTAACTACTATTGATGACAACAAGCAGTTTGCAATGCCCGAGCGTGAGACGTTGAAGTCTGGGCGATTATTACAAAGAGTATCAAGATGCGCTGTTTGTATTAAAAATACAACATAGTATAATGAAAACGTACTTATACATACATATATATTACGGTTCAATGAATATTACGGTTCCGTCAAGAGTCAATAATTTTACCATTACTTTTGATTTTGACATCTCTTTTTCATGAATAACATTTTGTACCGCTTGTTTGTATTACTGTCGATGAAATAGTAGTAATACTACGATCATTATTAAAACGCCAAAGCTCGTAATTTAAGTACTTGATATTTAAGCTGATAGTATAAGTTTTAAACTTAACCGATAAAATATGGATTTAAAATTTTGTGTATATTTATTTTTTATACATTTTGTAAGATTAATTATAATGTATCTATCTATACCGTCAAAACCCCGGCTGTATTTCAGACGTTGTGCGAGTAGAATACACCTACTGCATCCCCTTGAAAGTAAAAGAGAAAATAGTTAACTACGATTGTATCAAAGTAATATAAACAAAATGATGGCTTACAATTGTACATAATTAACACTGAGTACTTTTTAATAAGAAATGAATATATCACTTTGGATAAAATTAATATTGTACGCAAAATGTGGGCGCCACTAAAAGTAATAGTTAATAATAAGCACTGCCATTGTAGATAATATAATAAATAATGTTTATAAATAATAAGAATACTTAAGATATCATTAAATAAAATTAAAAAATACATATACTTTTATTAACATGGTTCGATAAAATATTGTCCCTTACTTATTCTTTTAATTAAAGCATATTCTACGAGTGGAACAGGAATCTATTGTTGAAATTTGAGTTAGATTATTTTAATTAAAACTCGAGGAGGATTATTTTATATTTATAATGAATAATAACTACATTATAAAACACATTTGGTAACACAGGTGAAGTAACTTTCAAGATTATCACATATGTTAAAAATACTTAGATATAAAAGCAGTTTAGAAAAAGAAAACTTTTAAAGATACAGATGTTATACTTTTAGAAATGTATTTTTTTCGAATTGCCGTCCACCTAACGTTTTATGATTCGAATTTTAAATATAGTTAATTGTCAGTTTTCAAATGTCATGAAGACAGAAAGGCAATGGTGAAAAGACTACATGCCTCATCTGTGGTTAAATCTTTTGAAGCTATTGACAGTGGCTGTTGATTAATTACTAATTTCAATTGCTAACTTTAAAAATATAATAATAAATTAATGGCTCAAATAAACAGCGTAAAATAATAACAATTTAAATATAATTATGGTCTAATAAAAAGACACAATGTTTGAGTGGGCATATAGCGGGGCGAATAAAGCTGTGCCAAGAAATGTGGGCCCTGAGTGCGCATATTTTCTATCAACGCAAAGACAAATAATTGAAACCGTTTTAGTGACTGGTGTTTGTATTTATATCATCGTAAGTTATTGTTCTATTTTCACAAACTAATTTAATAGTCTGACTTTAGGCTCTTCGTCCCTAATTACGTTAGATAATTAATTTAATTAGGGCAGCATCAGTTTCGTCTCATATATTTTAATTTATTGTTTTACACATACACAAAAATCAGTAGAATAGGTTCTAAAAGTGAAAATATAACTATAGTTCTCATACAGTTTTCTTTTTTAATTTTTATAGATAAAAACATACCCAAAGCTACACATTCCAAATGAAGAAACATATATTAAAAGTGACAGAGGTGGTAAAAGGTTGCTTGTGATTCTCTTGGCCTTACTATGGGGAATGGAAATAGGCTTTAAGTTTGCATCTCGGACTGTTATATACTTACTGAATCCATGCCATGTAACAACATTAATTCAAGTAAGTTTTAAATAAACTTGACTGATCTATTTTATACAAAAATATTTATTATATATTGAGTATTGTTTATTTTTACTTCATTACATAGGTTTTTATTTCATTAGTGAAACTGCTCTATTATGTCCAACATAATAAGCTTATCTATAATCTGTATACCTTAATTCTATTACTAACCTCATAATTCACGACAACGTTTTAATTATTTATTATATTATATTTCAGATATATCTTTTGGCAGCACCACCAAGCAAAACAGTGACCACTCTTTTTAGAATTCATCTAAATTTGTTGAATGGACCACTTTTAGCATTTCTATTTCCAGAAACGGCATCAAGAACTGTAAGTTAAAAAGCTTATTAAGCATGTAATGGTCCTGTCATTAAGTTAATTTTTTAAAGTGTGGTCAATAAAAGATAGACAAACACTGTAATGGTTTAACAACAGACAATAATATTATATATTACCTATCACAGCAATCTAAATACTTATTGTTAGAGTTTAAATATGTAGTAACTACTACTCTGATTAACCACATAATTGTTGGCTGTTTAAAGATACCAGCAGAGGCGGCACTGTACTGGATACAACATGGCATGATGTTTGTGATTCCATATTATTTGCTGAGAATTGGTGGTACGAAATATACATTTGATTATCAAATGTAATATTAGGTTATTTTGACATTAAATTTCATGTTTAATTTTTGTTTTAGGTGTTTATAATATAGAGCCCTTTTGGGATTTCAGTTGGGCTATATTCAGTTACTGTCTCAATCTATTGTACCACTTCATTGTTTTACAAGTTATTGCTATAGTAAGTTTGTTCTTGGGCTGTTGCTTTTAATCTCAGTGAATTAATAATAAAGTTCATGCATAATTTTTTGGACCAACTAATTTTCTCTTCTTTTCAGCCAGCACAAGTGAATTTAAATCATATGCTCTGTCCAGCCATTTTAGATCCTTTTGATGGGCCCTGGTATCGCATTGCAGCAGTTTTACACCAAGCTTTGCTGTGTCCTATCTTATGCAAATTTTTCTGCTTAGTAACAGAATTCTGCCTTACAAAGTTTCCTCCTACAAAAGTGAAACCAAAGATGAAGGATAATTTGTTGGATAATATTTTAGAACAAAAAGACCATGTTGATTAGAAGCATTTATTGAAATAAGACAATGAAAGTTGTTCTAAGAAATCAAATTACTACTTCCAATTGGCAGAGGTAATCATGTTGTGATATTCAAAAAGCCTGTATATTCAGCACATAGTAGACTCAAGTTGTAGACAATGCGCTAAAGAATTTATTTCATGTTATAGATAAAACATGCGCTCGGAATCGCTTTAAAATTCGCACAGAGAATTCGTCATTTGATTATACACAATAAAAATGTTGAGCCATAAAGCTGTTTCTTTGGTATTCCCATTTGCAGATTATTTCATCAAAGGACCAATGATTGAATTCAATATTTTGTTATAAATAAAAATCCCTCAATAAGAGTTCACTATATATCAGTGTACAACACTATAATTATATAATGTTGCAATGTAAAATTATGATTATAAATAGTTCCATCATACACACTGTACATATATACATTGAATTGTTTGTCTTTATTATTATTGGAGAGTATTTATTTATCTATTATTGCATGACTAATTCACAGACAGACAGATTGGTAATTTAAGAAGCATTTTCCTGTACTTCATACTCTACAGTTATTCATTTAATAACATTTTCCAAGTTGTTTCCAGTCATCATTATATATAAAAATATTACAACACGGTGCTATTAAAATAACAAAATATATAACAGCAGCAGATTTGGGACCCAATTTTGTTTTTTACAATAGCTTGCCCCAGCCTGAATTATTCTTTTAATTGTGTCATTGACTGGCTTGTGAATTTGCATATTGGGTCCCAGTAAAGTTTATAGGAATGTCTTAGATTAAGCATACAAGTAAAAAGATACATGCAAGTGTACATGTTATACAATATTAGCTCTCTTACTAGTATAGTGCCACCATTATAGAACTTATAAGATATTTGACATACCTAAAATATCACACTTTATTGACTAGACATTTAATACTAAACTTAATGTAGTTTGTCAACCATCCACAGGTAGTCCAACATATACCATAGACACTTCTGTATTTCCATAAACTGCTGAAACCGTTGGGTATAATTTTGTATTGTATGGAAGGTCTGAAAAAAGAACCCAAATATATAAATTGTGACAATATCATTAAACAACACATATTAGAAAAAATATTCTTTTGTTTAAAATATACAAAATATTTGCCATCTACTTGTATTCTCTATTACGAGTTGACCATTGATTAATGCTAGTTGGTTGAAATAAGGCAGAAGTTAATGAATTTAAACAAAAACATTTTGCAGATACAATTTTATGAGTACGCTTATTTTAGACTATGTTAATATTATGTTCCTTGTTAAAATGTCTTTTTTTTTAAGATTACAAATTTATTACTCACTTCTGAATGCAACCCCTAAAAATTCATATTTTTTTTCAAAACATAGTGTTCCAGCATCACAATCCAAAATTACTCTAACGCGTTCTCCAACCTAAAAATTAGATATATTACTACAAACATATTGTTTAGTGGCCTATAATGAGGCCCGAGTTTATCTGTAAATAACTTACTTGATATTTTGGGCTATTGTTTAATAAAGGGTATTCGCCTTGTGTTTCACCATTGTGAAGTAATATATTTTCCACAAGATTCCAACCCCAACTGTATTCATCTGAACCGAGTAGCCCAACATATCCCTGACACTGCAATGATGCTTGTTTAGTTGAAACACCAATGACAGCAACAGTGCCGAGTGGTCCTTCCCAAATTACTTCCCATGCATGTCTTCCTTGATTAAATCCAATTTTACTTCTGCATGCATCTGTACTCTGAGCAACTGGATTTCTTCAACAATAAAGTAAAAGTTATGAAGTAGTCTAGAATACATCTGTATACAAAATAGACTGCCAAATAACAGGCAATTATATTTCAATGTTATTCCCATCAAACCCTTTTATATCCTAGTAGGTTAGGTTTATATATGTGCCAGATATTATAGTTAACACTATAACTATAATATCTGGCACATATATAAATAAAAAAGCGAGTTCACTAACCTGTGTAAAGTGAATCCATTAGATTTAATATAAATGTTTCGCGAGCAGTCGTATGGACTCCAGGCGTGAAGATAGGCTCTTAACTTAGTTTTGTAAGTAGGTAAATTAGAGAGTAAATCAGATCGTAGCACTTCCTCTGAAAGTCTCCTAAAGCAGTGAAATCTCCACAACTCGTTGTTTTCATCACTGAGTATTCTAAACCATGTTTTACAAACTGACATACAATTTCTAAGGTCTTTTAAACTGAGATAAGAAAAAATGTTTTCTAAAATATGATCTTTTACAAGTTCTGCAATAACATAATCATTGTTACATTCATATCCATTCATTATAATATTACAAGTACGGGCAACTCGTTTGATATACATTGAACATTACTTTTGTATCTTATGTATAGAGAATTTAATTTGGTTTAAAATATAATTGTTTAAGTTTTCAAAGCATTTTTATTATTTACAAATTTTGGAGATCCACTGAAAACTGCTGAAATTTTAGCGATAACTTTTGACATATCAATTTAATTGTTCTACAGATCTTGTAGTAAATCAGTGATGCCAACTGCTACAAAATATTTTCCTAAGGCTGAAACAGACGTAAACTTATTAACAAACGTAAAATAAAAAGTACATTCCCAGGAATATGTTGCGACGACGGATTTTAAACGCACAGTGGTCCATGTTTTGGGCGTTGGAAATAGACCAAATAAAACTTCATACTATTGTACACACCTGCGTTTAAAAAGCGTTGCCGCTACAGCAGTTATTGGACTTCATCTGTAAAACCTGAAAATTAAATAAGAAACCGTGAAGTTTCATTGCATTTCCATATCAGTGTGGATCCCCGAATATCAGAAGGCAAAATAAGTCTAGGGTGTATTAGATCTTTTTGATTTTCTATAATAAAAAATGTATCTTGATCTTTCAACACAAACCCACTTTGCTGGTTATTTTGCGTCAACTATATTCACATCTTACTAATATAATTATAACAGTTAAATTTAGGTCGGTATAAAAGCTTTAATGCAGGCCTAATTACGCGAGAGTTTAAATAGCGTTGCGTTATAACCCGGCGTCGGCGCTTTTATTACGTCCTTAATGTGATCATGCGGCCGAACTCTGCGTTGAAAATGTAATACAGCTCGATAATAAAGCGTCGTGTTTAATAAGGCCGACGTGTGAACACCTACTTGGGTTCTGAAATGGGTCTCTCATGCTTATTAGACCTTTAAACTCAATGATTGTTTAACTATCGTATGAATAAGAAGTCAAAAATCTGTAATTTTTATATGAAAGTGATGAAGAAAAAAGTCCTTTCATGGTGGTTTACGTTAACAATTCGAAATTAATTAGTAACATAGAAGATAATAATGTGGAAATAAGTGAAATATACATTTTAATTTTAATTTAGTTCTCCTTAATTTCGATCTAATCATTTTATTAGTATGTATATTTTGTCGGAAACATTAGCTCGACTATCTGAAAAGCAATGAATACATTGTTTCTCCATAAATGGGAAAACCTTTAATATGTCATCAAGTGGTGGATGTTTGTGAAACTGTAGAATTAATAGAATGTTGGTCAATCAAATAAAATTCCTCAAGTCGCAATAGGTTTTCTAACATGATGCAGGTTTAACCATAGATAGGTATGTTATCTGTGGTAAAATGGCCGGATCTTATTATTGATATTATCTATATTACTTGCTCAGTGGATATAACTATTTATTTACATACGAAAACAACTTAGTTACTAATCTATAAAATTTGGTACTTTGTTAGTTATTATTTACTTATTATTGTTTTAAGTAAATATTCTTATAGTTGCAAAATCTAAAGGAAAATATAATGCCAGCTTTAGATGTGAATACCATGGAATGTGATGAAGATTATATTATATCGAGAGCCAAAGAGGCTCAGAAGTATAATATTCATTCTGCGAAGGCCTGGATGATAACCGCAAAAACATTATTTCCTACTAATTTCAAGATTCAGTTTGAAGCATACTTAATGGAAAAACAATCTGGCAATGTACAAGAAGCAGCGGAGTGTTTTAGTTCTTTAATAGGATCTAGACAAAACCTCCCAAATTTGTTACCTGAAATATCTCTAATAGCAAATGCCCTGAAAACGAATGAACCATGCTTCTTAAGTCAAATGTTTGATAAAATATCTCCAGACATTCAGTTGATCATACTAAAAACTAGTGTTGAAAACAGTGATGATACTATGGAACATTGTCGCTTATTATTACTTTTGCTAAAAAAATTCCCACAACTTGGTGTTGATAGCCTAGTTAAAACTCTAATTAATGCAGAGAAGTTTTTCTGTGATAACAGATATGCTAGATTACTTGTTGTTGAAACACTACCTCTCTTAAGTTCCTTGGAGTCACCTAGATTATTACAGCGACTATTGGTTAAAGCTATTGATTTTTATAACACTTATGTGTATGAAGAAAATGAGCATGATATAAGTGATCCATGGCAGAGGTTGTATGGTGTATTAGATTTATTGGGACGACAGTTATCTTGGGATACATATCTTGTTACTTATAGTAACACTTTAAATAAGGAAACTTATTTTCAAAAACTTTTGACATTACGAGGTGCTGAAGATTGCAGGCAGTTGTTATACTGTGGGCTGGTTTTTTTTCTGCGCTCTTTACATGAACAGAAATCATTAAAAGGAAACCACATTCTTATTGAATCTCTTGTAGATCCTGATTTGCCACCATCAAAGAGGAGAAAAGGTGAAATAGAAGTCACTGGCCTTTCAGCACATCAATTTCAATCAGCTGCGAATTGTTGGGAACTACTACATAGCAATGATGTAATATCAAGAGAATTTTCAAAGTTGACCTCTCAATTGCAAACCAAGCCATGGTTAGATGGATTCACAGAAGAATTAGCTGTATACAGAGGTCAATATGATGAAGCTATGCCACCAACTAATATATCCAATCTTACATCTAATATTGTAAGGACATCAATTAACTACTCCCAAAAAAATTATATACCATGTGTTGAAAATATTTTGGCTAGTCTACCATTACTGCCATCTATTGAAGGTGGTTTAGAACCTGATTTGATTGTTGGTGGAAAACATAGACATCTACATTTTCTGCCTATGACTAAAGTAGCAATAATGCACTACTTCTGTTCATTACTTATTAGAATACTTCTTAATACAGGGAATACTGCCGACCTTACATATGGTCACATGTTGGTTCTTATGCAACTGGGATGGCCCCAGGAAGAGTCAATATTTCTTCATATCTTAGATATCATCAGGCAGAAAGGTGGTTTTCATTATCACCTTTTTTCAGCATTTATCATTCACCTTGATATACTGGAGGAGTTTAGCTATATTTGGAATGAACAGGGAAAAAATGTTGTACTGGATATTCTCCCTAATTCTCAACAACACTTGGGGCAGAGAAGAATTGGAACTAGAGGGGCGGACAAGGGCGTAAAGGAAGATTTCAAACAAGCTATGAAAGCCCAAGTAGCAAGAGCAAATGAGTCTATATTAAATTTAATGATACAATTTATAACTTCGGAGCGATCCTACTTAATGCAAATTTTGTAAAAATAGTACTTAGCTTTATTATATTACATTTATGGAGAGAAAAATATTGTTTTTAATACAATAGCTTGTTCTCGAGTTTTACTTTGACATTGAATATTTGCAGGCTGCTAGTGTTAACCATTATTATGAAAGATTATTTATTTTTTACTCACTCCCATTAAAATATTCTTCTAATATTCCGTGTTTGAGAGGTAGTTAACGAAACATACATGTTGTGTTAATTTCCTGGCATCAGTCTGGTTGTTGTGACGTAAAAAGGGCACTTAGGAAAAACATACTATTAAAAGTAGCATACTGCTCAAAACATTAAATTTTAAACAAAAAAATGAAATTCAAACTTGCATAATAGATACGTCCTGTTTTTAATACACTATAATTTTATAGTTAGTATTGTTATTAAAATGCAACAATAAATATCTTACGAACTTCCATCATATGAACCTACAGCTAATAGAAGGTTACGTCGAGTGAAATGTAAATTTTTTAAAGGCGAATTTTTGGTGGCAAATGACCGCAACAAGAATTTTTCTTCCTTAGTTGGTGAAGTATTGGAGTTGTTTTCATCATTTGCACTGTCATCTGAAATAGCTACGAAGTCCCATAGCTTTATGGTACAATCCAATGAACCTAAAAAAAAATAAGGATTGGAATCATCAGACATAACCATACTTACATAAGTAATCGAGCTACAAGAAGTTGAAATTATAACCTGATGATAAAAGAGCTCCATCCCGACTAAAGGCAAGTGTTGTTATTGGGGCATTATGAAACAGGGGAAGAGCAGCTGTTGGTGCACCAGTCGAAATATCCCAAATTATTATTTCTCCACCGCCGCCACCAGACGCCAGCCATCGGCCGCAGACAGAAAACGACAATGTAAAAATAGTACGCTGAAACGTATATTGGTATTAAGATTATTATTTTTTTGAGTGACTGCGAATTAAAGCCGAGTCAAAATTGCCGATCGTACTACAAGATTGCAAGGTGCTAAGTTGCAGTCAATATTGTGAAATAAATATAATATTTTCGAAATACGGTTAGTATACTAATTACTCAGGATACAAAAAGAAAGGGTTAAAGCTTGTATTAAGACATGTACAGTGATGTAATGCGGGCTTAGGTAGCGGGGCACCTCAAGTTCAATCTTGTGCCCATTTTTGTATTTAGCAATGGTGTTAGAACATTGTAAAGACATATTTGTTAAGGAAACGATAATGCAGTAAAACGTATACTCACTTTATGTCCTGTCATAGTCCGAACTTGTGCTCCCGTCAAGCAGTCCCACAAGCGAACAGTACGATCGCTTGAACCAGTCGCAACATAATTAGAATTCGGGTGGAACTGAACGCACTGAAAATATTTTTCCAAATCTTTACTACTATAATAAATATACAAGAAAATCATGCAAATAAAGTTTATATTATTTAGTACGACCGTCTCGGTAGTTAAAAGCGCGACAGATCCTTGCCGATTCACGGAGAACCATAATAAATTATTTTGGCTGAGCTAACCCTTTTACTGCAAATATTAATCAGACAAACGAGCCGAGAAACATGCCATGTATGTTTTATTCTTGTTCTATTAAATAACCATTGCAAATTTAAATAAAACACTTTAACGGTTCAAAACGCGATACATTTTAGTTTTTAACGACGTTCCTCCCCGTAGTCTCCTCGTGACCACGGCTGCTGCAAAGCATCCGAAACGTATCAATATCGCGTTTTAAAGCGTTAAAGTTTTTTATTTAAATGTGTACTACTCGCGTAAACTACAGACAGTATTTAGCCTTTGCAAATATTGATTAAGTACTCACATCAACGTCTGAGAGGTGTCCAGCGAATATTCTAAGTGGTTGATGATGTTCAGTGGCCCACAAACGAGCTGTGCGATCGTGGCCACTGGATACGAAATAGTGGCCGTGCGGAGACCACTTCACATCCCATACCGGCCACATGTGACCTCGGTATACGACAAGGCACGTCCAGCATTGCAGGGACCATAAACGCACTGAAACACATTCTCACTATTATAGGTTATAGAATATTCTGTGTTTTTCAATCATTGCAAAAAAGAAAAATAACTATGATGGGACATAGAACGAACGAAAAGAATGACATTTACCTGTAGCGTCTTCAGAACAGGACAACAGCAGATTCTTAAACGGATCAAATCCAACCTTATAAACAGGACCAGAATGTCCAAAAAGTGTGCGACAAGTGTCTCGATCTTTTTCTTCCATCATTCTTACGAGAACATCACCTTAAGATGAGAGTAATATTAAAATAAAATGAATGGGATATAAAAACCCTACCAATACGACTTTAGGATAGTTAACTTTAGCTTGACGGGCTCGTTGGTAAGCCTAATAAGCAACGGACTGTGGGTACGTTTCCCACAGGTCCAACGTTTTTCAAAACAATTTATAATTTTTCTGAAACACATTGGACTTCGTGTGGAAATCTGAATATTAAATGGGTGGTCCAAATTCCGTCTGACTCACGAACCATCGTCCACAAAAGAAAGAGCCATCAAGTTACCCCTATGCTTGTCTGTCCTCCTCTATCATAAAAAAAGAAAGTAATATACCTGCTTCTCTGTCTATATCTTGCAATTTGTCAACCGATTTCATACCACGAAGTCTCACTGTTGTGAGTGTCCATACCTATAGAAATAATACATGTTAATTAGTTAAATGTATTTCTAGCAACACACAGACAGAAGCCAGGAAAAGAACTCTCTCACACTTATTGCACCGAAAGTTTGTAGCTCAACAAACTGTATCATTGAAAACGGTGTCCAAAATTTGAACCATAATGAGGAATACGAAATGAGAGACTAATATAAAATAAGCTTATGTTGAACATAATAAAAGGCAATAGGTTAGAGTTTACAACATATTGAGTATACAGTTACGCGTAAAATACAGACCTCTTAACTAGTTTAAAATAGTACCACAAAAGCAAATGCAAAAATGACCTTTACAATGGAGTTGCTGAATCCAACTGCCATCAATGTGGAATCATCGCAAATGTCAGCACATAATGCAGTATGACCACTATTTAGTAGAGTGTAAAAGCATATAGAGGGCAGAGTCTCAGGCCCTAACTGCACACGTTTTGATGCCTCCCGAAGAGCTTTCCCCTTCTCCATTTTGTCTGTTTCTTTTCTAATAAGGAATAAAAATTAAAGGTGTTAAAGGTATACTGTTTCAAAAAGTGACGAAAGTAAATGTGCTTGCTTATACATTATCTCTGGAACCTTCCTTCTTTTGTTATTTGAATTATTATCAGTAGTTTTGTATAGTATTGGCTGTAGTGGTTCTATAAAATTGAATTGAAATTGATTTTTAACCCTAAAACTTACAATTCTGGCAAAGGTATCCTGTCGGTTGGAGGAGCATTAGGGTCCACTTTTGGTTTCTTCATTAGGAAATGATCCTTTTTTGCCTTCTTCTTTTTGGGTTTATCAGGTGTCTCTTCAACTTCCTCTTCATCTTCAGGCGGAGTTGTAGCTAGTACTTCTATGAAAGGCTCTTTCAGTAGCCCATAATATACTTTAGTTCGATTTTCTAAAATAATATTTACAATTTATAATTCTTTATTATTTTTCAGAATACATCTGCAGTAAGACTATCTTAGGACATCACATTAGAAGAATACTATGATGTAGATGACTAGGTCCTTTGTCTAGATTTCACAAATGAAGAACAAGGAGAATAAGTGTAGGAAGAATTAAATTAAGTGTAGACGCATACACAAAATGTAAAAAAATCACAACAGAATTTACCATTTCTAGAGGCCTCTCCGAGTAGTCCTCCAGCCGTTGATCTAACCTGAGCCTGGGTTCTGCCAGGACCATCATGCACATCTATCTGTATGTGATTATTAATAATGTTAATAATAACAGGAGAACTTTTTTGTTCTTGCAGAAATCTCTTTAGCTGAGATGAAGCATCTCTGGACAACTGAACTTCAAATTTGTTTGTGCTGCAAACATATAGTAACAAAATTAATTTAATTTTGTTTTAATTTTTAAAAAATATGAATATTTTACTTTATTTTTTAATTTTTAAATCTTACCTATAAATCTCTGCAATTTCATTTCCTTTAATTTTCTCCTTAGATTTGACATTAGATAATTGTTTTAAATCGTCCTGATAAAATTCTTCTTGTTCTGCACCAAATTTTTCCAAATATTTTGAAGCATGCTCATGATGATCATACAGTATCAGAGATAAATACATGTGTACAAATACAGGATATAAAAGTGTGGATAGTTCATACTGAAAAGGTAACAAACAACATTTTAGGTCACAAACATCGTTAAGAATTTTAAAATACTAACTATATTACTTTGTATCATTTCATATAACCAGCACTGTATTAAATAATAATAATTTTTATAAGTTTCTAGAAAGATCCTATAACATGTTGTGTGCAAACAATAACAACAAGCAATTGGATAGTATAAGTCTAAATAAATATGGAAGATTTGTAAAAACAAATGATTATATGTAACACGATTTTCAAAAATTTTAATATGTGTCAAATATACCTTACAAATATCCATTGAATTTTCTACAAATTTTTTTAACGTATCATAGGCATGCTCATAAGTGAATGGGTCACTTTCAGTGTGATGTGCAGATAGAATACTTGCTATTTCAACTTCTTGTAAATCCAAACCATCAAAATCTGTATCCCCTAAGTTAGCTTCTTTTCTTAGAATTTCCTCAGTGCCCTATAACGATATTTGTAAAGCAAAAGAAGTTAAAATAATTTACTTTACGTGTAAGTTAGCGTTACGGATTAAACATACCTTTAAATTGTATTTTTTTAACAACTGTAAAACAGCAAGAAGAGGTGTAGATTTCTCGCCCATTGTGAATTATATTTCACTGAAACTTAACAATATACTTATATCGTTTAAACAAACTTGAGCACAATTAATTATATGATTATGTGAAACATAAATACACATAAACAAATGACCACTCAAACAACTAACAAGCACAGATGTGGTCCACACTGTAAAATAGAGTATTAATATAGTAAATAGAATTTACAACATGCTTTAACCACAGACATAAAATGTATACGTCTGTGCTTATCACAGATAGCGATAGGGATCAATGAGGCAGCACACACCACCGTCAAACTATTTTTTTCTATTTTACTTTTTTTCATCTATGCTCAATTAAACATTCTTAATATTTGCGAAAAGCAGGCGGATATAATATCTCTGTAAATACCATAATATAAAAGTTTTGACTGTTTTATTTTAAATATATTATAATCGTTACTTTTCTATAAAGCTTAAACCATAACATCGATCATAAGTATTACCTATTAACGTTATCCAACCACTTTATTTTAATAAATTTGGCACTGAAATAAAAACAACACACTTAATAAGTAGGTATATATAATAATATTATCTTTCAGTATATTTCGGAAAAGCATGACATATATATAAATATAAATTACGCTAATTACTGTCCTCAATGTACATAATATATATAAATTTTTAGTACGTTAGCATATTTAAAATAATTTTAACAAAATTATAATAGCTAATTATTACCAACTCATCGCAGTGCATAATATAAGAATTTTGTTATCTACTCACTACTAATTTTATTTAAGTAACTATTAAGTATATTTACGAAATAAGTAAATTGGTTTTTAACTACCCTTTAGAACATTAGTTGTCTAGTTTTAGTTTTGTAGATATGTGCGTACAGGGTCGCTTAGGGTCCGCAGGACTTCGATGAACGTTTATAAAAATATTATATTATGTCACAAACAAACACATGAACAAATCAATATTATTTCAATACTTTATAATATAATCATGAAACATCTTAAAATTATTTAATTATTTACATATTGTAACAAATGGTTAGATACTGTAAGAAGATAATAGTGTTTTTTATAACTGGCATTGTATTAATATAAATTATAAACTATTTGTTTAATAAAAATGTCCACAAACATTTGATATCTCCTTTTAGCATTATTACTCTTCCGTAAGACAAGGTTAATATTGTTACCCACATTCCAGGGCGCCCTTGTTCAACTGTTACCAAATAAAAAAAAAGATCTTGGTGAGAAATAAGTACATTAAAAATTCAACTTGAAATGATGATATTTTCGACAAATGATATACACTTATGTTACCGTGGCCGATGTGATTAGTGCTAAAACGTAGCAACTTGAAATGACAGGTCAAATCAGCCAAAATAACCGTACGGCTCTCTGATTGCGTGAAATTGCTTATACGCCTATAGGCAAATTCACGCAACACGCTGACGTAATACTAAGATTCTATTAGATATTTCATGAAATACATAAATTAATATTAATATAGATATATAAAATACAGACAAGCTGAGATACTTAAAAGCTTTGGAGTGCAATGGGCGGCTGGCTTTATTGCTATATACGTACAACGAGCAGGCATTTAAAAAAGCAATGAGATTCTTTTTAAAACAAAGAAATGCAGACAAATATCTAAACAAGAATTTCTGTCAATACATTCTGTCGGTGACGAATAATCCTTAAAAGGAAAAATATGCAAGATGTGCGTAACAGATTATTTAATAGGTAGTTTTATTTAACGAATAACAATCCGAAAAGTCTAAAACTATATACGTAAATCTCGATTACGGAAGTTATATATATTTGTCGCAGATATTTTCTACAACAGTACTTAATTACAAAATTCAACAGTCAATTTAGCCAACGTTAACTTTGTTTATATGAAATGTATAATAGACCTGGTCTGCGATATACCCTGCGTTTATTTTAAATTTCAAATACATAACATATTTCTGTGCTAATAAAATTTACTTACTATATTTTTAAACAATAAGACTTCAGCATAATTGTAGCAGAAATTTTTAATGAGTATGTATTCTTTTAACTATCTAAGAAAATTAAATATGTATTATTTTGTTTTCTTCTAAAATGCCTAATAGTATAAAAAGGCATAAAAACAATAATAACGAAATATCCTTACTAATATGATAGCGCGTTAATCATCTGTAATATTTTTATATAACGGTAAGAAATTAAAAAAAAGACTTTATTTCAACCAGTAGTTTCATCTCTATAATAATCATTAACTACATAAATCTGAGATGGTTACAGAGTATTGTTGACTCAACTTACGATCATCAATTTGTTATTTACGATAATAAAATCATACAATGTTTTTTTTAGATATCTAAACCGATATTAACAGTTGGTTACAAGATACAATAGAGAGAAAACCTTCGCAGACAAAATTATATCTCGGTATTATTATTATATTAAGTCTTACAAGCATTCCATGCATATGCCAGCGAATTGTTAAAGTTTGTTTAACTACGTAAACTAAATTTAAAACCTTATGCTTATTAATATTATTGGTACTGTAAACGTCGGTGCCCTACGCTAAATATTTAAATCCTTATAGAATTGATTATAAACGGGGTAAAGCTACAGATTTCTAGTTAATATATTAAAATATTAAAGCTTGGGATTTATAAATCTAAAAAGTTCCTAGACTTATTGATAAGTATCTTAATATTTATTTATTAAGAACGCCTTTCGTTACTATCAGTACTGCAGCCACAATATTATGCGACTGCTCTCGAGTGTACTGTCACTTATATTTTATGTATAATAAATTATTGTGACCTTTCTGATTTTTTTATCACATAATATGACAATACGGCACATTTGATAATTTAAAACAGTTTATTTATTACTACACAACGACTCAAAAGCTATTGTTGTATTGTTAAGTTTGTAAGTGTAACAAAACATGCAATGAAATAAATTAATTCAATTGCACATTTTTGTCGATAGATCACACATCACAATCGTTCCTCATAATTTGGTTGAATATGGTATAATGGTTATAGATTTCGCTTTGTCATAACAATATTATACGTCTTGACTAGAACAATTGTGGGCATCAAATGTTCGCGGTGCCACGTCTTCGTATGGTGTAACGTGCGCTGAGGCTAGGTCTCGTGAAACTTTTTCAGCAGCACTTAACACTCGTAGGAGATTAAGACCAGCTAGCTTTTTTAAGTCTTCCATACTCCAGCCCGCTTCCATCAGCTCAGCGAATAACATCGGATAAGATGATACGTCTTCTAACCCCTGAGGTGTACTGTTGAGTTAATAATATTAAATAAATAAAATATTTTTATGGATATTACACGAAATTTCAATGAAAAGTAGTTTTATTTACTTGTATATTAAATTGTTCTATAGTGCAATAAAGTTTAACAAAATAAAATACACAGCTTAAACTTCCAAAATAAATTGTCATTAAAGTATGCTTACTAATTAATTCCGTCATATCCAGCACCTAGCCCGACGTAATCCACGCCAGCTACATCCCGTATGTGATTTATATGCGCTGTAAAAGTTTTTTCGTTTAAGCGCAGCGTTCAAAATAAATAAATGAAGGTGCAAAAAATCTTTGTTTACCAATTGCGTCCTGTACAGTAGCAGACGTGCGACATGTTAGGAAGGAGGTGTAGAAATTGACCATGACGAGACCCTTATTAGCGGCGAGGAGGCGAAGAACCGTGTCGGGGACATTTCTTGTCACGTTGCAAAGGGATCGAGCTGACGAATGCGAAAATAGCACTGGAGCCCTGGACACCGTCAGAGCATCTCGCATCGTCCGCTCTGATACATGCGACAAGTCAACTAGCATTCCTAATCTATTCATCTCCTTTATAACAACCTAGAAAGATGATTCATAGTGTATTTTTTCTTACTTGGCATTTTTGGTAAATAAACACAATTTACATGAAATCGTGATTTTCTCATAAGGTTTACATTGATTTACACTAAAAACACTTTGAGATACTGGATTATATATTAAAATTCACTTACTAAAATTAATAAATTACACAAATACTTGAGTCAAGCCAACAATATGATGTGCAAGTTAGCGGTGAACGTTCATAGATTATGCTATTTTTTTAATCGTTCTGTAATGGCTTGCGTGGCTAAGGGATCGTGTTATTAAAATTGAATACATAAAATGTATAAATCCACAGCAACAATAAGGATTATAGCAATTAACCTTATTTTTCGTAACCCCATTTTGTTAATATTTCGTTGTAAACAATAGCGTACTTAACGTTTAATGTTCGAGCTCTGCGTTACGCGCTATGCTTACAACAAAAGAAAGTATTGCGAAAAGAATCGTAGGGAAAACAAATCAAAGAAAATAGCGTCGCAAGTTGAACGCTGGAGTACTTAAAGTGAATGGAAAAGTAAAACGGCTGGTATTACCTATATGGTGTTGCTCTACTTCCTGTATGAAACTTTCTTAACCAAAATATAAGAATGTGATACTAGAAAAGGGGAACTTGGGGGAATGTGCAGGATTTTATACTTTGTATATTTTTTTAAATCTTTATTGCGATCTATATCGTTCATGTTCTTAGCAAGCAAAAACCAACACCAACATCGAGCAGTTATCAAACTGAGATGAATTATAGCTTCTAAGTAAAAAGAACACGTAATATATCATCCAGGTCACCTCCAGGTTTAGATAAAAATATATCCTACTTCTTCAAATTTCAAACTCAACTGAAATACTATCTGTAGTTTACGCGGGTAGTAGACACTTATATAAAATGGTTTAACGGTTTAAAAGGCGAAATATACTAGTTAAACTTATTTGAAAATATTTTAATTAGAAAATATGGGTTCCCATATTAGAAACTATGGATTCCAAAAAGCAGCATGCTGGCAAACGACATCCTCAGAGCCTTCGAAACGTCGGCCCGTAGTTTAACTAATATATTTCGCGTTTTAATTCGTTAGAGTTTTATTTCAATTAATCTAAAATTACTCATATACTCAAAGACGTTCGTTATTTACTACAATGCAACGACAGTACAATTGGTAAATTGCGAACCTTTCCGAAGGGCGAGAGACCGCCTCTGAGGGACGGCTCAGATCGGTCTATCGACGCACATTCAGCCCAAGGGGTGTCACAAGAGGATGTCAGGGTTAAGTAACGGACTCCCACTTGATACAAAGTTCTTAGAACTCCGAGAGACCCTCCAATGGCATGGCCACCTTCAACTCCCACAAGTGAACAAACGCGGTGATTAACATGGGCTGCGAGAATATCTGAAACAAAATATGCAATGTAATATTTAACTTTTTACTTCGTTAGGGAAAGATCTTAATGTCATAAAGCGTTAAACAAAGTTCAAAATTAGAAACTGGTAACATTTGATATTGAATGTAAAATTAAAAATCATTTTTAATTGAAAAAAATTTACGACAAGGGCAGACGAACCGGCATCTACAGCGTTCCTACTATTAACGCTATAACCAATTAGCTACCGTATACGTCATGGTCGATTTTTTTCAACCTATTGATACATGCACTTCTCGCATGTAAAATTAATTAAAAAGAAGAAGTAATGTAACTGTTTAAATCCGAAATATATTGGTTGTTCATGTTTAAATACGGTATGACGTTACGTATGCCTTTCAGTAGCTGTGTTCCCTCTAACATTGCTATAAAATGGATGTTTATGATACTTTGCATTAGAAACCGTTAAACGTGTTTTATTTAATGTTAACCTCTAAAACATTATGACGCGTCTACAGCTGGCTCCCGTTGTTTTTAAATGATATATTTTAGGACATTTGCAATGAAAAGAGCCATTAATATTTCAGTCATTCAATGTTCTAAGAAACGGAAACAGAATGAATAACGAGCGAATATCTATTACGAGCACCATTAAGTAAAGTGGAAGGTTTCTGGCAGCTAATTTGTTTGCTTATTTGTGAATTAGAGAACGATAACAACGTTACAAGTATTGTGATATTGCTCTTGTGATGATACCGCGTGTCAGCTTACTTACCATCTGTCGATGTACAGAACGTGAGCTCGGGATGATACTTGTCAGTCAGGCGTTGTATCAAATCTATTTGCTCAAAGGTAAGTTGCACTGCGTCTTTATGTTGCGAATCACATGGTACGTATGCAGCCCAGAACTAGTAACAATGTTTAATTTTATTATATTGTGTCCTTATATCTAAAAATTAATATATTAAAAACTAATATAACGATAATAATAATTTAATATACAAACACATAGTAACACATAAAAATAGTATTCGATAAAGAAACTGTCTGGTATTTTTTGATTATTGTTTAATTAAAGTTGGTTTGGTTCTCAATTATACACATTACATTCTACTACAAGTTACAATTCTCCTTACATTATAATCTATCTGAGAAGCATAGTATACAACATCTATATCTACATAAGGCAATAGAAACCACATCTAGATTGAAATCTTTATTTTATTAAACAGATAATAAAACTATAAATTATTTTTTGTCAGATAGGAATGTTCCTTTTTGTAATTCTTGCCTAATCTTACAGATAAACGATATAGGCCTATACATTTTTATAAAAACGAATTTTATATAGGTTAGAGACATCTATCATTAATTTTTCTTTGTCCTCCCCCGTCAGCGAATAGTTAAGTCCAGCGAATATGACACGGAGGAGCACAGCTAAGTACGAAGATAGATTACTTCATAAAACACACATTAAACTTTCTCGTCGCCGAAATAATGTTGCTTAATGACCGTCTGAAATGAATTCTATTTTATATTTTCGAGTGATCAAGCGCTTAAAAATGTGAATATGGAACTGATTAGACGCTCGAGTTGTAGGAATGGCGAGGGATCGTATGCAGCGACATGTAATAAGAAACGTGATTTAGGTACGCAAGTGAACCAACGTATATTGTAAGTTTTAATGTTATGTCTTTATTCACATATTTGCCTAGTTTGTGAATCTCTCGCTATTACATAAATTGATATAAAAGAACCTACTCATTTTTTTAAGAAATTATTTAAAATCTTCGTTATTGTAATAGTAAAAGGTTTAATGTGAAAACTACTTTACTTAAAGATTTTTGACATAGAACTATACAGACATTTTTAGGGATTATTTCATTTACCAGTACAATCTCAGACAAAGTTAAAGTTGACAAACCAACAATTACAACGGTTTTACCATCATCATTGTTTTTTTGGGTGTCCAAAAAAACAATGGGAGTTTAATCCTTATTACCTACCGATAAAATTGTATTATACTTAGTGAATTTAGAAGTAGTTTTGTTTTAAATAACACACTATTAATTTCATACAATAGACTTGAGTAACTTTAAGAATTAAAACTATGCTTGCACGTAAGTGATGTATCTTTTTTGATGAGCTTAGCTTTTTTTATCTATGAATAGAATAGGTATGTCTACTAACTTGGGCGGCCACTCGACCTTGCTTCAATCGAGGTAAATCAGTGTGACTCCAAGAGCTTGTAGCCCACGGTGATATCGTTCGTAGATCTTCGTCAAACCTAATTCATATTTTATATTGTTCGTTTAATTATGTTTTTGAAGACCATATTAAACAACATATAAGCAGTATTCGTTTATTTACTAATTTTCATCGTTACCTTGAACTGTCAAATATAATGTTAAAAGACAATACTTATTATTGTGTAGCAATCAAAGCGATTGTAAATTATTCAGAAAATCAGACAATGAATACATTTGCTTTGATCTGTCGTCTAGATATTATTAATTTTCGCATTTGCGGTATTAAAATTATATATTATTACCACTTTACGGCCAATAATGTAAAATGTAATCATTCAATTGTTAAATGGAATACTGATATTGTTAAATTTTCTGTAAGCAAATTTCATTTCGTATCGTATATCGTAGAGGTAGAATTTTTACCTGAAATCCTTGATTCTATTGTGTAAGAATTTTCTAATGTTCCACGGTAGGTCGTTATGTCCGTCGATAAGTGGGGTATCATGTAGAAGTTGTTCTGCGAGACGTAATCGTTCGTGGAGCGGAGCGCCGGGTTGGGCGCGCAGAGCTAGCGGACCCGCTACGCAAGCTGTGCCAGCTACGAGCACTAATATTGCTACACAACACCAGCGTCGGTGCCAGCCTGATAAACCTAGTGTAACAATATAAATACTAGACATTGAACAAGAAATCCTTATAATAAAAAATATTATCTTCAACTTTACGACAAAGGTGACAAGCCCAAATATCCCTATAACATCATAATTCGATGCCAACCGATTAATGTTTTTTGTTCGAATTCGATGCCATTTACCGTCAGTTTTACTTTAAAAATTTTAGGTTATTAGATAAATGTAATTATTTAAAAACATCCTGGACCCTGTGGGAGTACCGGGCCCCCCCGGGATTCCACGTGTTTTTTAAAGAAGCTTGCCGAATCAATCTTTCAAATAAAAAAAATATTTTTTCTGGTTATTGGTAACAGGATAATGATCGAAAATGATTTCTGTTATCGCCCTATTGCCTAACCGTGAATATTATTTCATAAAACTTGACCCAATTATGTGAAGTATTATTATTACATCAAATAACAAAGTTCGGAAATGTTTCCAGTTGCTGTGAACTGAGAAATTCCATGATATTCCAGCATCAATTTTTTAAAACATCTTGAAAAGAAATTTTTATTTTGCAACACTCAATAAAGTGCCGATGTCGAAATGAAAGTGAAAATTACTGTTTAGATACAAAAAACAAAAGATGTAACAATTCAATTTTTATTTTTTGTTGTACTATTTTTATAGCAATTAAAAAATGTAATATTGTAAAAAAATTCATAGCATTTTAGGACGTACATCAAACATTGCTATAAAATAAATTTATATGAATTCGAATTTCAAGTTAAAAACATTTCAATAGTCTAGATAAATAAGGTAAATGAAGTCGAGCCAAGTCACGGGCCGTGGCTTATAACATACATACCTACTATGCACCTAATACATCGGACGTTTACCTAGTCAATTTTCTTTATGTAGACTAAAGTTAAGAGCGTGTTAATCACTCAAGACGTTGACTATATTAATCTGTGTGAAATTGGTGTTCATAAAGACTTCATAGTTCTTAAAATAAAATCTTGTAGTCTATTTAGAACAATGTTCCGAGACAAAATTAACCCTTACACCTCTTTCTGCTATAAGAGCACACTGTTTAAAACTGTGGTTTTTATTTAATATTATATCTAAAGAGTTATTCGCTCTTTCTTTGTTTTACTTGGCGAATTAACGGAATAAAATTACAATGAAATATATTTCGAGTGTACAGACTATTACATCGCTGGAGGGACAGTTAATACATCTAAAACATATATGTATATGCGGCATATAAAAGCAAATTTATTTATATATATGATAGAACAATCTGCGGCTTTAGTTAGAGGATATTCTTCGGTTTATTATAATGTGCTGCATGCACTTTGTAAACAATAAAAATATATAAGTTTCACAATATGACGTCTGGTTTTAAAATATCCAGTCGTTCCTCTGGGTTTAATCTACACATCATATGCTGTGATAACTTACGAGAATTCCCTGTTGTTGTCGAGCTGTGGCTTGTGGTGGAAGCAGTAGTCGGCAGCCACTGCGTTGATTTACAGACACTGCACGAAACCTCGGTTTGTGAACGACTTGTGACGTCAGGTGCCTGCATCCCCTTTCTTTTAACCTTCAGAATAGAACATTTTTTAATACATAATAAAGAAAAAAATATTTTGAAATGGAAAACTCCAGTTTGTCTAACGCCGCACGCAGGTAAAATTTCTTTTACTTGCAAATTTTATCGCAAACCGAAAGATTGGAATTTTGTTGTAGAAACTTCAGATAAGTTTAGAACTTTAAGCGCTTTTAGATTAAACTCGAGTTTTAAGTTTCTCGGCATGTTTGCGTTTCTGAATTTTTAAATTTGTAAAAACATATTTCATGTCTAAAGTCGCTAGTAGTCAGTTAACTAGTATCAATTACGATGTAACTTTTAAATGCCTTTTAGCGCCTATATATTTCCCGGATACCTAGGGTAGACTAATGCGACTCTCAATTTTTACAATTTTTAAACAAATGGAAAAACTTACATGCGTGTCAAAGAACAGAGAGGGCACCTTTTGTGTTCGACCGCTGTCACAAGTGCATTGAGCGTGTATAGATCTGTGTCCGTTTCCTATATTCCTATCGGACTCTCTAAAGCTCTGATCGGTTTCAGATATGTTATTTCTAGTGTTATTCGAGCCGAGCGTGTTGTCATCTGGCGACCAGGCTTCAGATAACCTATCAGCGTATCGGTCTGTCGCAAAATCGTTATAGGACATCTGACGCCTAATACCTCTACATCTGCTTCTATTATCTAGCGTAGAAAACTTTACCGAAGACGAATTTCTCGCGATGTTTTCTTCGTTCTTATTGAACGGTCTTGCGTTGGTATTTTTCTGCAGCCTATGCAAATCCGTATTACAATCTCGCAAGCGATCAAAACACTGGTCTACATTTGACGAAAAATTAGCGTACGTATTTATATTATTTTCCTTGAAGTCATTCTTGGAATGCAAGCTGGTGGATGAAAAGACACGAGTTTGGCTGTTCGTTTTCCGCTGTGTCTTATCGACGAGCGATAACATCGACAGCTTCCGCAGTGAACTCGTCGAACCTGAAGTTATCTCGGCTAACTGCACCGCGTTTTGTGGTTTTTTCGACATCGCCTCTCCGCCGATTCTTTTCAAATTCGATAATTTCTTTTTTATTTTCTGCATGATAGTGCTCGTTTGATCGTACGATATAAATTGCTTTGAAATGTAGTTCGAAACGTTTTTACTTTTAATTTGTTTCCTGTCAAGACTGCAGTGGGTTCCATTAATGAAGTGATTTCGTCCCGCATCTCTTTTCATTCTCTCTATATCGTAAATGCTAAGTGTATGGCCTCGTTTATTTGTGTCTCGGTGGCAATTAATAAAATTGTTTTGTACATTACAGCTACATGTTGGTGCGAAATCGTTCTCTGTTATTTGCTCGTTGTAGCATTGTCTTTGGGTGGCGAGGGCGAGGCAGGCTTCACAGTCCACACCTAGTAACAGCTCAAGACTTGTATTTCGTATGAAGCCGTCGCTAAAAGTACGCGAACGAAAGTGCGAGGAGTGCGGCGTGTATTCAGGTTCAAAGTCCGATATCATAATTGGTTCGGGTTCATTGACGTTTCGAGATATACAGTTCGCTTGCTCATCCATCATGGTAGCGACATCGCGATTCACTTGAATTACTCTTGGTTGACGTAGTACCCTGCTATCACTACGTACCGAGCAGCGCGAGGGTGATGGAGAAGGGCGTTTAAAGTCATCCTGAATCATGATTTTTCTTGTTTAAATAAAATTTTCTGAAAATGAATATTTAGTTATTTTTTAAAACCCAGTTTAAATCATTCAATGACATAATCATTTTATATAAAAAAAAACAAAACGTTCTAAAGATTAAATATTATAAACCGGGTCATTGCAAAGCATGTCTCCAAATATAATGTTGTTGTTTCCGGTTTGCATAAATCTAAGTCGTGAGTAGAAATTGTGACAAAAAGCGACATAAGCATAATACTTTGTCTGGTATAGGATGATAAATTTGACAATTGCTGATGTAGGCCATAGTAATCGTCTTTAAAATCGAATTTGTAATTGCTGGGCAATAAATGGGCGGTATCTACCAATTAATGTATATTAAAGTGTACTGTAAATGTAGTGTTAATTAGTGATGTCCGTAAGATTTAAACAAAGGCTTGAATCGAATCCAGGACCTCGTGTACGCTACTTGTTCAACTTTAATCTTGTTATAAAATGTGAATAGAGACGCGAACTTATCATCCTATGTTAGACAAGGTATAACAAAATCGTTAGCAAACGAGAATAAGTCATTTTGCTAAACAACTCCCGAATGATAGCTTTCACGATAAGCATTTCTTTTAACGTTCATTATCATTATTTACTCGAGTTTCGCTCGTAATGCCTTTTTATTGTTTTACTTAATCATCCAAACTTAAACGGAAAAAATGTTACAGTACCAGATTTTATAACGCTACATGTGTTGTCAACCAAGTCATTGTATTTTATAGTTTTTTATATGACAGAGGGTTGATTAGTTACAAAAATGCTAGACACAATGGAAATAGATTCAATTACCCGTTGAATATTAGATATTACTTCCACTAAACCAACAAGTTCGTCAATGCTCTTGCAACCCGCACAATTAACTGAGGTCTGTTTCCGAAAGAGAAATAGACAAAGAATATTGTTATATCGCGGCAAAGCAAACGACCATTTGTAAGCGACTAAGAAAAATGCTCACTCGTAGCTTTAGAAACACACATCTTTCAACCTTACTTAGTGTGTGCTCTACGGATACTCCTAAGCTTTTGGAGTAATAGTGGGTCGATTCTAATTTTCGTGTGTAATAATGCTTAGATATTAACATCCAGTAACAAGTAAAATATGTCTGATTAAAACATAAAGTAAAGTACACATAATAGTACTATCAATTAGACGATTTTTAAATTTGTAAGCTGATGAAACATTATGCCACAAGGCACAAAAAGTAACACGTAAATATTGAGTTAAAATACATTCAGATATATAATTAAATAGTTTCGTTAGTATGCCCCAATTTGATAAAACTCAAGGATAAAACTGAAGCTTCAACTGAAGCCTTTCAATTTGATGTAAGTGTTTGTTCAAATAAAGTTCTCAAGAAGTAAACAATTCAGACAGAGCAAATATATTCTTTCTTAGAGAGGCCTACTCCTTAATCAAGAGACGTAGTGGAGACGTGGAATGGTGGTAACTTTCATCTGGCTCGTCATTTTCTTTGTAATCTCATTCATACATTTATTTAACCGTATTGATGAATTTATGGAGTAAAATTAATAAGGCTGGATTATACGTGTATGCATAGGTATGGATTGCATTTCTTTCGTGCGTATTAAGATCTTAAAATTTTCTATACTTTAACTTAAAAGATTAAATTAATATAGATATTTTTTGTAATGACAATAAAATCATAATAAAACCTAGGAAATGAATATTCTTTTGTTTGTTTAATTCAACGGTAAAGTCACGTGTTTTTGGTCAGCAGCATCTTATTAATAATATGCTACATTCCAAATTAATATATACACGGTTGTATTTCAACATTCAATAAGGAATCTATAATGACATATTTTTTTCAATCATGTGCAACAACATGTGATAAATAATAAGTTTTAGATTTTACATTAAAACTCTATACTCACTTCAGACCATGAAGTTTACCAAAAACTAGAAATACTAAATACAAAAAGTTATTGGTTCCACAATTGCATTTTTATTACATCAAAACATCAGTCTCCTTAGAACACAAAGTTGTACAATGGCATGCTTTTGAAAGTGTAGGGGAAAGCTCTACGTGGTTCTACGAAGCAAACACGAAACGAGTTACGCGAGGTGTAGCTAAGTGCTACGCGGGCGGGCGGCCGCATAGAGTTCGTAGGTCGCACTGGTTCCGCTCTCGGTTCTATGCGAATAATCCATACCCGAGAGGCGAGGAGGCTGTAGTCACCGGACCGGAGGGCGGTCGGGCGACCGGCACCAACTGCCGCGGCCACCTCCCGTTACCTTAGCCGCGGCTCGTTCCCGCCGCTTGCCAGCGGTGTGTTGACACAATTTAAAATAATGTCAAAGATCTTAGGATTTCAGAAAACATACTCTATGGAACAAAAAACTCGTAGGTGCAACTTCTAACGAACTGTTGTGTAATTGGCTGGAAGATATAGACGTCTGAAAAGTTTGCCCAAGATCATTAATCACGGACAGTGCGAATGACAACCGCCTATCCGAGATCAGGGGCGATCGTTTAATTAGACTTTCTTTTATTAGCACAGATTATTACACAGTAGGACAAGGTAATTAATTTGTAAGTGTTAAGTATTACACAGTTATGTAATATCTATATTTTTAATGTATGTGACAGACAAAAAAATGGTTCGGTCTGTTTCTTGTTTAGATAAATCTCTAGGTCAGCACAAAAAATGAAAACATTATCATACGCCAATGCAATCCCAAAATGAAATTAATTAAGAAAAATAAGGTGAAAATTTTTGTTGCTTTCTCGAATAACAATAAATAACTAAAACGTGACCAGCTTATTGCTTACTGAATTTGGTTTGTATAAGAGTTGTGAATATTCGAGACGTTTAAAATTCAAGAACGTTTGTTTCTTTGATTTAATTTATAGAATCAAATTTCTTTAGTATCACTTTATAAAGTTTCGATATTAAACTTGTTAGACTAGACATTTAATTAATAGATTGGTGTAACAGCTTTCGATGTTTTTCAAATTCAAATGCATTGTTGCTCATATGAGCATAATATCTTTAAGTTAAATTGATGGTAGGTAAAATACCACAGACAAATAACATCTACACAATATGTGCCGTTACCCTATCTTGGTTTTGAATATTCGGGAACCCACAGACTGAACTCGAAACGTGATTAAACTTCACGCCTTCTTCTGTGGTATTTCATAAATATTAATACATTATAATTCAAACTTTCCAGAAATAAAAACCCCTTAATCTCCTGCTACAAGCATAACCAACGCCTGTATTTCAATTGTGTATCCTAACCATATCTCCTGTAATAATAATAAAATATTTTTGGAAGACATACATAATTTAAAAATCGAAAATAATTTGAAATAAATTTCGTTTCGGGCAGGACTTGAAGCGGCATCGTCAGCGTTCCGTGCTGTTGCTCTACCAATTGAGCTACCGAGTCCTACACCTTATAGTCGATTTTTTTCAATTTATTGATACATGGCAAATCTCGCGCAATGTAATTTCAACCTTAACAATTGTGTATTAAGGTTCAATGTCTTATGCTTTGCAGCTTAAGAAATCATTGAAGATGAAGTTTATTTTCGATTTTTAAATTATATAGTGCCTTCATGTGCAATAACGTGTAAAAAATATTAATGTTTTCAAAAGACATATATAATTTACCATATTCCAACACATCATAATTGTAGATCCCTTTGTGGAAAAAAAATGCTCTCGTGTTTAAACTTTGCAATGTCGGTCCGAAAACGTTAGAAAATTTAATTAATATTTTTCAATGTTAGGTTGAATGACGGCCATAACAATAAAGCTAGCTACGTTTGTTTTATGGTCCTTTTCAACATTGTAAGTTGAGCGTTGTGTTTTGGAGGGTTCTGAAAACATTCATTTAGTAAAGAACTTTTTATAGCTCCTTCACAGAGCCAAGTGCTAATAGGAATTCCATCGGAATGCTGTAAATGGAAGGACGTGATAGGGACTACTGTTTGATTCCGTATTATTATTTTCGGTATCAACTTAGACAGCAGATTCGACAGAAAATCGTCTCACTGTGCTTTACTGGGATTACATCTGGGTAAGGGGGTTAATGTCAGCTTATTTTATTTCTTTGGTCTTTGTTACCTGATGTTACTATATATTTTCGTTTACTATATAGTTTAATATAGGCAACCTAGACAAAGAACAACATTGAGATATTGATATTATTTTTATCCACTACTAGTTGTGCCAGCGACTTCGTCCGCGAGAATCGTTATTTTGGGCAACCAAATTAGTTTTTGCAAACCACGTCATCTTTATAAACTAAAGCTATTAGCCACGACGTCGATCGCGTCCCTACCCGTCGTTCTTGCAAGTTAATATTAAAAGATAGAAATATAGCGTTGCGGACTTTTTTTAGATCATTTAAAGAGGAATCATTCTTTGATACAAATTTTGAATGTATCTTGAACCGTTTTCGCAGCGTACGCATCTGAAACCCACAAAGATGAAAATTTTCCCCCGTTTTGTTTACGTTTCCCGCTGTACCTTCACTTCTATTAGTCACAGCTTCTTTTACCCTATAGCCTAGCCTTCCTTGATAAATGCTCTAATGAACAGAAAATATTTTTTCAATTTGAACCCGTAGTTCTTGAGATTAGCGCGTTCAAATAAACAAACAAACTCTTCAGCTTTATATATTAGTATAGATTAGATGGAGTAGTAAAGGATTGATGTTTGTCCATAGAAAAAGGGGAAAATTTAAACATTAAACTGCAAACCAGCAACGCATTGTCACGAACGGTGCCGCAGATGTCCATGGGCGTTGGTTAACATAAGGTGCCCCTAGTCTAAAAGAATAAATTCTGACTTTCATCAGGGGTTTTGCGGTGATTAGATAATGTCGTACTAGACACAAGTTCAAAAAGCTACTTTATTATCAAAAAAGTCCTGTAAATATATTTCTATAATGGTAGAGTCTTACCTTTATAGAATACCTTTGTTAGGAATATTTTAATCATATACATATTTGTTTATTTATAAAAAAAACCCAATCACACATCTTTACAGAATAATAATTCTTAAATATCATGTTACCACAGTATTACAAGAAAATTTCAGTATGTACTTTCATTAAAATTTTGCATCATAGCTCAGAAATTTATAGTAGGTACATAACTCATATTGATCGATTGGTCTGCCTATAAGCAAGTTTAATAAACACAAAGCTTCAAAGAGGCCTCCCGTTGAGCGAATGAGCGATGTAGGTTCGCATTATTATGCACTAAGGCGGCACAATATCCGGCAAATATTAATTATAAAAGCTCATATCAATATCGTAGACTTAAGAAAATTCAGTAAAGGTATGTCTGTTTAAATAAAACACTTTAACGGTTTAAAACGCGATATATTCGTTAAACTTATTTGAAAACCGATTCCGCAACGTCGGGCCGAAGTTGAAAATCATTTTCAAATAAGTTTAACTGTGAACTACTCGCGTAAACTATAGACAGTATTTAAGGTATGTTTGTGTTTCCTCCTATGTCGTCTCTGTGGAACATGTGGCAGACATATTTTATCGTCTTTTCAATGATCGCTTTTATTTACAGGCAACTCATTGTTAGGTCTGACCAATGTTCAATCGAAAAAAAATTGTTTTCTCGGGATTTCAACCCCGAACTTATGTCATCCACTGGTGATGACGAAATGTCGAGAACCATTTCCATTAAGACGGCCGAGCTCGAAACACCCAAGTAGATCTATACCGATAATAAATGGACGTAGATAAAAATAATGACATATACCTAATTACATATACTCGTATCTACGCTCCGGTAGATGGATATAATATAATCCTACAGCTCTACACAGACGTCTTAATACCCAGCGAGTAAAACTACGTAAATCCCTTTATCCCATTTTATTTCAAAATTCGCGGATCGTGTTTGTAGTTAAAACTATCTAGATTTAAAATGATTTATTTTGTAAAACGCTACACAACCACAAATTAGAACGTGTCATATTTGTATTTTAGTTTATTTGGATTGTTGTTTACAGGAAAAGGGTGCACCTGTGTTGCCAGATTAAATAAACCGTGAAGCAACATTATAAATAGTTTCGATAAAGATAAATTCCTTGCCTGTAATTGGACTCAATCAGTTAACCAGCTACAGAAATTAGTCTGTCAAAAAAGGGATACGGAAATTTACATTTCGGTATATCATCTGAAATAATATTAAATGCGAAAACTTAATTATTTCGTCAAACGATTTATTCTAGCAAGTTCTTATCATTGTACAAATGCTACTATAATAGTTTTATAAAAGTTCTCTCGACGAAATTGTTCGTACCGCGAAGAAAACTTAGAAAGAAATAATTATCTTTGAAGATAATGACGTCACATTGTAAGTATGTTTTTCTAGCTAGCGGTAAAATAATAAAATCTCTCTATTGAAAAATAACCTTATTTGTTGACGTCTTCAGTACTTCAGAGGGAAATAAATTTATTCTGCTGAGTACGAGGTATAGGAACATTTTGAGATAGATTGACTTAGTCAGTTTCACTCGATTTAAAACAAATGTTAAAGTTTATGGCACTGTATTAGAATTATTATTTAATTATTTACTTACATCAAAATTTCAAATAAATAAATTATATAAACTGAAACGCAACAAACACAAAAAGTAAAGTGAATAAGGGCGTGGGACGGACACAGTATTGTGGCTGTTCTGCTTGACCAGAAGGTTTTATTATGTTTTCTCAGGTTTCGAACTTACGATCTCGCGTTCTAACCTGATCGCGTTGACCTGGACTACGAAAGCCAACAAGAGTCGAGGCAACTTGTAGATTTAATACTTTATTATTAAATTACTTTCCTTATCCAAATATGAAAACATTTCTTCGTATTAGTAACAGAACCATAATAATTTATAACGGTCAATTAGGTGCGCAACGATTTATAGGAATAGGTACCAAACCCTACTTAGCTGTTCAATTAATTACTAATATGGATTCAAATAAAAGCGATTAATCTTTTTTATATGTGCTTTATATTATATTTTTGTTCATATATTAAAGTATATAAATCAATTTTTCATTTTATTATTTAGTATTTAAAAAGGCTAATTTTATTTTCTATATATTAATATTATAAAACTGAAGAGTTTTGTATCTTTGTTTTAACGCGCTATTTTCAGAAAACATTAGTTCGAATCAGATATTTTTGTGCTAGTTGGACCATTTATCAAGGAAGGTTTTAGGTTATAAAACATCAGGTTGTATTCCACAGGAGCGTATGAAATAATGATTTCCCTTGTAATAATCTAAAATAATGTCAGCGACATTATATGCTTATCTTATAAGATTAAGTCGCAAGAACTAAGAGACGTCGTGGGTACCAGCTATAATTTATAAGGCTTAGGAGGTAATTTGCAAAAATAAATTTTGATGCCTAATATAACTTTTCAACGCGGACGAAGTCGGGGTCACAGCTAGTTGAGCATATAATACTTATACCATATCCTCATGAAATAATAGGGAAACCTCTTGATTTCCTCTTTCAAAACACCATTCAGACAGGCACCAATGGTGACGTACTTCACTAATATTTGCTTTTATTGTGTCCTAAGATAACGTGTCGGCTTGTCGGTTTCCTATGTGCTTGTGCAAAATTGTCTGTAATAAATGTTATTTTAACGATGTAGCGTCAGTCAAAATTTAATTAAGGCGTGGAACAAACAAGTCCCGATGCCTTAGGGTTGTTTATTTCGTATCTAGATATTAGTGTTGCACTTTATCCCGGTAAACATTTAGCAAAGATTTTATACAACTTGATTATAATTTGAATTGATGTGATGATTACAGTTTACTGTTTCATCTAATTTATCATATTAGTAAGGTTTTTAAAACCTTTAAAATAACTACATTTTATTTTGTATATCATCTAGTTAATAAAACATTTTATTTGCAGCGATACGTTTTTTTCTGTGACGAACAAGTCCTCAAACAATAATACTATTAGGAATAACGATGTCGTTTTATTTGTTTGACATTTAGCATATATTAATTTTGTTCTTTTAATTGTTATAAAACGTATTTGTGGCATTATTAAACCCCCATAATCCCATGTTGTGGTATTTGAATTGCTAGACAACATATTCTAAAGCAGTGTTAAAGATTTTTATTTTTAGTAATGGTACTTCTTTTAAAAGCTGTAGAAATGATCCGATAATAAATTTTCAAATATTAGAAAGTATTTACTTAAAACTTGTTTAAAAAACAATATTTCAAATAATCATTATAATATATCAGGGATACAAGGAATCTAATGGCAAACCAGGTCGTCATATGAGTCTCTGTAGACAGGGTTATAGGTGAATACTGCCCAAAACCTATCTCTGCGGTGCATAAATTTGTCGCAACCACTTTGAGGTTAACCGCACTGCTGCGTTTCGCCACTACGGAGGTTATCATGGGTCGTAATTTGTAAAATTAGATAAGTCAGATTAATCTTTAAAAGTTTATCAGTTTTTTATAGTTCAGAACGTAACTTATCTAGATAGAAGTGTGATCTCCCACCAGGTCCTTCTAAACCCAAAGAAGCTGCAGCGGCGACACATTCCTCTTCAGTCGCTGGAATTTCGTCGAGACGGGCCAAGGCAAACGCAGTGAAATCTTCACAGCACATCATACCCATGTATCGCCCTTTAATTTTTAGCCGAATGTCTGCGAACTTTATTAGGGGTTCGGGATTCGGACGCACTAAAATAAAAAGAAATGACACACACCATCCAAAATTGATATCAGCAAAATGTTAATGTTTGTTTCGTACGTTTTTAATAGGCATGTCTTTTGTGTAAACTTGTCTAATGTAGATATAATGATTTTGTACAAAGATCAGCCGTCGATTGTGTTTAATTATTTCTTTCTTCATAAGTGTTGTATATGTCCCTCCTTGACCACGATTGCTACAAAGCGTTTGAAACTTCGGGTTGTATTTAATTGATAATTTCAATACATTTCGCCTTTTCAATCGATAATTTCTCTAATTTTTCCTATTATGTCTCAATAACTTATATGATTTACAGATAACACGATGATCAGACTTCCGTGCCCTATCTGACCAAAACTATTATGTTTTCTCCAGGTTTCGAATACAGTATCTCTTAATTAACTTAACAAATATTTTCGTAGAGTCTGTACAAATGAGTCCTTATCGCAGTTTTTTGAATATTTCTTTACTAATATTTCACAAATGCTTCCCGACGGTCCCTGTTACATTCATTAGCGAACATCATGAGGAAAACCATTTAAAACGCTTCAGTTTATTATCATTATGAGTCAAGTCGTGGAAGTTAGGAGCGGAAATGGTGCTCGGGTGGGCGAGTACTGCGGGGTTGTACAGTTACTGTACCTTTATTGCGCTGTTGTTTGCTGATGAGTGTTGACAGTTATTACTGATAAAAATTAAATTGAGAGTTGCTTATAGCTTTCGGCCAGGTAGGGCACAAAAGCCTCTGGATAAAATTGATGAGTAAAAAAGAAACTGTTCCACTTATTAAATTATATCATACCTTCCTTCCTTTGTTCTATTTTGACGACTCCTCGAAAAGCGGTAGGCGATCCCGCATGCAGGAGCAACACTTGAACACCAGGCCGAGGCTCCATTAGCAGGACCACCTTGTGCCACTCTATAGCCAATCGTGGTTCTATGGCTTCTATTATATCCCGAAACTTTTTAAGACGCTGCAAATAGGTAATGAACATATTCTAGGCATTCATTTGTTCTTTTTCTATTACAATCCTATTTACATGGATGCCACCGTCAGTTCAAACTCCAAGTGTCTGGTCTCTAGGATTGTTTAGGTTGTGCGGTAATTCAGCAGTCATTCGAAGACAAAAAAATATATATTAGGATAGGAAACAGACGAATAAACATAATATATCATTACCTTCTTTGACAATAGAGAGAATATAATCAGGTTGATTTCCACGTTATTTGACCAAAAATAAATTATTTTCCACTGCGAGTCGACAATTTCGTAAGGATCAAACGCGGCACCTTGTTCGAAAATTTCACACGACGTACTATTGAAGAGGCTCTTTGCTGTAGCACAGGCGAGCCCCCCCGAAAAAAAATAATTTCATATATCCACATTCGTGAAAACATTCTCTTGTTACTGTTCACTTGGTAATATGATTCGGTTGTTTACATACACGGGCTTATATGGGCGCACTGGATACAAAGATTCAATTTACTTTCAGATTTGCCATGATTAAATATAAAGGAAATGTAATAAGGTTAAAAAATAAGTTCTTCGTGCATTCTCATAAAATTAGATACACAATTTAAAAATTATAGGTTCTTTGTTTTTAACTTTAACAATTAAAAACTATTTAAATAAAACACTTTAACGGTTTAAAACGCGATATATTAGTTAAACTTATTTGAAAATGATTTTTAACTTCGGCCCGACGTTTCGGATGCTTTGCAGCAGCCGTGGTCACGGGGAGTCTCCCCGTCATTTTCAAATAAGTTTAACTAATATATCGCGTTTTAAACCGTTAAAGTGTTTTATTTAAATATGTACTACTCGCGTAAACTATAGACAGTATTTAATTAAAAACTAATAGTGTTACAAATTAGCTCGTAAACGCAAGAAAAATAAAAAAAAACATACACCTACATTCACAAATATGTCAATATAAAGAGAAAGGGTTCGTTAGTTAAAGATACTTTATTAATACTCTTTGGATAATGAAGAATATGTTTAATGTATACACGAATGTTAATAAACAATCACATCAAGTAACCAAATAATAAATAATGACTTATATAAGAATCTGTAAATTGAAAATAATATTCCATATGGTTCGGCTTCAGAAAGAGAATTGAAAGTGAATATAAGATTCCTGAGAGAGGGTTATATTTATAACCAAACCGGGAGAATGGATTGGGAGTAATCCTCACCGGAGGCTGGTGGTCGACTGCAACCTCTATATCATGTCACCCGCCGTGCCAGATATATCTAGACTTATGTTATTCTCTTATCATAAGTTACGATTAAAATTTTTCGTTTTCTACTTTTAGTTCCCATTATTTATAGTCTACTAGCATTAAAGAAGCGTGTTCTCTCCTTATATACGTTATATGCTAAAATGGCAATTATCGAATGTCAAAATTGTTTGTAATCTATAAATAAAATAAAATTAAAATACCTTTGTATATGGATATAAAACCTACGGCAGAATATAGTAACTAACATTACAAATGGAAAAGTTTAAATTTAATGTAAAATTCGAAAGATTTCAAAAAGGACCTCATAACTTGTCGTTACAGTCTATATGATTTTTAGACCATTTTTAAAAGGAAAACCCGAATTCTAATAGTCATTTTCCAAATTAGCTGTCACAAAATAGAGCACCAAAGTTTTGTTATAAAGCTCCTACTTATTTTACAAAGAAATGTCTTAGCGACACCCGGCTTTTGCAATCTACGGGCGAAATATTAAAAAAAACGTTGAAAATGTACGTATACTCGTACGATATACTTTTTACTATTACATATATGTATGTAATAATATTTATAACATAATATTGTATAAAATGTAATATATTTTTTAATCAGCAAAAGCCCGCTTTCACTAGCTAAGAATAATTATGTCCTTTTCGTAGTAAGATCCACACTTCAAACCGTATTATGCCTTATTTTGTTATTAATTTAATATAGTGGTAAACGTTTAGAAAGTAATTATTAAATACTGTCTATAGTTTACGCGAGTAGTACACATTTAAATAAAACACTGTAACGGTTTAAAACGCGATATATTAGTTAAAATTATTTGAAAATGATTTTTAACTTCGGCCCGACGTTTCTCCGTGTGACCACGGCTGCTGCAAAGCATCAGCAATAAGTTTAACTAATATATCGCGTTTTAAACCGTTAAAGTGTTTTATTTAAAAGTAATTATTATTTTTTGAACGGAAATCAAAACGAGCCCGCACAACAATTCAGCAGGCCATTATTATCTTTAGTAATAACAGTAAAAAGAATGTATTATTCAATAGCATGTGATGAAACTATAGATTATTCGCCGCACCAAATGTATTTTACATAGATATTCCAATATTCAATTGAATTGTTTAAACAAAGAAATTGGATTGCGGTTCTAGTGATACGTAGGTTTAATAAAACATTTTTGTCCAGGCAGTGTTATAAAACTTATTGTCTCATGGAACATCGGTGTTGAATAATAGTGTATACGTATTAATTTCGGGGAATTATCAAAAATAATTTTGTATTAGATAATTAGGATAATTTGAGATGTAAAACGGTTAAAATTAAGTTCCTACGAGTTGCGTCTAGCAAGTTTTTAAAGATACGCAATTAATGTTGAACTACAAACTCCAAATGAATGATGTAACAATGTAACGCACTTACATAATTTAAAATTGTGAACGCATAAACCAATTTATTAAGTACATTAAGTTTTGATGTACACAAGGTGTGAGAAAAGTTCTCTGGTACTATTTAGGACAAAAACAAGAACTGGTAAAAGTCACCAGGCTCTTGAAGTTTCTCTAACGTAAGACGTTTGTACTTTCTTACTTTAAATGGAATTTAATTAGATGTACACATAATAATTTAGGTATATTTATAATTTTGAGAGCGAATATAGAAAATCATTTATTAAACTTTCTGAATTTTAAACCAGCTTGTGCAAGATTATATTCATAATAAGATTGACACGAATATTCGGTTAGCAATCGGTATTCGGCTTATTCGACGTCTTTTCTACCTTTCGGCCGAATACCGAATATCTGGGTAGTATTTGAGCGAAGTATCTATAATATATATAAATACTTAAGGTATCTATTTTGTTTAAAACGAATTGATTAATTACATTTCAACCGAAGCCACTACGAGAATTTTTTAATTCGCAGTTTGCATACGACAGTTTTTAGTCACTCAGATCATCTTTAAAATACGTCCATGTAGGCGATTCGTTTTTAAAACCTTTAATCAATTTAATGAGGTAAGAACATTCAAACAATCACATCTGGTTAAATTTAGGAGCTAAGGTCTATCCGAATATTCGGCTATTTGGTCAGGAGGTCGAATATACTATCCGTTAAAACCTAGTTTGTAATGATAATTTTTTAGAAGTTCTGAATACCTCAATAAAAGAAACGTCATAACGTCATATCCCTAAAAAAATGAAAAGAAAAGTATTTTTTTAAATAGCCTGTACTTTAATAATAATATTGATACGATGTTACCATGCTTAATAATGGTTATCAGCGAGTTCGTATAACATGTGCCGTCATTTCTTATCTTATCTCACTGTTATTTAATTCAATAGATAGTTACTGATTACATCTGTCTAGCCATCTCTCATTAGTTTTTAAGCACTTAAATGGACGTTATTAAGTGCCACGTATACAATATATTTTGGGCATATGTTACCTATAGGTACTGTTTGGTATAAAATACCTAAAAGTGGATAAAGTAAAAATGTTTGTCATTTTAACCTAAGTATTTTATACAAAACAGGACCACTTTATTGAGACTGCAGGTAAACATACAATGTATTTGGATTAGGCGTTATTTCATAATAGGATAATAATGTTCCGTAGTTTTAGTACCTCAATCCGCATTGTAGCGTAGTTTTGAGAGATAGACCTAACCAAGCGGCAGATAGACGTAATTGACTTGCATGAGACAGCTATTGTGATTTCTGACTGGAATATTACGTCTGTCTGTTTCAAAATTTGTTTAATAATTTAAACTATATATTCTTGCATCAGATGTATTATCTGAAAATACTTCCGCCCGTGAGGGCCTCGTTGTGCAGCGGTAACGGGTCATTACGGGTTTGAATGCTACCTGGTCAAACAGTAACCCTATTCTGATTACTTTAAACATGCTAGGAAATTAGAAAATTTCACGGACTACAGTCCTCAAAAAGAAAAGTAGAGAATTAGTGTTACAGTTTCGACCTTTCGTTTGCAAAACGTCGAAAATCAGAATAGGTCGACAAGTGGATCCAATGTTAGTCATTTACTGACATAAAAAATTTGTAGCGCATGTGAACTACGTTATAAACCCATTATTTACCAACGTAGTAAGCCGAAATATGTAGTGGAACTATTATAAGACACCTTGTGGACCTGGGAAGCAGTAAAGATGTGACCGAGTCTTTGACTACGTGCCAAAGTGTTAATATGACGACTTACTAACTTCTCTTATACGTTATTCAGAACGAGGGGTCAATTCTGTGAAAAGTGATATTTCATCGACATGCGTCGGTCAGGCTTAAAACTAAAGTTGTATAGTAAATTTAAAAGTTTGGTCAAAAAGGAATCAATGCAAATAATATAAAATCTCCTAAATAATATCCACATGACTTAAGTGAATGTAACAAAAATTTCACTTAGAAACAAAATTTAATTTAAGATTAATAGAATGTTTTTAAGTGCGAAATATTTATTTTTGTATATACACGATATTTTGCGCAACACGTATAAAGAAAAGCGGCTGAAAGGAGAATGTGTTGAATCGAATAGAAAGTTGCCAAAAATCAAAATGTCCTACTTTTTCAACCTTTGCGATACTCGAAACTCACTCATTTGTGAATCGCCCTCCAACGCTTTCGAAACGTACATTGCGTTTTGGACATCGACAGTGAATGACCGATAGCGATTTAAATTTAAACTTACTGTCATACGCAAACTGTCATAATTGTATTCTTTGTAATATTAATACAATTTGAATAACCACATATTTACTTGGCACCTGGAAAACTTCTTAGCCATTAAAACACGGTCTATGCTTTATAAATGAATTCTTGTATTAAATGTAGTCTAGAAACAAAATTACTTACATGAGGCGTTTTGTTTTGAAAAAGAATGAAAAATACAAGTTCTGCCCAATAGTTTGTATATCTAAACTATTTTAAGCAGACCAAAAGTGTATTGTCAGATCAACGCACCGAAATTTTAAATAGATAGCAATTTGTAAATCGTTTGAGTTCGAGAGTACATTGCTCCGTCCTAATATACCTATCTATTAATAAAAATGCCACAATAATTTTTATCATTGTTTCTACGCAGCGTGCTTGTGCTGAAACTTTAGTACTCGCATTTAAGTATTTTAATTAATTGCTCCTACAATGAATTTTTAATATAGGTATACTTATAGTAAAACTATAGCATTTATTTTAAGCACAATTAAACAAAAACAACAGGAAGTCGTATGATTTAAGTATAAAAAGATTTCCGTTCATAATATAATAAGAAACATTTAAAACCGCTGCCATGGAGAACAAAATGTTAATAGCCTTGAATTGATGTATTTATAGTATGTTAGATTTCCCAAATTGATCACGTTCTGTCTATAAATAGATTTTGTTTGGTTACATTTCATATACCACAAGCGTTTTACGCCGTACAGTTGTTATATTCTAAATACTTTTATTTTTTTTTTAATTTTAATTTACTTGTTTGCCTAGTCACTTAAATTGTAGACAAATAAACGATTAAGTAATGATACTGTAAACAGGGTGAACGTGCGGCGATAACAATTTTATCCAAGTGTCGTTTGATCTCCGTGCTAGTGTAGTGTTGTTAACAACGTGTGATACGCGTGTTGTGTCCATATAACACAGACAATAAATATGAGGGACATTTAAAAAAAAATAAAAAAACGTGTTACCAAAAAGTTTTCACTAAGTCTACCAAAGAGTTTTGCTGTAAGTATTTTTTTTGTGGATAGCTAAGGAATTCGTAATTAATGTTTTTATAAATTTCGTAATACGAACTACAGAGATGACTCGATGTGTGAGTCGTGACCTTCGCTACCCACGCACGTGTCTATGGAATAGTAAAGCTATTATTGTTTATTTATCAAAGTTAGTGTCAATGATAAACGATACATATAGCTACTCTAAGACGCATATTTCGAAATTTTTTCTATAATAATTTTTCTGAGGTTTCAGTTACACTTAATATATTCTATTTAATATTAATACATATATTATCTACATATGACATCCTTTTTGGACAGGGTAGTATCGCTATTGTGCTCAGGTGGGTGCGGAGTACCTTAAAATATTGTTGTCAACGAAAACAATATTTCTTCAGCTAAGTCTCAACCATTCCAGAATTAAGCTTCCCAAGTTTTTCGCACACTGATTTATGTTCAATTACGACGTCCTTAACATTTTTGTCACTCTTGAATTTTAAGGCGAAAAGAATTCTGAAACACTTACCCGTCTTTATGGGTGTCATAACTTGCTAATGGAAAATTCCTATGTACGAAAACTGCAAAATAAAGATAATTTCAATGCTTCTCGTCTCATTTATGTAAAGTAAAAAGGTCTATAACAATTAATGTTCTACACCTTATTTAATATAGGATGATAAGCATGACGAAGCAGACCTCATCGCATATAATCGTTTGTTTATCTATTCGATTACTACAAGTAACTTAATACTTTACAAGCGGAAACTTTCTTAATTATCATCCTATATTAGAAGGTATAGTCCATCTGCCCTTATGGAGTGATAAACTGCATACCGACGCCAGAATATCGCGATTCCTAAAATCCGGCTGTCGTTACGAGCCTACTTCCCCTCGGTTGGTTCGATTTCCTTTTTTACAAACGCCGGCAATTTCGTATTTACGTGAGCGAACAGCGAATCTCAGTTACAGAATCTCTATTCTTCGCAATTCGAAACAAATGTCAACGGATTCACAACGAGAAATTTTACGACCCTATCCCGACGACGTCTGTACCTACATTATAATTAATAACCGCGGCCTTTGTCATGCGAAGCGCGCCCTCCATCTTCCGTTTCGTTTCTGAAGCCTAATGATACTGATCGCATTATTCTGTGCGAAGAAACAGGCGTTCGTTTCATGTGTCTAATTAACGAATGTGACGGGGTGCTGAACAACCTTTGGCAGCTATATCAAACCGTCTTCTGTTTTACACACTATACAATGGAATGGCATATTTCAAGCGCAATAGTTTAACAATGCAGTAACTAATTGCGCTTGTAATATATTTGAAAAGACATTGTTTTCTATTTAGGGTTTCGTACAAAGCCATAAAACAGGAATATCACAAAATCATTACGTTACAATTTTCACAGATGATTTATTATTGTGGCCGAATACTGAGTTATTTTTACTAATATTATAGAGAACGACAAACAAGTATGGAGTTCACTTCGAACGTTAAATAAGCTCCAGCCAAGCCATAATTGGCTTTGAATACTTACATTACCTACAAATTAAAAGTCGATTGTCGATTATAAAAAAATACGACATGAGAAGGACTTGAACCGGTGTCCAGAGTTCCATGCTGGTGCTGTAATTGCATGTGTAAAAAATATAAAGTTTTCATACATTACATTCCACAAAGGTCTATACCGTTCTTTTATTTAGCCATGGCACGATGCGCGCTTGGCCTTTTTTACTACTATTTAATACCTTTTCTTGATATAAGGTCACCCACGAGTTGCACCTTTGTATATTATCATATGGACAATACATATCCAATAAATTTACGACGTTAACACGAAGTATCTAGAGTAACCTGTGTGCAAACACGTGAAAAAATGCCGTGTTAATGGATTGGACACGTCATTCGTCATTGTGTTCCATTTTTAAAAACCACTTTGCCAAATTTATTATGGGTTTTAGTGACCATGCTATACTTATGGTGTTATGGTAAAAAACTAGAATTATAAAAACACACTTGCTATTGTGTAAATGTAAATAATATATACCATTATATACATATAAGTATTAACTTCGCAAATCTATGTGTTTTGTATTCTGTTTTTCATCTTTCTTTGATATTTTCATGAGTATATTTAAGAAAAATCTCATCAGTTACATACTCTCTGTAGTTTACACGAGAAGCAACATTATAATAAAGTACTTTAACGGTTTTATAATAATTTGAAAATAAGATTACAACTAATGCCTATGCTTATTTATATTGTTTAATAAAATATTTCTGCCATATAATGCATGCGTTAAATTATCCTGAATAAAAATACACAGTACCTTATGCATAGAATATTGCACCGGCGCTCTTCAACACGACTTGTGTCCTGAACTCAAGATCACACTCAACATTCTGACCTGACACCATTCACATCTGAAACTCCTCTGGTTTTATGCCTGCCGTAACTCAAAGCAGAAATAAAGTAGAAATGCGAAACAATATTTCCTCTTCCTATTGTTATACCTCTTAGGTGGCTTTCCCAATCCAATTCATTTTTTTCATGTGCCCCAATTTTCATATAGGACTTTAGTTGCCAATACAAAGCGCATACTGGCAAGGTCTAGATTCGAGCTTTATCTTTATCAATATTTTTGAATTGACCATTGTATCAATCAAACTAAAGATGTAATAAAATATTCGCGTCTATGATTTTAAAGCCACTTAAGGTTGCTTGTGTTGCTTCTAATATATGAAAAATTTGAGCCGCGAGTTCGCAAGAGTTCGCGTTTCAACCCGATAGTGTTATATCATGTTTACAACTAGCATAAACTATACATAAAAAAATGTTATATAGATCACAGGATAAACATTAAATCTTCCTTTTTTTCAAAACTTTAATCTATTGCAAGACCCATTCTTAAGCAAGCTCATGTTACATTAATTCATTGGATTAAAGTAATGAAAAAAAAATCCAAATTTGACGTATATGATACTTTTTTGTCAAAGCTTTTTATAAATGTGTGTTACAGAAACAGAATTATGACTCCACCAGCTGGAGACTATACCAACCCACCGCAGATTGTGGTTCTGGACGGTGGTTTTTCAACGCAACTTTCCTGCCATGTGGGCCACGTCATCGACGGAGATCCTCTATGGAGTGCGCGGTTCCTGCACACACACCCTGATGAAGTTGTCAATGCGCATTTGGACTTTCTCCGGGGCAAGTATTTTTTCATCTATACAAACTGTACCTTTTCTTACAATAATTGTTGTAGAGTCGTATTTAAATTTACACAAAATTATAACTCTCTGACCAACTTCATGCTCCTTTTAATATCCAACGCCATTTTCATAAAAATAAGTTCAACAAAAATATCCGGAATAATTAAAGTTAACTTAAGTTTTCTTCCAGTGCCCGACAGCTAAAAGCTTGATCATTTTACTAAAGATAAAATAATGTTTTTATTAAATTCTCAGTATCAAGTTGAAACTCGCGGTGACTCGAAAAATTAATAATTTGTTCGCCTTAACTATTGTCAATTACAAGTCTCATACTTGTAATCCAAAGATGTTTAAATCGGGGATTTTTTAAACATATGAAAATATTTACCAATAGTAATAATAATAGAAACGTTTTTTTAATAATAAAATCATATAAGGGTCCCTAGCACCAACTTATCAGCAGTTTTAATGAACCCAAACAAATAAATTGATAAGTGAGTTGTAATTTGTCTATACACAGTGATAATATTTTTACATCATATCTACCTAAACACATTTAGCAAAAGCACTAAATAACTAATTAATTTAACTTAGTAATTGTTAGAATGGAAATGGAATTAATATTGTTAATTCCGGGCTTAGTAGAGCCATACATGTGTATTTATAGTTTATAGGTTCGAACGAATTTATTGATATTGTCGAAAATACGATTCAATATGTCTAGGCGTACCTTACTAAACCTTTCAGTAATAAAATATGGCGTCACTTAACGGCTTTAATGAGTTGTTCACGTAGGTAATCGGCGGAGTAACTTACATTCAATAAGTTTCTCCGTAAAGATAGCTACAGTGAACAGTACACCCAAGATGTAATTGCGATGTTCCTGACAAAGATTGTCTGAGAATGAATTTCCACATAATCAACCGTATGACATGGATATGCTTGAAGGGGGTGTTTTAAACCAATACAAGCAACATATATAGATACGAAACTTCCTAAAAAAAAACTTTATAAAAGTTAAAATAAATACATATTCTAAGCTTACTTTCGCCCATAATTTACAAACTATTTATTTTATTCGAAAAGCACTGTCTTGTGTAGTAATAAGACTAAATAGGTACTGTCTATAGTTTACGCGAGTAGTACAAATTTAAATAAAACACCTTAACGGTTTTAAACGCGATATATTAGTTAAACTTACTGATTTCATATATTAATTCTATAACACACATTTAAATAAAATGCCTACGTAAATAAAAAAATAGATTTACAAATTCGCATTTTTCATTTAACTTATCATCCTTTATGGCACGGGATATATTAAGCTTAAATGTGTTATAGAAATCTTCGAAAACGCATTTTAAAAGTAGGGCATTTTTTTATTCCTTCAAAGTTGTAAAATAATGAACAATTCCCGCAGGAAGCTCGGAACAAAAATCACGTGGTCTAATGAATTACACTAGGTCGGTTTTAGCATGTCATTTCCTTGCATGTCGACATAAGTAGGTACGGCCCCGCTCATGTCATCGTCCTCTGAAAGCGCCTTTCTACACCACAAAACGAACCGTTTCTTTTCATAAGAAAAAGCTGAAAAGTGTCTACAAGCAAATAACTCCCAGGAGGCAGAAACCTACCTACTGCCTTGCTTTACCGCCCTTCACTCAAAGCATGTCAAATATGGGAAAATCGTTTTCATCAATCGAATAGATAATTGTAGCTACATTTGCACTCAGTCGTAATTGAATGTTGTAAACAATATTGTCTGTTGTAGCAGACAATATTTATATTACGTGTCGGTTCTAAAACATGGTTACTACTTGAGCTCGGCAAACAAGACTGGATCCATTAATCACTTTGTCTCTTTAATACGTTTCCATTCGAGGCGCGTCTATTTATTACATAATTAATTTCTTTGACCTCAAAAGTATTTCTTATGTAGTAAGTTCTCAGTACGCTCTCGGGATATGAAATTACCAAGTTTTAATAACATTAATTGTTTAGAGTCTCTTAGCCGCACCCTGTACTCAGTTAACAAAGCCGTCGTAGAACTGAACTATAATTTACAAATAATATTTATGGTCTTAGTTTCTTAAGCTTGTAAAGCAAATTATTGAAATATAGAAGACCCGAATTTATTACATCTCTATTGTGATATTTATTAGACGTCAAGGAATAATTTTTAGACAAATTCCGTGAACACCAATGGAAGCCAAAAGTCTTTCTACTAAAGTAACTTTCACGAAACTTTTCATTTCTTACCTGAAACAAGCATTACCTATAATTTCCCAGAGACGACCATTTATACATTTTCAGGACGCGTAGTGTATAGGCAATGTTCATGGCGTTAGATGGTTTAATTACTTCCATAACTCATTGTAAGGACATAATTGACTTCCATGTATTGTAATTACAGCTGGGGCCCACTTGATTATAACAAATACATATCAGGCTTCCGTGGACGGCTTCGTCGAACATCTGGGAGTCACATCTGCGCAAGCATATCAGCTGATGAAACGTGCTGTGGAATTAGCTAAAAAAGCCCGAGATTTATATATGGAAGAATACGGCGATTACATACAAGCAGGTAAAAAACGCACTAAAAATACGCAGCATTGGTAAACTCCATAATAGTTATATGGCATAAACCGATTATATAAAATCTTATATTTTTCTAATTTCGAATTTATTTTATATTTTCTCCACCAACTTTTCTTATTTTTATTTTCCTTCCCTTTATTCTAATAATAATGCTTGGAAGAAATCGTGATAGGCGATAAGCCTTGCATAAACTTGTTGTTTTGTTTTTTTATTGTGTGCATTTTTATTACTTGTATTAAAAATTATTATAGATTCTAATATAATTAGCTGCATCGAAATGTCTTAAGTCCATCAAACGAATGTTGGACAAAGGTTCTATTACTCTCTAATATTGCTTTGTATTATAAAAAGTAGTGATAAATCTACCCCATGAAAATTTCAAGAATGTTAACATTCTGCGAACAAAGCCCGGGATCATAGCCCTACGGGAACGGGTGCAGGCACGCATTAATTACACTTTGCAAGGGTTTAAAGTGTTTGTTATGACATTGCGATGAGGAAGTGCGATGTACGAATAGCCGTTAACTTTGTTCTTAATTGATTACGATTTAGATCATTTGCCATTGGTGGTTGGATCCGTCGGGCCTTATGGTGCACACCTGCATGACGGCTCCGAGTACGATGGAAGTTACGCTGATACCACTTCGGTTCAGGTAAGTAGAAAAGTCAATAGAAACACCGATATGTAAATTAGTAAAAATTTATAATAGTCAAAAAAAAGATACCAATTAAAAATTGCCCTTTAAAACAAAGTTAGTATTTTACTTAGTATTTGAAAGCTGTGTGTTGTCCACACAAATCTATACTAATATTATAGAGTATGTTTGAACGCGCCAATCTTAAGAACTACTGGAGGAATTGAAAGATGATTGTGTTGGTTGGACCATTTATCGAGGAAGGCTTTGAGCTTTAAACATCACGCCGCAACCAATAAGAGCGAAGAAACAGTGGGAAAAGGGAAAAATTATTCATCTTTGAAGGTTTTCGTTACGTGCTCTGCAAAAACAGTTCAAGATATCCAAAAATATGTGCGAAAGAGTTTTTTTTTTTTAAATGTAAAAGTTGTACGCGACAGTATATTTGCCAGTTTAGCTAGTTACATATATAAAGAAGTACAAAAATTAACCTTCGCTTCATTGCCCGATAGTAAATGTCTTAATTCAACTGCGTAAAACATTCTCATTATCGGAATAAATTATTTGTAGACATTACCGTATCACTACCCCATTAGTGGGTAAACAAGGGCATTAACAATCATATCACAACAATAGTATGTGCCTACATGTTTGCCGGTCAGCGTTCGATATCAGTAAACAGTGATACCTCTGTAATCTATATTTTTCGAACGGACCCGGTGCTCCATGAATACTAACGGCGAAGTAAAAGTTGAAAGCGTTGGCTAAATCGTAAAGAGGGTCATAAAGTTGCCGGGAAATTAAAATTTACATCGGCAATATGAAAAACTCTCTTTCCATTCCTCCTCTTTTTTCGGGACTAACGGTATTTGACTGGGGTGGACAGTTAATTAATGGAGACAAGAACAAATGGAATAGCGGGCACAAATATGGAACAACGGAACGGTTGCTGCGTTCCATTCGTAATCCTTTTATTAACATCAAGTGATGGCAAATCTTTATTTGTAGCGTATTTAATGCCCCTTGCTCTACCGAACCTTTGCGTTTTATTCGTACCGTGGTAAATAATTTACCATTGAATCGATACGAACTGAAAATTGAAGCTATAAGCCGCTTTAACACCGAAAAATCCTTTGAGGGAAGTTCATTAATATTCGCCCAATATTTAGCGCTTATACTTTTGTTACATGAAGTATTACTTGCCTAGTACATATTTCGTTTAAATCATCAATTTCGTTGCCAAAATTTAATGTCTGTAATCATTGATAACGATTAAGTTCGAAAAGTTTCAAGAAACCGGTTTTATAGAAAAAGTATTATATAAATTAAAATCTATTTTAGATAAAATAAAAAGAAACACGATGCTTTGAGCGGGACTCGAATCAATCACATAGTGGTGTGCCTTCTTACCACCGAAAAATATAGGTGAAAAAAAAAGTTTCAAGACAAAGTACTAATTTATAAAGAAATAATCCCAATCCTTTTTGCTCTGGTAGTCTGGCGCTTTTAAAATTTAGATTCAGGTTTTTCGACATTTTCCTAGCAGTCTAGTGGTGGTTAACTTTTCTTCGTTTATCTTTTACGCTGGTACGCTGATTTTTTTGTGAACCGAATATTAACTATTATATAAACTGCGTTGTACTTGCAGACTATGCGCGAATGGCACTTACCACGTGTCCAGGCCCTCGTGGAAGCTGGAGTGGATTTATTGGCGCTCGAAACGATTCCATGTCAAGAAGAGGCTGAGATGCTTTGCGACCTGTTGCGTGAATTCCCTGGTTTGAAAGCCTGGCTCTCGTTTAGCTGTAAGGTATGATCAATTCATTTTTTTCTATACTTCATACTAACCAAAAAGTGATGCCACGATTTTAAGAATAATTCTGATTTGCTTTTTATTGGAAGGTTGAGCATTGGGTTCCGTACCTTTGCAGTCTGACTGCCTGTAACCAAGCCAAGCCAATCAACAACCAAGATAGACAAATTATATACATATTTCTGTTGCGGTTATAAAAACAAAAATTAAAAATAGAGTATTTACATTTGTTTAGTTAATGGTACGGAGTCTTTCGGGCGTGTGAACGATTCTTACTTGACCGGTTTCCTTTAATACTGTGATCTTAAAGTGGTATTCAACTCAATTATTATTATGTATGAAACGGCGTTCTTAAGAACCTTCACCCATCTCAAATTGAAATTTTCTCAGCTCGTAAAACTTGTCTCGTCGAAGGCATTTAAATAACTATTACAGCGTTCGCCGTTTATTCCCTTATAGACTATTACGTCCTACGTTAACGTTAGAATCGCTTAAAAATTCCATTAACTTTCTTTTATACTTAATTACACCTTGCAGGTTTGCTTTGCCAAATTATTTTGTTATTGTTAAAATGTGTTGTATTTAGAAAGTAACTGAGATATCGCTTTTCTGATCTTTGAACCCTGTATCAGTGAATGGAATGGGAAGGTCAATGTGATTATTCTACTCGAACGATTAAATTTTAACATTATATCTTGGTAGATACTGCTTGCGTCCAAAACTCAATAGTTTTATTTATTAAGATAATTTCTTAAGAGATATATACCTAATATGTTATGTGAACCACGAACATTATCAGTGCAACGGACACAGAAATATGTCTTCTTTATGCTTAGAGGGGCTCGTTGGTGCAATGTCTCCGGGTCCAACATTTTTCCAATTAATTTATAATTTATCTGAAATTCGTCTGGAAATATGGATATTAAATGTATGGTAGTAATATTGAAATTCCGTCCGGGTGACGAACCAACGTCCACAGACGAGAAAATCGTAAACTTCAATCGCGTTTCGGTTGCAGTCTGTAGATTTCTGAATATTCACAGCCAAAATAGGTCGAGAGAAATTTTGTATAGACGGTATATGCCTGGAGTGTTTCACCTACCACGAAGTAAACTTCATGGTCTGTCCTCCTCTAAATTAAAAAAAAACCCGAGGTTGTGTTTTAAAATATGTTTCATGATAATAAAATGTTGCATATGTAATTTTCAGGACAACCAAAGTATAGCTCACGGCGAAAGCTTTCAAAAAGTAGCGAAAAAATGTTGGAGTCTCAATCCGGAGCAACTAGTCGCAATCGGCGCAAATTGTTGTGCTCCATCCTACATTTCAAATTTAGTAAAAGGAATTAATGACGACCGGCCACATGACCCCATACCGTTAATCGCTTACCCAAATTCTGGGGAAAAGTACAATCCGCAAATCGGGTAAGTTATTGCCTGATCCACCCTTACCTAGACTTTAAACCTCATGTTATTAACAAAAGAGCTGTCATTCAAGGGATCGATCTGGATACTTTAATCTTATACGATGTATTACAAGATACTCCACTACTGTACTTTAGAGAAGAATGAAAAATACAAAATAGATAGGGTTGCGGCGAGTCGGCTCTCCCATGAGAAACAATACTAACATATATATGTTACTTAGCGTTCAGAGTTAGTGATCAAATCCTTAAGTGTTAGAGTATTCTTGTATGTAAGGTAATATTTTTGCTAGAACAAAAAGAAGGTTGTAATAAAAGTAGTAACTAAATTTTCTTTCTTTTACCACCTTTGAGGGTAACATTTGTTAGATGAACTTACTTTTGTTGTAAAAAATAAAGCTCAGCAACTAAAATAAAGACAATACACAAAAACTTTCGCAGTTTAAACAATTGATTTATTTAATACTATTCTTTAAAAGCAGTCATTTAACTACGTAATATATTGTATTTTAATCTCTTCTGGTGTTTTAAATTATTTAATGCTAAATAGATAAATAAGAACAACTACGAGTTCAGGTAACTTAGGCATTTATTTGTAAATATATAGTATAGTAAGAAGAATAATATCTAAATACGGTGTGTAAATTACGCGAGTACACATTTAAATAGAAAACTTTTACGGTTTAAGACGCGTTATTTCTTTCTTTTTTTTACTTTGACGTCAGAGGCACCCTCCATCTTTAGTCTCCCGTGACCACGGCTGCTGCAAAGCATCCGAAACGTCGGAGTTTAAAAATAATTTTCAAATAAGTTTAACAAAGATATATCGCGTTTTAAATCGTCAAAGAATCTAATTAATGTACAAAAAAGGAACAAAGGAAAATTTTGCTACAATCTAGAGGCTTTTACTTACTTTAATTTCTATTAATAACAAGCTCTTTTTATAATTATCCACAGATGGATAGACCGAGATAAGTGTGAGCCTGTGGAAGTGTACATCCAAGAGTGGCTCGACCTAGGAGTCCGTTACGTCGGAGGCTGCTGTCGCACGTACGCCGCGGATGTCTCCAGAATTCGTAACCAGGTACACTGCTGGCGGGACCGTTGGCGCTTCCAACATAAGTACCAGGCTGACTCGAAAAAGAACCAAAGCACTAGCTGAATATACCTCGTTTAGTATATAAGTTTTCATTTAATAAATTGCAATGGAAATGTAAATATCGTATAATTTTTTAACTTTTCTTAGAGATACTATGGTCAAATTTAAAATGACGAGAACGTATTAATTGAACTTAAAAACATTGAAGATCAAAAGTCAGGTTTTAGAAAAATTTACGTAATAGCGATATTATATCGAAGTAAAATTATTATCAATGAAAAAATATATAAATTTCGATCAATGCTACTTCACCAGCCATTAAAAGGGCGAAGAGTAAATAATGATAAGAATATAAACCTATTATTATTATTACCTACGAGTTGAAAAGACTAGTGACATGGGAAAATGGTCGACGATGGCGGAAGTTGTCACATTTATCGATCCCTCTTCACGTTTGAACAGAAAATCCATGTCCTTTTATAAAAATATTCTAAAGAGCTCCTTTTACTATTATTTTTTGCAGTGTCAAGATAATACTAACAGTATATAATTTAACGAGAGCAATCTTTACTGGCTGGTGTGTAACAAAAGTTTTGGAATGTACAGGAAAATATTCAAAGCGATTTTTCCTTGACGCAAAACTAGTTGGGAGGAAAGCGGTGGAATGGCATCGAGCGTAGATTGAAAATGAATTTAAAATACCTACGTTCTACCTATGGTAGACCAATATGCGGCTAAGGCTTGCTACGACTATCGGCTGCAACGCTCCAAAATTTTCATCGAAAGAAAAGAATCTTCGTATAACAATTTCCTGCAAAGAATATTGAGGAGAGTAATTGCATTCCTTTATGACGAGGCCGACTACTTACGCTAAATTATACCTTCGACTACAAAAGGGGAGGGAGGCTGGTTAAAAGTTTCTTTTATCTTCGTGCTTGCTAATTCATTGTAAGGTAAACAAGTCCTATTTTTTAGTAAAATATGTCATGCTCTCCATATTTCAATAGATGCTGTTTTATAAAAATACAGTTGTGATTATGAGAACAAACGGAATTAATCTTCTAACGAAATTTATAACATACAACGAAACAATGTCGTCAATAAATTTACACATGATACTATAAGACTTGATAAAGTTCATCGATAGCTTGACATACAGGTCCGAAGTAAGAATAGACTATTCTTAAAATAATATAGTATGATAACAAGCAGTGACCCAAAGGAAATTGCAGGCATTTTTAACTCGCCCACGTTGCACTGTTACCCTTTGCCGTACACGTACAGGTACATATTACCGACTACGGCTCTCCACCTCAATGAGCAGCCAGTGAATCGAACCAGCCGCCAGAACCCACCGTGGCTAGAATAGTTCGTTATATATCGCCCGACACTTTATAAATTGTCCAAAGATGGAAATAGGAGTTTGCAGTTGCTGGATTTTCAGTCACAAACCTAAGAAACGTTCCCACTCAATTCACTTAAACGTGTTTGAAAGGTAACATTTATGAATAAAAGCAAAGTTTTATGAAAGTAAAATTTATTTACGCTAGGAACATAAAAATGCAGTCAACATTTGCTCTCTTTTGCGTCTCTTAATATGTTTTTTGATTGCAAGGCAGCAATGGCGAGGGTTCTTTCTTGTTTTTCCTCGTTCAATTGTAACTGTAAGTTTTTGACATCCAATCTTAAAGTTTTTATTTCATTCTGTAATCTCATAACAATGGTCCACAAGGTCGCTGAGCCGTGATTGGATGTGGAGTGAATGGGCAACGAAGGCGATCTCACTAAAGCCTCTATCGACACCGGAGACTCGTCGTCGCATTCTGAAAAACAAAATTATACATTATACAGCTCGTGGGATGAATCACTCGGGCTCTTTGCGGCCTAAGCTATAATATAATAAGCTTATAGTCAATAGCGGCCAATATCAAGCCAATAATAGTACAGTCAAGCGTTATGCGATATTGACGTGCTCTAAACTATATAGCATTATATTATAGGTTAGTCTGAAAAGAGCTTTATGCAGAATTGCAGAAGTTACCCACCTTGAGATACAAGTAAGGCGGTAATTGTTTAATCGTGTTTCACTGTGCAATGTGCTTCTGATTTAATTTTGTAGAAAGCAGAAAGTTATCGCTTTAGCTCATGTAAATAAAAAATAGATACATTTCGATATAATTTATTGATACGTAGTTAACCTACAATCGTTATAAAAATAAATAGAAATAGCATTATGTAACACACATTACGTCTCGTTATACGTTTCTTATTCGAGATAACAAATCACATATATTCTAAGTATACATTGAGGTGGAAGTTTCATAATTTAAAACAAACGAAGTTCCCTTTATATCATAACCGTATATATAACTTTGAAAACACTAAGAACTGCAATAAAGCGTACTCTAAATACATAGATATTGTTTAAACATGATTTATGTAATACTGTTAAAGTTTTAAATACAATTATAAAAAATGACACTATCGACTAGATAACAGTAACTTCGTAGTCTAACACCATAACACCATAATAATAATCTAAGCACGATAGTTCATCACTGAGACACTCAAACATACGTGGCATAGTTAGAAATTTTAAAAGGACTCAAAAAAGGTATTAAAAGCCTACGTACATTTAATGATACATCGGGATCGATCAGAGCGGGTCGGGCGAAAACGTTAAAGAGAAAAGGAATAAAATTGCGTCCCGGGATGATGTAGCTCTACGTTGATGACCACTAATTAATGTAAAAACTCTAGGAAATTTTAATAATATTTCTCTTGTAAAAGAAAATATTTTGTTGAAACATTATTTTGTCCGTGAAATTTGTTGGATTTTTGAAGTAAAAATAACAGGGTAATATTTTGTAAGCGACTGGAAGCAGTGAACAAATTCGTGTCCAGTGTACAGAAGTCCGTTTGTTTTGTTTCCAGTTAAACCACATTTCGAACAAAGTTTGCTGAAGCATGTCATGAGTGATTCTAAGTTATATGTATAGTTCTAGATCTCGCTGAAGAACACGAGTCAATAAGCAGTACCTACTTTGTGCTATTATGGGAATTAAAGTGTTATTTATGTATTGTCTAATTAATAACTATTGTAATGTATGTCTAATCGTCAGTAATGAATAAATATCAAGAAAACTGCTTCAGCTTCAGGCTAATTGTAAGAAGAATATCAATTTACATAACGCATATACGTAACACGTTAATAAATCATATTTAGAATCGATAAATAACCATCTCCATCCCAATATGTACACAAAGACGTTAGAGACGCAGCTGTTATCCTGTGTAGATTTATGATACATTTACGACGTCATTAAAACATACGGGAGCGCCGATGAAAAACCATCCCCATATAATATTCCTATTGGGGAACACACCGGGGCAAAAAGGTTGTTTTTAAATTTTTATCATTCCTTTTTAAGTTGTGATATAAAAGACCCATACGGTTTGTATGGTGCTTAATTTATCTGATATAAAATCAATACTGAATGGGCGCACGTTAAATTTGTAGCCAACCAACCAAGTATGAAAACAATAGAATAGCGGGCGAATTTTAGCTGCGACGTGCTTTAAACTACGGATTTTAGTTAGAGCAGCCGGCCTATTTCTGGGAAAGCTCTAAAAGCAAACAAAACAAATTAAAACAGTGAGGGAAGAAATATTAAACTTTGTTTATAGAACGAAAATGTTTAAAGTAGCTTTCCCAAGCCTATTGGTGTTTGTGAGAGAATAAGGTAAGTGAAGATAATGCGTAGTCATTGTTACGGTGGTGGTACACCGGGGCATAATGGATATGTTGCTAATATTTAAGGAAATACTCTGTCTATAGTTTACGCGAGTAGTACACATTTAAATAAAACACTCTAACGGTTTAAAACGCAATATATTAGAATCATTTTCAAATAAGTTTAACTAATATATCGCGTTTTAAACCGTTAAAGTGTTTTATTTAATAATTAAAATAAAAAAGATACACCTATTTTTCTTTGACTTTATGATTTTGGGATTACTGTGCAATTGTAGTTGTAGTTATAACTACACTTACGCCGTTTTGTCACCTTAAGTGACGCTTCGTCGAGCCCTCCATCCGTTGTATATTTTCAACGTTTAGTTAAGCTTGTAGCCTCCCATGCAGTCTTCTATAGCTTAAATACAAAGTGTCGCAGTTCCAGCGCACCATCCTGTTCAATATTAACGAATACACGTCAACGTCGCATGCCATAGGCAGCGATTATGCAGCGAGCCGCTAAAACTGAATATTTAACTCGTGCTCATCTCTCTATTAGCGTTGTCAATTCTATTACAAGGGCGCGTTAATAACGCACGTGCTTACGAAGCGATTCTCTAATAGTTTTTGCATAGCTTTGTCAACATTGAACGAGGCCTGGAATATTTAAGGCGCTTGTACACAACTACCAAATGTGAACATTGTATACTGCCATTGCCTTGAAGATTGCTTCTTAGTTTTTAAATCTCGCTAGATATACAAATATATATAAAGAATATATATTGACACATTCAATGTACAAAATACGATAAAATTTTCATAAATAATCTAAATGGAAAAGTATAAATTTTCTAACTGCACCACGCACAAGCACAATTTAAACGACTATATTATCATTGTTGTTTTAACATACTCGTTTATTCAAATAGAAAATAGTATATATATCATTTCAAATACATCCTTATTATGTCTATTCAAGTCTGTTCCAATCTTTTGCAAAAATGTAACATTATATTATCATACGTTAATTAGTTTTTCACTAATCAACAAATTAATAATATTAATAATAAATAGGCATCCAGTATATAAATAAACATAGTAATACAATAATCGATAGTCTCAATGCATTCTTAATAAACTATAAAACGGCACACATGCACTACACTTTACGAACTGGCATAAATCTATGTTGACATAGATAACCTGCGTTCACACTTAGGATATCGATAATGGCACTTGAAAATGTAAAATAATCATGCAGGAACATCCCCACACACTATTTAACGATACACAATGAACGATGATGAGTGTGTGTAAGTTAATTGTCGAAATGCAAAGCGGAACACCCCTCGCTGAGCAATCACGCACGCTTAGGATAGTGTGGAATTAGCAACATGTGACTAAGCCGAGCGAGCCTTCGGGGAAGATGAGAGCAAGGGGAAATCACTGTCAGTCGAAGTGGTGCGATTTAGTGAGTTGCTTGACGAACGTGCCGCAGCACCAAGTGGAGGAACGAGCCGAGCGCGAGGTGGGCAGCGGTGCGGGTACGACGGAGGCGCGCAACGGCGGAGCCAGGCTCGGGTGGGACCCGCTGCGCCGTTCGTGGCCATGCCTCAGCCTGTTCCGGTCCTCGGAACAATCCCACAGATTGGGATTCGACCGGTTCAACTGGAACTTCCGCTCGGCGAGCAATCTCCTCGTCTCGGGCGCTCGATACAAATAAGTATCGGCCGCCGAGGAGCTCTTGTTGCGCTTTACTTTCGACACCTTAGAGCAGCCGGCGTATTCCGGCGTTTCGCTCCTCGCACCGACGGGATATTTAGTATAATAGTTATGAGGTTTGTTAGTGGCGTGTGCGTGATACTGTACTTTACCGAGAGGAAAGTGGCCGCAGTCCACTGCAGGTGCGATAGAAAGGCGGCCGCATGTAACAAAACAGAAAGATTGTAACCACCGGACAATGATCAAGCCATAGCGTTAATAGGTCTTAGTCATTCGAGTAGTTTCAGACAACATCGACGTCGGTGAACAAAATGTTAGCAGTAGCGCCTGTTAGTTTCCTTGTCTTTGCCGGGTTAAATAAATCTGTATTAGATGCCCTTCCCGAACGGGGCAACAAAAATGTCTTTACAAGACTTTACCTACATTCTTAAATATTTTGTGTAGGAAATAAATAATATATATATGGTACCAAAATAATAATACTGCATTTCACGTTACTACAGTGACTAGCTACTTTGTACTAAAACTTAATAATATATTTTACTGTACGTAACAGATCTACAAAGATCTAAGTCGAATAAATTAGGAGTCAACATTGTTAATATAGGGTATAATATAAAGCTTAATGTCATGCAACTGCATTACCTCTATATATAGCTAAGTTGTAAATATTTGTATATTATAACAAGGAATATTAGTAACTGAGTATAATAAGAGATATAGTCGTCGTTTATACTAGGAAGATGCAGAGATTGCAAGCGAGATTCTGTTACTAGGTTCAGATAGGAGTCAGAAACATGTGTTTATTCTAATAACCAACTGATTATGCGGTTTCTTGACTTGGCATGTCTTCTCCTTGTCGACTCGAATAACTCCAGGGGAATATTGGGTACTGCATAATAATTAAAGCTGTGTTAGTACCAGACCATTTTTTCTACTCTATCTAGTAGTTAGTTATAATTGTGTCAAGCAGTATTTTAAAAAATTCGCTATACGCTGTTAGAAGTATTTAATATATTTAATATTTGTCATTATTAACGTAACAATCTTGTTGTGAAGTATTAATTTTTAATTTCATTATAGAGAAATAATTTATAAATATGGATTTTTAACATTAGCAGTTAGTGTCCATCTAGAACTTACTTGGCTATCTTAGTGTTTATTAGGTGTTAGGCTAAATCTATAAGATAATCTTTGAAATAAGACCCAAAATCACGGTAGTACGACTTCGGTTTAAGTATCCGGAACGACGTGCAAAGAAAAGAGTTTTATATCAATTTGGGAATTATATCCATGAGACCTTTATATATTTAATACTATTTAATTTCGAGCATGTAATGATGGAAATGTGTCGCGCAAATTCTATCATTACATGCCATTCACACATTATTATCTTTCCTACTTTCAGACTCAAGGTCCAGCACATTTATTATGAATAACCTTTTAGTTGTATCTTAGTAGTGCAGATATAAAAGATCACTCACCGGAGCTGACAGCGTTTCTACAACGAGCGGAAGTGCAATAGGCCTCGATGACCTTGAGAATGAGCGCGTCTTCTTCGTAGGAGTTTGACTTCCTCTGGTGTGGCGCGTAGGGATGGGTAGGGCCAATGTTCTCATCGGAGCCCACTGTGAACGATTGAGGACGCAGTGGAGGCGCAGGACGTAAACACGTTACACTCCAACCTATAATAGTTTGAAGATATGAAACTCTAGAATGTTTCATTACTCGTTTTTGTTATAGTTTGCGTTTACTAAAGAAACGTAGTAAACAAAGTTTCAATCCATTTTCCCTCCTACGATAAGTAGTATTAATTTTTAGATTAGCATTCAAACAAATTGAAAATCGAATATAAAAATTGAAAAAAAAAAAATTACGACTCGACTACGACGAACTAGAGCAACAGCACGGAACACTGTGGATGCCGGTTGAAGTCCAGCCCGAGTCGTAATTTTTGTCATTTTTTATAATCAGTTTTTAATTTATATAGTGCCATACAATGTGTAGTTTTTAACATTGATCCATTAGTATACACATATGACAATTGCCATACAAATATAAATCATTTCGAAAGTACGCAAGTATAAAGCGTAATGTTTATCGGATTCCGTTCTAATAATGTGCCCCGAACGAATCATCGGTCGCACCGCTGACCAAACATATGGCGAATACCTTGAACTGTCGTCTGACTCACTATTAATAGACCCACGCCGAATGTTGAACCATTTCCGTTTATGACAACCCTAGGGAATATGCATTACGTTTCAATTTGTTTCTAACATGTTTTACATTTTTATTGTCTCAACGATTTGTTTTATTTGAGTCACTACAATAAGCTAATACGGCGCACAATCAATGACGTCACTGAATTTCCCACCTATCAAGGCTATTGATTGATTTCTCTTTTATAAAAAAAGGTGATGGTAGATGATATAAATTAAAAATATTTTTAGATACGAGCCGGGCGGCATTTTTGCCACTATGCGCAATAACATTTAAAAATAATGTAAATAATTATTCTCTAAAATGTACAATATAAAGCATATTCACCTTTACTGCTGTAACTAGATCCAGTCGTATCTATGAAGTCCACGGAGGAGAATTTCTTTCCGATAGGCACTTTAGATTTAGCGGGTGATTGATCAAGCGAGTCGCACGAGTTAAGTAGCCATCGCGCCGATTGATTTTTTTGTTTGCTCTTCGTTGTCTGTTGTGTGTGCTGCGTATAGCTTTGATGATTGTTAAATGAATGTGATCTTTTATGGTTTGTAAGACCGGATGATAAATCATTACTGCTGTCGCTCATGGCCATCTGAAATAAAAATAATCATACAATTATTGAGCGTTCAGCTAGAAACAGTGACAGAACACAAAGAAATACTTGAAGCACGCAGTAGGTTTAATTTAGATAAAGATCTGGTGTCAAATTTTCTAAAAGATCTCACTCTCGTTTTCTATAGCACATATTCCCCTAACGCCTTTCCAGGTCCACAAAAACACGTGTTTCAAGCCTATTCATGCATAGCCTATCTTTGTACTTGTTAGTTTATTATATCTACTATGCAATGGCTTTCCAGTTAGTATGATGAATAAACACAGGCAAGGATGATTGAGTAAAGCACTGCAGTACTGGGGTAACTCTAATGAAATATTATTAATCTAGTGGTTACACAATTTCATGGTAATTATCTTCAAACAGATGGTACACAAAACAGTATCTCTTTACAAACAAAAATTATCCTTGCCTGAGTCGGTGACCACGGTAATGGGTAATTTGGCTTTCATCCACCAATGAGCGTATAGATCTGAACGATACACCACGAATCCTGAGTCAGCCCCAGGTGCGTCCTTCTTTTTTAATAGATCTTCACTTCGAGATCGCATTTTTTGTATGTTTGTTGACACATCTAACGATGAATCTCTTTTATCTTTAGCGAAAGCATCGCGGTTACGATAAATGTCTTTTCGTGATGGCCTTCCGTTTTCATTCGAATTTTCTCTATATATTCGCATGTGGTAGTGCAAACTGGGTTTGCTACGCTCGGTTATATTTAGAGTACTCCACTGGCATGGAAATTGTTGTCTAACGTTCTTTGGAACCTCCAAGTGGGTGCTCGGTTTACGATAAATACGAGGAGGCACTTCCGGTTTCAATTGTATTTCTGGAATATACCGCTCTATATTCCTCCTAATCGAGGTGCGTTTTATGTTTGGAGAAGGTAATGGGGGACTCGCGACGAAGGTAGGTGAAACGATCGTATTAGATATATCTTTGACATCGAGGCTATTTTCAGACGTGACACTAGTGACACAGGAGGTCCTAGCAGTAGAACCGAATGGCGAAGTGCATCTACATTGATCTTCAAAAGTGGCTGCTTCTATGTCGGATAACGATAATTTTCGGTTATCTAGGACGTTTTGGGAAAAGTTTTTCATAGATCCGACGGATTGTTTCTCCTGACAATCAGACTCATTGCCCGTGTTACTAGAGCCGCTATACTCGTGCATATTTAACTCGGGAGATGCCAGATTGCAGCTTCCAGCGACTCCGGAATCTGATGATCTAGGACTAGGACAGAACGATCGGTTGCAACATTCGCATTTTTTCCGACTCTTTTGACTTTCAGATTGTGAACTTATTCGTTGCAAATGTGCTTCGTTGCTTTTCTTTTCAATTTCAACCATAGATCTCGATATGGATCTTCTGAGTTTTTTATCAGAATTGATCGAATGCTTTCGGAAGGGAATATCAGCGTTCAGACTGACGTTGATAATTTTGACGTCGTCTTCTTCGTTTCGGAACATGGGTGGCGGATCAATAATGATCGAATCAACTTGATAATCGCGGCTACATTTAGGTGAGGGTGGATCTAAGACCTTGATTAGGTCTGACATAATAGAATCATAATCGAGTTCTACTCTACAATAATTTTCCTCTGTGGATTTCCAAAGTTTCGGTATGTTCTCATTCTTGAGGGTGTAATTAGGAAAGCTGCGTCGTGTCGGTATAAAATCATCAGTATCGTCCTGGCCCAGGATATCAAACTGAGTGTTTTGATCCATATTAACTAAGTCCTCACATGCCATGCAATTCCTTGCTTCGAAACTAGAATTGTCGGCACTGTCGGAATGTTGCTTTATATTCAGGTTATTAATACGCGATGACCTTTGTAAGCTCTTAATATCATGTTCTATATCAAATAAATTTCTATTAGAGTCAAATATGTGTTTAGTACAATCTCCTTTAATGTCTAAGTGCGGTAAATTAAACTGCATATCAGTTGATGTATCAAAGTACTTGACGTAACCAAAATTACTATCCCAACTGCTACAAGAGGATGAGATAGTTCGCGGCCCTATACTGTCTATAGCATTTTGTCGCAATATTTTGGAACTGTTGGCTTCTGCGTCAGTACTAGCGGAATTTGTGATATTTTCCGTGACATCAGTTTCGCAGTCACTCTCATCTGAATCAGAACCCTCAGTTTCCGTCCCCACGGTTCCGTCAGTAGCAATTTTTAACTTGATGTGATTTCTATGTCTTCGTTTCACTGGTATACCCGAAAACTCAAACGCTTTTGCCCAAGTTCTTTCGTGCAAGAGTTTACGCAACATTTGACGTGTGATAACTTTTTTCCTCACTAATTTAGCAAAGTATTTAGTGAGCGAATAATATGGAGACGCAGACGGATAACTAGGGGGCGGTAATGTCACATGATACAGACTGCGGCGGCTACTGTTGATGCTAGACAACGCCCCTTCTGAGGGGGAGCGGGCCAGCTAAATAAAAACCATAAAAGACGTTGTACTTAAGGACGACATCTGCGATTATAAATAATTTCTCATTACATCAAAACAATACTTACATGTGGCAAGGATTGTGGTTGGTTCCCTTCATGTGTAGGACTGTTGATATTAGAGTGTTTTTGTAATAGACTGACCCAATTGTCGGCTTCGGCCTTCGTTTGGCAAACGGCTACAATTGTGTCTATCATCGGACCACTTATTTCAAATGCGTTTTTCCTTGATTCAGTGTCATCTAATTTACATACTGAAATACCAGTTAATGGAAGACAACCCTAAAAATATATTAAATACTATATATAAACAATAGGAACAAAGTTTACTTTTACTAGTATTACCTTAAATGAATATTGCAAAACATTTTTTACTTGTAAAAGATTATATATCCTCTCTTTTAGTTTTTTCATTAACTTATACAAACAGACTTTACCACAATAAATTTAGGACTAGTAGAGATATAATTCATATTATCTATGATGTATTATCCTTATCTAATCAAATAATATTTAACTTTTTACATTGCAGTTTAGTCAGGGACATGGCAGCATTAAATAAGTGTATGTAAAACTAAACTTGAATATTACGTAAATACGTAAAGTAGCCTTCTCTTTGTCTGTGACACAGAGACTGTGTAACAGACAAAGAGAAGGCAAAACAGTGTCCAAAAACTACATTGAAATTACTTAAAAAACTCTTTTTACTACTTTTACTCTAACCTGTTAAACATACTTCATTGAATAAGAATAATAAATATTATTAATACATGTAATTAATAAATAAAAACGCGTATGTGTCAAAATACATAAACAATTATTTTACTAATCTTTTGCATGACTTACCTCATATACAAATGCAGACACCCTTTTGCTAACTGACAGCAGAAGTAGGGCAGAAGGAAAAAGTACTAAATATCTATCTTGATGCGATGGCCCAACAGCAACACTGCCCATGTGAAGTACATCTCCTAAGGAAGCAAGTTCACCACCGGGCCAACCTCGCACCTCACCAGTTACAACTTGTAACTCCAATTCTTTCTGACGCCTTAAAGCAGCACACCCACTCTGTAAAAAGGCATATGATGTTGTATATGTTGTTTATGCAAACCGAGGGTGTTCCATCACCAAATCTACTGTAACTTATCTTAATATAGCAAAACAATAACTTTTATATGTCACTCTAGTATTATAAACTCATGGTAAATGACATTTGATATATAAAAAATAATTTCACGTAATAGATCAAAAGGGCGTTTGATTGTGAATGAGGCTCTCAAATCCGATACCTAAAGATAATTAATATACTTACAGCAATATCTTTATAAACAACGGAAGCTCTATGTGTGTCCCCTCTATCAGGATGTGCTTCGTGAACATGTCTAGCTAGTTCTTGCAACATAGCAGGGTATTTGCCCAGACGTCGGAAAGGTTTCGAAAGACCAGCAGTAAGCACTAATACTCCCGGACAAACTGCCCCATTGTTCTCCATCCAAGTGTTCAATTCCTCTCTACAAAATTGTTTTAATTTTAATAGCATGTTTTTATCATTACCTTCTACTGTTAGTAACAACAACATGTTATGAAATAACTTACTTGTATTTATCAAGAATACACACAGCTCTGGGATGGCCAGCGCAGTAGATTTGATGCACTGCCTTTATGTCGGGTGCCCATTGCAAAAAAAGCCCACCTACTCTTTGATCGGGTCCTGTTTTTGTAGCACAGTCTTCTAAAAGTGCTAAGAACTGTTCATGAATTTGCAATACTTCTGATATATTGCCAGTCAATTGTTTAAATTCATCTTTTGTCAACCTAAAAAATATATTCATTTATGTCAATGTGAAGGTAACAAATAAGAAAATAAGAGAAACATTTAAATAAAACATGGTGATTTTTAACTCAGCCCCACGTTTTGGATTCTTTGCAGCAGCCATGGTCACGGGAAATCATTTTTCGTTTTATTTAAATGTGTACTACTTGCGTATACTATAGATAGTATTTAAGATAAACATTTGTCAAATGTGAATATGAATACTTACAAATCACTTTGTTCTAACGGTTGGAGAAAATTAGTGACAAGTCCTTGCATTTCAGCAACATGGGCTTTTTCAGAATCAATTATATCTTTTAACACAACATTCCTGAATGCCTGAATTTCTGACGCTGCCCGTATTGGAGATGTTGTCAATGAACCTGATTGATCTGTTTATGTTCATACGCAAGTGAGAAAAATTAAAATTATCCAGCAAAGCATTTATAAATTTACATTTGATATTAAACTAACCTTTATATTCTGTAACATAGTTGCTTGGAAACCATCCTGTTGTCTCCCCCAAAGTTCCCTCCCACCAACCTCCTTCCTCTTTTTGAGTGACAGTGATAATGTCACCTTTTTTGAAGCATAGTTCATCATTATTTTTACCTTTAAATGAATATATTGCTTTTACCAAGCAATTTTCAGTAGACATTTTGAACTAAATGAAAATATTTCATGTTTCCTGCAAACAAATGGGAATATTACCACTAATAATTATGATACATAATTTAGAGTCGAAAAAAACAATGCTGCAGATTCCAGTGTCAAGCTATGTATGTAACGAAGGGTCTAGTAAAAAAACATGTTTATCTTTAGTTAAAGCTTTTTAAACCGAAGGTGTTAGAAATATGTATAGCTGTGGATCCACATTCTAAATATAAGCAAAATAAGGTATTTGTCACTTACAATTATAGTAAAGCTGGCTATAAGCTCGGATGACTTAGTGGAGAATAATATATAATTAAGGCAAAGAGACGTTTGCGTATGTACATTAACGTATATAATTATATCCGATTCAGCTTCACTGTTCACTCACGGTCTTCTAAAAATAAACATCACAGAAATTAATAAAACTCGAACTCTTGAGTCAAGATAATACCACAGATGTATAATAGTACTATAGAGTATATTAAAAGTTAAGAAATATAAATAGAACCATAGATTACAAATTGAAGAACCATAAAGTAAAACCTAACGATTTGAGTTATCTTTTTTATTTTTTGGGCCTGTCCATATTTCCAGTTTCCTAGATACTGATCATAAAGGTCATGGTATTATTTATGATATGCCATGTCCTCTATTTTTGACCATGTATGTGTATACATTCTAGTACAATATTCACAGCTCACACATTCGATGACATTCATCATTCAAGTGCAACTAATGTAGGGCATAGACTTTCAATATTTAAGGCTAATATGTTTTGAGATTATATGCATATGAAAAGTTTGTAGTTCATTTATATATTTTCTAATTTGAACTGAAATATCAATAATTTAATTCTTTTGACCTAATTCGAAATTACTCAAGACTTATTTTTCAATTTAATGAGTTGGATAAATCAGGTATTAATTAATAAATGATTAAATCAATTTAATTTATACAAATCAAATTATTGGGAACATACCTAGTACATACCCAGTCAACATGCATAATAAAATATACAAAGTAGGTGCCTACTGTAACGTGATATAAAAGTGTCATGTTACATACACTCTTATTATTATTAAGTGCAAAGCAATAATTCTATTACATAACATTTAATAAGACATCAACGTTTCAAAAACATGAAAACCTTAAACCTATGAAAGTTTAAAATGAAGAAAGCAATAAATATAAAATTTCACAAACATAGTGAATTGCAAATTTATTTTAAAAAATATTACAATTGACAAATGAGTATTGCTGTAGTATTATTTCCATGTCAGTTTTAACAGTTGGTTGATGATACAATCAATTTTTTTTTTAAGAAATAGCCCAACCCTATATGTCGACCTATTTTTGCCTTTGGATATTCGGAATCCACAGACTGAAACCGAAACGAGATTTAACTTCGTACATTGCTATTATTTCACCCACGAGCCCATCAACATCTCTTTAAATAAGTGATACATATCATAAGTTCCTTATTTTATAACAGGCAGGTTAAAATTAATTTGTTTAAATTTTGTAATTCTAAGTTTTCTGAGCTTTGCATATAAAATGTACAATACTGTCAAAATTTAAACTGTAATAATAGTTCTAAAAATATTTGGAAGTTTTTTGAAGGATATCTTCTTGGAAACTTTACAGTTGCCATCGAGTTTTCTATACCACTAATTAAACTATTTATCATAATTAGTGTAACCACTTGTTAATATGATAGCTTTTGCTAAGCAAGCTGTTTAATAAACCGTAAGACTGAATAATTCTGTGTATTATAAATAATTATAGTTATGTGGAAACAATATTTAACAAATTTTTACAATAAAATGAATTACAGTAATAAACAAAAATCAACAGATGGCGATTATAATCCATTATACATAATTAAAAACTAAGTAATATTTAGGTGTGATCTTAATACTATGGGGCCGTTTATTACAATTATTTATCCCCCATCCCCCTTGTCAGCAAAAGTAAGCAAAGCTTTTACCCCCCTTCCCCGTGCTTACGTAAACATTTTTCAATTAAAAATGTATTTTTTATATTATAATTTTAAAAATAAGAAAGTTGATTCAGAAAGTAAATAAATATAGATGACGTAATCATCAACTGGACTCCTCTACCCCCCATGTCATCAAAAATAAGCAAAACAAGGACCCCACCCCTCTATAGTGCTTACGTAATACTTGAACGGTCCCTATGACATAAATGACTATAAAAATTAAGCAAACATATTAATCAGCAGAATGTGTCACAATATTTCAATTACAGAAGTGTTACTGATATGCAAAAAAAAATATTGTGATAGTGAAGTATACTTAACAAGATGCTTAAGTGATGATTATTATTTTTTTGCTACCACATTAGATTACAAATATTTCATAATAACAACTCTGTTATTAAATTTTATAATGTTACTATCTGATCCGGCAAACATTGTTTTGCCATATAAATAATTTCATCTATTGAATTGTAGCTTATATGACACGTTTGACATGACAAAAATGTTGGTGCATCAATTATATTCTGATGGCAATAATCCCTTGTTGTTTTTGATACTTTCAAGAGCAGGACATGCCTTAATCAAAATATCAACTAAATCCATGTGATTATATTCAACAGCTTTATGAAGCAAGCTTTTTCCATCATCATCCAATATGTCGAGTTTTGCACCAGATTCTATGAGGAACTTGACTGTGGAATTTTTGCCTGAAACACATAGATACTGTCTTTAGTTTACGCGAGTAGTACACATTTAAATAAAACACTTTAACGGTTTAAAACGCGATATATTAGTTAATCTTATTTGAAAATGATTTTTAACTTCGGCCCGACGTTTCGGATGCTTTGCAGCAGCCGTGGTCATGGGAAACTTCCAAAGCATCCGCGAGCGTTTTAAACCGTTAAAGTGTTTTATTTAAAAATTACATAATTATTATTATTACAAAGGCAATTTCATGTCTGAAATAATTAAATTGTAAATTTTAAATATCAGTTTAAATCATTAAATATTTAAGAAATACATTCGTATAAATTTGCAATGTTACAATCTATATAGTCACCTGTTGCAACAGCCTTATGTAACGGGGTAGCTTTTCCACTTTTAGTTTGTACATTTAATGAAGCCCCTTTCTTAATAAGAATTTGACAGACTTCAACATGACCATTTCTTGCTGCATAGTGTAATGCAGAATAGCCAGCATTATCTAAGGCATTTACAGTATCCACAACATTTCTACTCTTTTGTATCAATTGGACTACTCTCTCTCTGTCTCCAGAATACGCTGAAAATATATGATATATTTAAAAACCTAACTTCTAAATTAAAGGTATATTTGTTACAATTTTTTTTTCTATACTACCAATAATAAAGAATTGTATGGAGTCACCTGCATTCCAAATTCCTCTTTCCCAATCCATTTCGGATAAAGTTTGACAAACAGATTTATTGATGCTGGTGACATGGCAACTATGATTGCAAATATCTTTGTGTTCCATATCTAAATTTTATTGAAAATTAGAAATGTGAACAATACAAATCTACAAATTAAATCTCTCTTTGTAGAGTCCAAGTAATTTCAGCTTCTCCAGTGCTTGATACAACCTTATAGCCCAACTGGTTTAAAGCATTAATTAATACCAAGACATTAGTTTTCATAGCAAAGCCATTGACAACATTCCCAGATCCTGGGTACTTCTTTGTTAATGCCTTTATTTCTTCCTGCCCTAGGCCAAACACAGAGCAATCGTTGGCATGTAAAGAGCCCTTTACAGCTATATAAACAATACTATCTTCAGAAATGGGTATATTAGCTAAGTTAGTACCAGAGACGTTTTGACTGCTTTTGGTTTCCATACTTTGTTACAATTCTTAAACTTCGTCTTCTTTATTAGAATGATGAAAGTGCATAGCCTCTTTGCTAAAGTTTGTTATGTTGTCTTGCTCAACAATGATAGATGGTTCTGGCTCAGAGAATTCTTTTCTCATAGTCCACATGTATTCATTGTAATCCTGTTTAACAGCAGTTGAACTAGAAGCTACAACTTTATATCCTAAAACCTAAAAGAAATTAGATTTTTAATTGACTTATAATTTGTCATAGGACAGACGTTAAATAATGCACTCACTTCTAAAGCACTGAGAATGACGCAAGGATGTTGAAGATAAACAATAGTCGAATTATCAGAATAACCTCCACAAGCAAAACGGTTAAGTTGTTCAATATCTTCAGCTACGAAAACAAACAAGCGGTATAAACAGTTAACTTATTAGCACCAATGACATCACACATAGAAGGTTAAAGGTTAAATATTTGATAGGAATATGAACGTTAAATACCTTTTAATCCGGATACTAAGACACGCCACGGATTCTTATGTCCATACGAAGCTAAGTTGCCTCTTATCAAAATGTAGGGCATTGATTACGGATGATAATAATTGTTATGTATATCAAAAATATTATTTCTAAAAAATTACAAAGCACGGCTACGATTCACAATATAAAGACAATATTATACGTACAAGACGATATAGTAATACTAGGGCCTAGTATTTAAATTATCTAAATAAATTTATACACATAACAGGCAAATACGAATAAACGTTAAACAATAATCATTAAAGTAAGCTTAATCATGCGTAAAATTGCATTACAAATAATGTAGCCATAGTAAATATAAAAATAATCAATAATCTAAGATTAAAAAATATTTGTTATCTGTACTATATCTATGGTTAGCAAAACCATTTTTTTCTATTTATTCTTCTTGTCTATGCTTAAATGTAAATACTAAATATCATAACTATGTACGATTTTACATGTATTTTCCTAATACAATTGAAATTAAGATAAGTAGATATTGTCAATTCTTTAATATATATTGTTTTTATAAAAAATAAAGAAGAATTGTTTGTATGTTTCTTAAGGGAGTAAACAATTATACATAAGATAGCCCCTGAACTTCATAATAATATTAGATTAATCAAATTAAAATTTTTAAATTTCCTATCAATTGGCAATGCAGCATCTTAAGTATCGAAATTGTGAAACTCTCTAAGAATGACATTTCTATAGTTTTTGGTACAATTTACGGCATGGAAAATTTTATTTAAATAAGATTTACGTACTTTTCGCTGGCACATTGAGGAAAGCAGTTATACGTTAGCACTATACGTTTCAATGTTATTACCCATAGGTTTTTTATGTAATCATGATCCATCGGATTATGTTTAAAATTTACCTCAGTTTTAGTTAAATGTAAAGCGTGTGTCGTTCTTAGACAGCTTCTCAATTTTGTCGCTAGAGGCGCGAGAGTAATAATTACTTTGCTAATACTATATCGAAAAAATAGTATAATATATATAAAAAAAAACACTGAAGAATGTTCGTTAACAGCTGCGTAAGCAGAAACGGGAGCATGAATTTCATTACTTGTAAAATCTGTTTAAGAATACACAGGTATATTGAGTATTTTTTAAATAGGCAAAATAAATACCATATAGGTACACCTAAGTTAAAATTATATAGAAAATTATAATTTTGACTTATATATATGATATTTATTTGGCCTCTTTATGTATACTAGTACTAGTCACTACTAATATTATAAATGCGAAAGTAACTTTGTCTGTCTGTCCGGCATTCACGCTGATAGTGCTGAATTATTTGAAATTTCTGCTTATGCTGATTTAAATGAAACTTGGTACACAAATACTCGTGAGGCTGAGAAAGGGGGTAGGTTACTTTTTAATGCCAAAAAAGGGATTGAAGTCCAGTTCCACGCGGTTGAAGTCACGGCCACAGCTAGCTAGATATAAATTAATTGATTTATCGTACAAAACTTTAAATTTAAATCAGAATTTACAAAGAGTTCAGAGTTAGACATTAGGATACTAAAAGGAAATGTATAAAGGAACGAGGCTGCAATATTGTGCAAAAGTTTGTTTTTAAAAGTCATTAACCTCAAATTTCAATGAAGCTAAAATAATCGGAAAACTACGCTACCGGTTACTTTGTTTCGTAAACACGTTTTACTATTGAAAGAAAAATGTTTAGATGTAAGGAAACTAGTCCACTGTAGATACAGTATATTTTTAAACATCATGTTAAGATATAATGGCATTGTGGAATATGCGAACATATGTTCGGGAATTTTTAAATTGCGTTTTACAACCTAAAATCGAAACTGGATTATATTGCCGTTAGTAATTTAGTTGTCTCTTTTAAAACATCCATTTTACCTTTTTTCCAGAATTATAATCTCTGAATAACATAAAAAAAATCAGTTCGTTTGCTTTATTTGTTTACGGCACCCCTTATATTTGTATTTTGTCTAGGTATGTAGTGGACACACAAATGTGCGCTTTCCTGCAATTTGTAGATCTATCGATCAAATACCGGAAACAGTATGACTGATCGTAGAACTCATATTTTAGGATAATATTTTGTATTACGCATCATAAGTAGTAGAATCGTAGTAACACTTAAGAAGTTTTTAATTCGAACCTAATACCGCAGAGTTGTGTAATATTCGGAATCAAATAAAAAAATAAATTACTAGCGATACGTACTACCCGCCCCGACTTCGCTCGGATGCAATTCTGATACTAAATACACTACAGAAAAACTGTGAGCGTTGTATATAAAAACCTGCCTCTTGAATCGCTGTCTATTAAAAAAACGCATCAAAGTTCCTTGCGTAGTTTTAAAGATGTAAGCGTGCATTGGGACAGAAAAAGCGACTATGTTTTATACTATGTTGTGATATTTCTATGTAATAAATGAAATAATATTGAATATAAATTTTATACTGCTATTTGAAATATAACTTCAGCGTTTCAATGTTCAGCGTCAGTGCCAGTGGTTGAATCGCTAAGCTCCGCGGCGGTAGTGAGACGGGTTTCAGGCGGAAAGCTTTGGCGGTACAATTGCGTAAATCTGAAACTTACTTTTCAGCGGAAAATTGTATACAGCTGTATTGTGGTTATAATTACAGTAAAAATCGATTAACACAAATAATAAGTATTAAATGTTAATAATTGTAAAGAAGTTTTTGTAACAGTTGTAAAGAATTTAAATTAATGCGGTGTAGTACAGTCACGGCTAAAGGATACATTAACATTCAAGTATGTATAATTTTATTTTTGAAAACAACATTCACTTATTATGTGGTGGAGAGCTACAACACACACAATAAATGCGTGAGAGAATGTGTAAATTGAACATGCTTAATACATATTTAAATAAAACACTTTACCTCGGCCCGACGTTTCGGATGCTTTGCAACAGTCGTGGTTACGTCGGGCCGAAGTTGAAAATCATTTTCAAATAAGTTTAACTAATATATCGCGTTTTAAACCGTTAAAGTGTTTTATTTTAATGTGTACTACTGCCGTAAACTATAGACAGTATGTTTATTACATAGTTTGATTTAAATCATGAATATTGTTTTCATATAGCATGTATTAATACATATTTAAGAATATATTCATGCCTTATTCCATACACAAAGCAATGTGCCTCTTCACGTCTTATAAATATTCATATTTTCTATCTTGAATGATTCTCTAGTCAAAACATTTACCCAGTAATTGTATAAGACTTCGTAATTATGTTTTTGAATTATTATCCTACATTTGGAGTGATAAACAGACAGTTCAGAATTTAGAAGTTTAATTTGCAAAATCAAACATAATAGGTAGGTATAGGCTAATAAGGTGTGTGTATGATGTTTTTAAATTAATTCTTATCATTATACTAGCACCGATTTATTCGCTTTAGATTTCGGAAGTTCAGTATTGACATGAAAAATAATCCAAAGAGGCCTTTTTTTAAATAATACCTGGTACCTTTATATGTAGAATTGTTTAAAGTACAAGTGTCAACTTAATATGCATATCATATGCAACCTTGTCTTCTGTATCACATGTCGCTTGTTTCTGTGTGTAATTGCTAATATGCATGTGAATTATCCTTTTCAACCGTTTTACTTCTTTATAAAATACTAATATATAGCTGAAGAGTTTGTTTGTCTGACGCTGGTTCGAATTCAAAAATTATGTATGTGTTTGTTGGAGCATTTATTGAGGGAGGCTATAGGCTATAACACATAGCGCTGTGACTAATAGGAGCGAAGAAACGAAAAAAGTTGAATAAACGGGGAAAATTATTCATCCTATTTTCCGGGTTTCCATTGCGTACGCTGCGAAAACGGTTCAAGATACCCAAAAAAATATGTATGAAAGAATTATTTCTCTTTCCTTAACTTCCAATAACGGCGGGACGCGAACGGTGTCGTTGGTAAGAGCTTAAATTTTTAGAGTTGAATCTTCTGGTTTGCAAAACAAAAATTGATACCCAAATAACTATTCTACGCGTACGAAGTCGCTGTATATTTCGAAAACACATCTCTAAAAAAGTGTGGTAGTGTACGGGCTTTAGTGTATAAAACTCATTCAATACGCGAAATGCAGTTAGACTAGTTAGACAAAACACAAATACCTCTACCTACCTCTACACTAAACTAATGCTACTCAATAGCTTGTTTTCTATGTCATGAAAGATTACTGGACATATTGGTAACATGTATCTACTTAATATGGTTTAATAAAAATGGAAAATAAAAATATTAGCAATAAATAAAGAGAATTTATCCCAACGAAAACTGGGTAAACTGATATTAAACCCAAGTAATTATTTTTATTATAATGATAATAATTATGCGCCAAATCTCAGTGATAATTACCCATAAATATTTATTCAGGCTTTTGAAAAGCGTTTTAACAATTTGACTTTTGTTTATGAGTGAAGGCCTGGAAACTTGTTTATTATGCAAATTACTTGCGCTCTACTATACTAAAGAATTTGTTTTGATAGCCTGCTTCTCTTTTGGGGGTAGTACCAGCGCGTAGGTTGTTTACGCAAACAGATAAATCTACATACATATCTGTAAACACATAAACTAAGTAGAATAACTCTAGTGCTAGCCTACTAAGATCCTAGTACAACTCAATGTTATTGAATCTATTCGCACTGATACTTCAACTTGCTTAATTTCAGACAGAGATTAAAATATTTCTAACATTTCATACCCCACTTCACAGATACAATTCATAATATGAAGATGTTTTTCATAGGAAAATGTGACCTTTGAACAATATCATGAAATACAAAATATGCGTAGGTAAGCGTACATTAGATATATAGATACTATGTCTGGCTTTAAGGCTTCATAATTAAAAGGCTATGTTATAAAAATAGACGACATTGACTTATTTTTAAAAGATGCAAAACTTTAAGGGTTAAAAACGCGCGTAAACTACAAACAGTATTTTTGTTATATATATTTTTTAATATCTTAAACAGTTTTATATATAAGACATTTCAATAGATTATACGTCAAGCAAAAGAAATCCTGGC